TGGCGACGGACCTTACGTTCGAGCTAAGCACGTTCAGGTAATTCCTTTCTTCTTCGAAATTTTGGTTTTTTGTATCTTCTTCTTCTTGGGGTTTTGGGTAATGGCGTAATGAATATGAGCAGTCTGGTTCCCCCCTGAATCGATCTGCACAGTACAAATTTCTCATTGATTCAATCCGATCTATCGTGCCCACTAGAGAAGTGAAAAGAATTGGAGAACCCATTTGTTCAAGTTAGTTGCTGTCGATTGGAAAATTAGCAGAAACAGCTCCTGATATCTGTTCTGTTCTGTTCTGTTCCTATGTTGTGGTTCATTCATTTGTTGAAGCTATATCCTTTTTGGTCTCTGGATTTCTGATTACAGTGAGTGAGGTTTAGAGTTTGCTGGATTATAACTCATAACAGCGTTGGTAATTCGTCGTTATTCGAGTCAGATAGGAAGAGAAAAGCTTAGCTGATCGAAGTGGCAGACCTTCTGTTGCACTATCTTCCAATTTGTTTCCTTTCCAATGGCGGAAAGCACCTGAGATTTGATCGGAATCTTTACCTTTCCTAGTCGCTAGCAGAGAATGCATAAAAGGGAAATGTGCAGGAGCGGAACAACTACGTCTACGTGGCCGGAAGCAGAGTCGGGAAGCAATTCAAACTCGATGAGCGGAACACTTGCTTCACCACCGAGCTCCGAGCCGGCACCGCCACATTCCTCAAGAAGATGAAGGAAGGGCGGCCGGCAGATTAATGGGGAAAACCCTAAATTGGGTTGGGGAGGAAGGAGGAAGAAGGGTTGGGTAGGGTTGGGTGATGGGTTGGGTTGGTTTTAATGAGGTGGCGGGTTATAATGACGTGGCGGGTCGGGTTTTATTTTTGTTGGGTTAATATCCGGCTGATTAGGCAATTCTGTTTGCCACATCAGCACTTAACAGACTTCATTAACGGAGTTGGACGGAGACTAACGGCGAGTGACTAAATGCGTCCAGTTTTAGTAATTGTAGTGACCAAATTTGATATTAAATTTTTCTAGTGACTAAACATGTCCCGATTTTGTAATCTCAGTGACCAAATGTGTCTTTAACCCTTTTTTTTTATTTGTTTTCTATAAAAAAATATTTCTCGTTACGCCGTACTTATACTCAATAGGATCTCAAAAATATTTGGCTTGGGATAACCCAGACTGTGTAGTATTCTTGCCTATTAAGTTTAGATCCCATGCTCCTCACAAATTATTTGTATTTATGTAAGGCTGTCCATATATTTTGTGTCCGTACTCATGTCGTGGTCTAATCTAATCCCCATGGATGGTCATATGATATGAGTTCCAAAAAGTTTGCCGTATTCTGGATAGTCGGTGGTTAGTATTGAACGCGCGCTCAAAGTTGGAAAAAGTTTGGGCTGATATCAACAGCCCAATTAACATTGAAGGCCCATGTTGCTTATTCCAGATGATGAAGCATGACGGCCGGTCAAGCGTCAGCTAAAGATGATTGCCAAAGCTGATCAATATTTTCGACACAGAACAATAACATATCAGCCATCTCTTAGCAAAAGTACCTTCATTCATAATCCCTCCATCAACTGACAGTACTAAATATTATGATTCTCAACGAAAAGAGGGAAGAGAAACAGATTTAGTAGCACACTAAGAAGCAAAGTTCAAAGGGAAGAACAAAACCATCCTCAAAATTGACAAATATCCTTGCTACATCAAAGCTAAAAACTTAAGACATCCTTTGAGCAGCTTCCTTGGCCAAGAGTCTCTCCTTGGCTTTGGTCTTGGCCTGAGACTTGGATCCCATGATCCCACCACCCCACTTCTTCCTGTGCTCATCGAACTTGTCGTTGAAGTTAGCCTGCAAGGAACGTATCAAAAGGAGGAAGCGGTTAAGACCGTTGCAGAACACAAGACAGAAGGGTTCTCAGAGGGCAAAGCACGGCACGAGGAGGTTAACGATTGCTAATGATTCGTTTTTCTTTAAAGTTAAATAGCATTTACCTTCACTGCCTCCAAAATCTTGCTGAACTCCATTTTGTCCTCATTCTTCACAGATGTAAGGCACAAAGCAGCAGCTGTCTTCTGGTGGACAATCTGTCAAATCCATTGTTGTCAGAAATGGCTCAAAAGTAGTCATGGAATATAGCACTCCAAAGTCAGAATTGAAAACCAAAAACTTACCGCTCCAAGCCTAGACTTGCCCTTCACGATAGCATATGGTACCTCCATCTTCCGGCACAGTGCAGGCAACCAGACAACCAGCTCAATTGGATCGACATCATGAGCAATAACAACCAGTTGGGCTTTGTTCTGCATAAAGATAGTAGAATGCGTATCATGAATCATATAAACCAGCATTAGCATAAATTTGAATCAGATAAGACATCGGGTTGGGAAAATGTAACAAGACAACCAAGTCGCAAAACAAGAGGACTACCTGCTCGATAAGGTAAGTCACATGGTTAAGTCCGTACTTAACGACAATGGGCTTCTTGGACTCCACAGTCTTTCCTTCAGCTTCAGCTTGTGCTTTGCTGATAAGCCTCTCTTTCTTAGCAGCTTTGTCCTCTGGCCGATACTTCAGCAAAAGCTTGAATAGCTGTGTTGCTGTATATATGATAGTGAGAAGAAAATAAATGCATGATAAGATGATCAACATGATCCACCAACAGAAGGAAACAACAATTTCCTGAAAACATACCTAGATTCTTGTCTAGTGCTTTCGTAAACTGGTTCACAGCAGGAGGAACCTTCAAACGTTGCCTCAAGATCCTCCTTTGCCTTTGAATACGAACAACATGAGGCCACTTGACAAATCTAGTCAAATCCCTTTTGGGAGGGAGAGCACCACCAATTCCAAATTGCTTCGGCCTTTTCTCGAACAATGGATTCACAACCTTATCCTGCAATCATAATTCATTCATGAGATCCCACTAGACTAATTAATCAGTCTACAGAATAGTACAACTCAATATAGAAAAATGTGAACATAAAGTAATATTCAAAGTCTTCACCATCTCCTAAGAGCTGACTAAATGCTTCACATCAGGAATTTACTAACGTGAACCAAAATGACAATACAGGATATGACTAAAGCATCAGAATCCCAAGGAGATCATTGAATACGAGCCTACAACAAACCTTGGAACCAAAAATCCAAAAGATTTCAGGTACAAGGGCGGATAACAACACCAAGACAAGCTATGAAAGCTTCAGAAACTCTGGTAACTAATTGAAAGAGATTACTTACAGATTTCTTCTTGGCAACTGCTGAGGGTTTAGCACCTCTTTTCGGGGCCTACAAAAACCAGGCAAGGATCCCATGTAAGTCTAAAAAGTAAATAAAAGAAAACCCAGCAAAACATCAGACAAACTTCATACAGATCAGCAACTTCACACAATAACAGCACAACACTGGCAGACCATGAACCCAGTTAACAACCAAGTTTGCAGCCATGTCGACGCGTTACAGCATTTTCAGGACCAAGCCAAATATCATCGCAAACGAATTAACAATGAGCATACCAACCATATCAGAACGTTGGTCTGAGAGAGTACTTGTAAGCTATACACTCCAGTCATCTGATCATCTCAGACATATAATAGAACCAAGCTACACAAATTGGCGTAATACGTATTATTTAAACCCAGCTTCCAAACAACCCATACCCCTCTCCCCAGGTGGAATGAAAGCGAGAAGCAACATTCAATGCTTGAAGACGCGCATAAACGAAGACAGCGGATCTCCTAAACGTATTCCGAGCCATCGGTCACACTGATATTCTACAGTGCCATAGTCTACCAATGAACAATCCAAATCAACGATGCAAACCAGAACAAAACACCGATTAACAGGTAGAAAACTACAAAATGAAAGCTTAGAAATTATCAAAGTGGAGCACTTTCGAGCTATAAACCTCGAATCGAAACACCGGCGGCTAGTCTTACAGATCTAATCAGCCGGACACGACGAGCAAAAGAACTCAAAAATCATCAATCGAACAAAGGAAAGGTTAAAGAGACTTCAAAAGTCAAAACAGTGACGAGAACAATCATCAGTTTTGGGATCCGAAGAATGTTACCATGGTGGACAACGGCAGGTAGAGGAAGTGGCGTCGCTAGTTCCGGCGGAAGTCCAAAGGAGAGGAAATATATGTGAGCGGAGCTCTGGCTTCTGCTCAACTAGGGTTTTAGAGCTCTGGTCGATTAGGGTTATATAACTCCTTCAGAGGGTTGCGGGTAAAGATTGCGCAATGTGGCCCGTGAATTTGGGCCTTCCTGGCTGTATGCTTGGCCCAAAAAATATGTCAAAATATTAGAGTTCAGTTTATACTATCAAACCTCGATTTCTGTTTCATTCAAGATCTACACATAATTTCTTCGTGAAATAGAACCAAGGCAATTTGTGTTTAGTTCAGAGCATAACTTTTCTTAGTTGTTTCATTCAAAGTTGAAATTCAACTGATTCCATACTCCTCTTCAGTGGCAGAGCCATGTTGAGATCATGATGGGCTATAGCCTCCCCTCAACTTTCGCAAATAGGTAAATTTACATGGAAAATGTGTAACGAATTCTAAAATACCAGTCCATTCACCAAAGACCATGATTCAAACCACTCGGTGTATATTTTTCATCTCTTTCAAATTTCTGGCTCCGCCACTACTCCTCTCCTACTTGCACTTCTTATGGTTAGGTTTCAGAATGATGGGTATTTCAGTGATATATACCCTCCAATGGCTTTACACGCCAAGAGTCATTTACAATACCTCCAACATTCAACAGGTAAGTCCCATGATCATCATCATCCCGCCAGAACACAAAATTCCTCATTCTGACCTCAAGGCTTCCATTAAAGAACTATCAAATATTCCTAGCTAAGCTTATTCTCCACCTTAACCTTACTCCATTTCCTCCCCCCGCCGGCTAGCTAGCTCCATATATACATGCCTCTCAGCCATTGAAAAGCTCCCCATTGTCATTCAGTGTACAAAGCAACAGGGCAGAAAATGAAGATGTCAATCGGTCATTTCCGTTTATGGAGCAGTTTGGTTCTTTCCCTGGTCCTGTGGAGCAACACGATCACTTCCGACGCGGCAATCGGTTCAGGCTACCTGAGAAAGATTCGCGAGGTCAACAAGTTGGGTCCGTATCTGGGGATCGTGGTGCCCAACATGTTCGAGATGGACCCTCTTCTTCACTCCGATCGTTTCGTCCCCGATTCGAGGACGACAAGCCTCGACATTATGGGTACGTTATCCCTGTCACAGAGTGATGTTCTTTGTGTCAACTGATTGTACCATCTATTGCTAAATTGATGATTGTATTCTTGTTCTTGTTGTTGCAGGAAGAAGGTTCAGGGTAGGAAAAATGGGACATCAGAAGGTTATCATTGTGATGACAGGATTAAGCATGGTAGTAGTACCCCTGTTTTTCCCTAATCCGATCCAATTACCACCTCTGTTTTTTTTTTCCCGGTTCTCATTTTTGTGGGTTTGTTTTTTTCAGCTAAATGCAGGGATAACGACGGAACTGCTCCTGGCGCTGTTCGAAGTGGACGGCGTCGTCCAGTACGGTATCGCAGGGAACGCAAACCCTGAGCTCCAGATCGGCGACGTGACGATTCCGCGGTATTGGGCTCATTCCGGGCTCTGGAGCTGGCAGAGGTACGGATCCGGGCCGAACGACACACTAGCCCAGGAGCCCGACGACGACAGCTTCACCAGGGAAATCGGCTACCTGAGATTCGCCAACTACAGCACTACATCATCATCGTCGTCGGAGTCGTCGTCGTCGGACAACTTTTTGAACAGCGTTTGGTATCAACGGGAGGAGATTTTCCCGGTGGACGGATCCCCTGAAGTCAGGCAGCGCATCTTCAAGGTCCCCGTCGATTCGCGCTACATGGAAGTGGCAGAATCGATCGAGGTACTTAACTCTGTAACCCGTATAGCAACAATTCGCGTTTGTTGGAAATTAGATTGTTTATGACATGGTATCAGAGCTGATTCGTTTTATTATGTATGCAGAGAGATGGCGTGGCGTTGGCGAGGTGCGTGAGCTGGACCGCCTGCCTTCCCAAAGCGCCGATCCTGGCGACGGTGGAAATGGGGGTGAGCGGGAGCGTGTTCGTGGATAACAAGGCGTATGGAGAGTTCCTGAATTCGGAGTTCAACGCGACGGCGGTGGACATGGAGAGCGCCGCGGTGGCGCTGGTTTGTTACCAGCAGAAGGTCCCTTTCATTGCGATCAGGGCTCTGTCCGATCTGGCCGGCGCCGGAGAAGGAGGCTCCTCTGCTCGTTCCGACGAGGCCGACGCTCTTGTTCACCTAGCAGCTGCAAATGCAGTGCGGGTCCTGATTAAGTTCATCGCCGCATTAGCATCTTGGTAGATTTTTTATACTGTACTTTCAGCCAAAATCGTCAATATGATGATCTCAATCTAATGTTGTTCATTACCCAAATCTTAAAGACACATGACAATTTGATTTGTCTTGCAATTAATTAAGGTTTTTCTTTCCCCTAACACATTACATTTCTTCCCGCCATGTATTCACATACATGTTACGCAACACATAATAGTCTCGGAAACCCAATCCAGCCCGCCATTGAAAGGTTCTCCCTGCCTACATTGTTCTGCAGCAATATATACACAAGCCTGCAGTTTAGTTCATCGCCATCAGGAAAAAAGGGCAGAAAAAGATGAAGATGAATTGTTCCAAGCTGTTGTTGCAGTATCTTGTTCTGGTTCTCCTCCTGGTCTTGTGGAGTGATCACGAAATTTCCAGAACGGACGCAGCACTCAGTGCAGGCGACTTGAGAAGGGTTCACGAGCTCACCAAGTTCGGCTCTCGGTTGGGGATCGTCGTGCCAAACATGTTCGAGATGAACCCTCTTCTTCGATTTAACCGCTTCACCCCCAATCCGATCGTTCCTTACCTCGACATTATGGGTACGTTATGGCGCGCGCCTGATCTCGGAACCACTTCCATGTACTCGGTACGATCAGCTAACACACATCGTATTAGTGAACCACGTTAACCCGCGTGTTCTTTTACTTGTAACAGGAAAAAGGTTCAGGATAGGAAAGGTGGGAAACCAGAAGGTTATCCTTGTGATGACAGGATTGAGCATGGTATCTGAAACTCCCAAACCATATTCATCAAAACCAACAAAACCTCTGTTTTTTTTCCCGGTTCTGATTAGTGGGTTGGATTAAGCTAAATGCAGGGATAACCACAGAGCTGCTTCTGACCCTGTTCAGCCTGGAAGGCGTTCTTCACTACGGAATTGCAGGGAACGCAAATCCAAACCTGCAGATTGGCGACGTCACGATTCCGGAGTATTGGGCTCACTCTGGGCTCTGGAATTGGCAGAGGTTCGGGTCGGGGCCCAACAACCCGCTTGCCCTGGAGTCCAACGGCGACTTCACCAGGGAAATCGGCTACCTGAGATTTGCGAACTACAGCATTACTCCGTCGTCGGACAACTTTTTGAACAACGTTTGGTATCAACCGGAGGAGATATTCACGGTGGACGGATCCCCTGAAGTCAGGGAGCACATCTTCAAGGTCCCCGTCGATTCGCGTTACCTGGAAGTTGCCAAAATGGTCGAGGTAATTATCCTTTACAATTTTATGAAACAAATTCTTGGGTGCTTCAAATATCACCAAGATTGGGATTTTTACCAAAATACAAGTCTTTCTAAAAAAAAAAAAATCCAAACATGCTAACGCTTACACTAAAAATTCTCAATATACACGAGTTTGGTTTGGTTCGCTAAAAAATGACTCATCCTCGAACCGGTTCGGATCGTGGTTAACCAAAAACGATGCACTCTTATCGCTAATAACTCCAGCAAACTAGTACCAAAATCACCGGACGCTCCAGAGAACCGCGCCAAACTTGTGTATTTTGAGAATTTCTAATGTAAGCGTGGTTGTGAGAATTTCTCTTCTTTTTTTTTTATAAAACCTTGTATTTCGTAGAAAATTCCTGAGTTGTGGAGCATGATTTTTCAGTGGTTGTTAGATTACACTGTATGTTACGATGTGACGACCATATCATTACAAACATGAGCAATAGACCTAAACAACCTCTGTGTTTTCTAAATTACACGTAGTCGGTAAACAAATCAGCAAAATTACGTATGTAATTGAGTTATCTCTCGTAGACATAGTCAAGTTTTAATACACAAAAATTTGAATCTAATATTGTAACTTTATTAGGATAGGACAGCCAAATCAACTACATGGAAAACTATCATTTTTTGTATGCTTGTGTAATTGTGTTAATCCCTCAAGGCAACTAAAAATCAACAACTATCAATGAAATCTCATACGCCATTATATTGTTAGGCTTGACTTCTTTCTTGGGTGGTTCTTAATTCTACAGAAACAGGGCGTGACCTTGGAGAGGTGCGTGAACTCATCTTTATGCCTGCCGAGACCTCCGGCGGCCGCGACGGTGGCGATGGGAGTGAGCGCGGGCGTCTTCGTCGACAACAGGGCATATCGGGAGTTCTTGAGTGCCAAGTTCAACGCCACCGCCATAGATATGGAGAGCGCTGCGGTGGCGCTGGTGTGTCATCAGCAGAGGACGCCATTCATTGCGATCAGGGCTCTGTCCGACTTGGCCGGCGGTGGGTCGGCTGTTTCTAACGAGGCGGATGCCTTCGCGCCCTTGGCCGCTGAGAATGCCGTGCGAGTCTTGCTTAGCTTCATCGCCGCGTTATCATCGTCGTCTTCGTTAGCTAAATGATTATACTGTTATGCAGCGATTTTAATCGGATTATCTGTTGTCGACAAGTACATGATTCGGAGTATGGGTTTATACACGTTTTGGGTTTTCTATTTGGGTATTGTCTGTAGTCTTACTTTTTATCCTATTGGATTAGAGTTAGGGCATATGAAGAAGTAGTACGTATATACTTCTCAATCCCTCTGTAATCTCCTAATGTATAGCGAAATTGGCTCGTTCAGGCTCTTGGACTAACACACATGGTTTTACATGAACCACGTATGTGTTATTTACTTTCTTACATTGTCGATTATCCCGATCCGTTGCTAACATGGAGAATCCTAAACGGACGGAATAACAACGAATACATCAATTAGGGTGTAGGATAGAGCATACTGCTAGATCTCTTCTAGGATAAATTATTGCAAAGAGCATATACGAGGAAATGATCACAGTTATTGCTCAACTATTACTTGAAGCACATATTACTTCGAATAATATCGGCTTAAATTCGTGTGTTCTCTACTTTCTTGCGGCTCGGATTCTGAATGGCAACTGAGGAGAGGCTTTCTTGTTTGGAGTGTTCATAACAAGTAGTCTCTAACGTATAATTGTTAGTCCTCGTGAAGAAACAAATATATATATTCTTGTTTGGAAGACCAATTAAACGTCGGCAATTAGGGTCGATTTCCATATGGCTAATTGATGGGATCATATAAGATAAAAACACATAAATATGTGACAAATGGTGATTTCCCGAAATGACAGTTTAATTACGCGCCAAAAACTAGATACTGGTGCGGCAAAGCAATGCCGCAATGGGGCCGGCTATGGCGCTAAGCTGTAAAAAAATGGCGGCCGGCCAATGAGAAACCGACAGCTGTAGCTAACCCTCTTTCCCGGGAAATTTCAAAGATTGTCTGTTTACATCTCTACCCTCGCTCGATTGTTACTTGGGAGCCGGTGGTTTCTTTTCTAAATGAAGGTTAAAATGGTCATTAGAAGTTCCCCGCGATTAAATCCACTCTTAATCCTTCCCTCTCTAATAGTGAAGTTCTCAAAGCCGTCCAAAACCACTGATCTGAATTTCTCCCCAAAAAAAAAAATGGAAAATCCGACCACCGTCGCCGCCGCCACAACCGCCGCGACGACGGCAGAAACCATCATCCACCACACCACCGCTTTCCTCTCCAAAGCAATCGCCGACCCGGAGCTCCGGAACCACCTCCTGGCCCTCCTCCACGGCGGCGGCAGGACCCACTTCGCCGCCCGATTCGCCGCCGGCAGCAACCTCCTCAAGCCCCACAGCCTGGCGCTGGAGGCGGTGGAGAAGGCGATCGCCGCCACGAACCTCTCCGTACAATCCTCCTCCCTCGCCGTCGCCGAGAAGCTGCTGCTCTGCTGCTCGACCACTCCCTTCTCGTCCTTCCTCCTCTCCCTGATCTACTCTTTGGTCCACCAGCCGGCCAAAGCGGCCAGAGCCGTCCTCTGCCTCTTCCGTATCAACCCTTCCGTCGCGCGGTCCAAATTCGCCCCCGATCTCTTCCAGGAGCTCTTCCTCGTCCACCTCCTCCCCGCTCTCCGGTGGTTCGAGGAACAGAGGACCCGGATTCTGTCGAATTCGGAGGCGTCGCCGACGAAGGTGCTGTCGAGGATGAACGGAGGGCAGACGAAGGAATTGAAGGAATTGGAGGGTATTTATGAGCAGGTTCTCGATGAGAATTGCAGAGTTTTTGCTGAGTACTTCATCAATGAGGTTTTGAGCGATGGGTCGACGGCGGAAGTGGGGCCGCCGCCGGCGGTGGTTTTGGGCAGAGGCGAGGCAGGGGAGTTCGCCATCGCGGGATTTGGACGGTATAATGTAATGCTTTTTTTCCGCATCTTTCTTCATCTTCTCTATCGCTATTATCTTCCATGAAAACATCCAACACCATGTTAGTGAATCAAAATTCAAAACCAAATTGGGTCGAAAATCTTATCGATGTGCTAAGATGAATTCGTTCGATTCAACAAGTCGAGAACACGTAGAAGACGATCTAACAATGCTGGTTTTGTTCCAGTTCGACGGGATTAGATTTTGGCGGGGAATGAGAGCTTTTGAAATGGTCAAATTAATCAAAAAAAGTTTCTCTAATTAGCTGGTTCATTTCATTCCACGACAAATTACCTCTGGATATATGCTTCAATTTCGGCTTTTGTCTTAAACTGTGAATATTGATTTCATTTTATGCAGCCGATACCAAAAGAAGAAGACGCAGCCAGTACATCTTCAGAACTCTGCAGTCCATTTGGCAGCAGCAGCACTTCCTCCACTCCCAATTCCAGCGGTCACCACCCGCCGCCGGCAACCTCTTCTCCTTCTTCTCCGGCGAAAGAAGCAGTATCCCCTGCTCCTTCTATCTCCGACTCCGACGACAACACTTCTTCTTCTTCTTCCACCGCTTCTACTTCTTCATCAGTATCTACTCCACCCTCTTCTTCCTTATCCACGGTGCGCAACCTCGTCTTCCTTTCCTACAATGTTATCCTTGTTTTCATCATGAAATTTTTAAAAAATGAAAACAAGATTTTGAAATCTCTGGACTGCAGGAAAAGAACAAACGAGTCGCATCGGTGCAGCCTCTACCATATCCCCTGACTCGCAGCAACAAACAAACTCGGTACAACCTTATTTTCCTTAAACCGGCTGATTCCGGATCCAATTTCAATCTGACTCTGTTTTTTACCCCTTTTCAAAACTGGGTTCTCCTTCTTCAGGTCTTCAATGGCGGGTTTCGACAGTCTGCAGCTGAGCACTACTAATAAGCCATCTCCTCCGCCAAAGGACTTTGTCTGCCCGATAACGAGCAACATCTTCACCGACCCAGTCACCATCGAGACCGGCCAGACCTACGAGCGGAAATCGATTCAAGAATGGCTGGATCGAGGGAACTCGACCTGCCCAATCACCCGCCAGAAACTGACCAGCACTCTGCTCCCCAAAACCAACTACGTCCTCAAGCGCCTAATCGCCGCCTGGCTCGAACAAAACCCTACCTCCTCTTCCCCTCCAATCGAAACCCCTCCCCGCCGGCGGAAATCCGGAGAGCCCACCACCACTCCGTCGTTGTCTCCCAACAGCGTCATCGTCGCTGCAGCGGCAGTCGACGGCTCTGTTTCCGAATTACGCCACGCGATCAACAACCTCTGTATGTCGGAGATCCTCGACGAATCGGAGGCGGCGGTTCTGACCATCGAGAGGTTCTGGCAGGAGGAGGTGAAGAAGATTAAGAATCAGAATCGAGGAGGGATCGATGTGCAGAGCGTGCTGGCTCGCCCCGCCGTCGTGAGCGGGTTCGTCGAGATTCTGTTCAATTCCGACGATCCGGCGGTTCTGAGAGCGGCCGTCTTCCTGTTGTCCGAATTGGGGGCGAGGGACGAGTCGGTGGTCCAGACCTTGACCAGGGTTGACTCCGACGTTGACTGCATCCTCGCCCTGTTCAAGAACGGGCTGATGGAGGCTGTGGTGTTGATTTACCATCTGTTGAGGGGTTCTTCTTCTCCCGAGGAATTGATGGAGATGGACATGGTGGAATCTCTGGTGGCGGTGTTGGAGAGGAAGGAGAGTGAAATGGCGGAGATGTGTATGAAGCCCAGAAGCGCTGCGGTGGTTTTGTTGGGGCGGATGATGGCGAGTGGCGAGGGGAGCGCTGTGGAGGCCGCCATTGTTGAGGGTATTGTGAAGAAGGAGGGCGATGATGTTGTGGCGGCCATTGTTGGAAGCTTGGAATCCGAATGGGACGAGGAGAGGGTTTCGGCGGTTGGGATGCTGCTGAAAGTTATGAAGGAAGATGGGAGGTGTAGGAACACTGTTGCTGATAAAGCTGAGCTTGCTCCTGTGTTGGAGAGCTTCAGTGGCGGTGGTGATGGTGAGAAGTTCGAGATCATTTGTTTCCTCTCCGAATTAGTGAAACTCAACAGGTATGATCCATCGTCCGAATTTCATTGCAGTCATAGTGTCAGGTAATTTGATGTGTGGTGAACAAACTTGGTTTCTGTAGGACGACATACAACGAGCAAGTTCTTCACATTATCAAGGATGAAGGGACTTTCAGCACGATGCATACTTTCCTCAACTATTTGCAGACTGCTCCTGTGGATCAATCTCCTGTCTTGGCTGGCCTTCTTCTTCAACTTGATCTTCTGGTTTGAATCTTCCTTCTCTCTGTCTTCTTATTTTCTTTGATAAATTTGGATGGAATTCTGATGCAGTAGTTGTTTACCGGGTTAGGCTGAGCCGAGAAAGATGAGCATGTATAGAGAAGAGGCAATAGATACCTTCATCTCATGCCTCAAGAACTCAGAATTGCCAGCTGCTCAAGTTGCTGCTGCAAAGACCATTATGTCGTTACCGGGGAGGTTTAACGTATCTGGGAAATCACTTACAAGAGCATTTCTACTGAAATGCGCTGGAGTTGAGAAGAGTTATCGAATCCTGACTCAGAATGAGCACCAGCAGACTAGGGAGCTTTATGGGGAAACTGCAGAGGTACCTAAATAAAAACTTGAATTTGTGTTGCTGTGAACTTAGATTGTCTTGTTCATGCTGCAAAAGAAATTTTGTGAGATCTTTTCTTCCGTTTTTTCTAACAATTCGAGTTACTGGAACAAACCGACAAATGATGACAACTTATTGCTGCAAATTTTTCTATCAGATAGAAGAGAGGGCAGCTGAAGTATGGGACATGAAGATGGCATCTGCATTAGTGAGCCACGAGTTTGGAGCAATCTTCGAGGTGCTGGCGGAAGGGATGAAGAGCAGGAACTCAGAATTGCAATCTGCTTGCTTTGTTTCAGCTGTATGGCTGGTGCATATGCTTGGCGTTCTTCCCGACACTGGGATTCGAGGTGCTGCCAGAGTCTGCTTGCTCGACCAGTTCGTGACGATTTTCAAGTCGGCAAAGGATAATGAGGATAAAGTCCTGGCATTGCTAGCTCTCAAGAGCTTCCTCAATGATCCTGGTGAGTGAGTTGGTGGTTTCCTTTTAAATCTGAATCAGCTCCAGGAATGTCCATATTGACCACAAACACTGAAAAAGTTCTTTTGCTCTTCTTTCTCCCTTTCTATGGGTGCTACTGCAAATGCAGAGGGGCTACAAGATTTAAATAACAACATGAAAGATGTAAAGAAAGGTCTGAGAGAGCTGAGGAAGTCTTGTCCATTGGCAGTTGAAGTTCTCAAGGATCTCTCAGAGGGAAAAGATAACAGTGCTGTAAGTTCTGCAGACAGTTTGGAAGCAATTATTTCATCAGGTTTTCTGCAGAAAGTTCTATTTTTTTATTTCTTGGGTTGGTTTTTTTTTTCCGTTTCAGGAATTGTGGAACCACAAAGAACTAGTTCAGGTTGATTGCTGTGAGAATGGAGAGGTGCTTTCCATTGCCTGCTTCAAGGACAAGATCATTTCAGGCCACTCAGATGGAACTATGAAGGTAAGTAACCATATTAACCAACTCTTGTCCTGAGAAATGTTGAGACCGAGTTTTGACAATTACTTCCGGCTTCTGAAGGTATGGACCGGTAAGGGCAGCATCCTTCACCTTATCCAGGAAATCAGAGAGCACACAAAGGGAGTCAGTAGCTTGGTGGTTCTGCAATCAGGAAGCAAGCTATATAGTGGCTCACTTGACAGAACTACCAGAGTCTGGTCCATAGTGGGTGACACGTTGCATTGTATGAAAGTTCATGATATGAAAGACCCGGTTCATAATCTGGTGGTAGCCAACTCCATTGCTTGCTTCATCCCTGCAGGGACCGGTATCAAGGTGCGATAATCAAGAGCATCTGGTATTCAGTTAACGGTCTAACCAGTTACACCAGTTCGGTTAAGTGAGCTCAACAAAGTATTTTTGTGGTGTCAGGTTCATTCCTGGAGCGGCAGGTCCAACTTGCTGAACTCAGGGCGATATGTCAAGTGCCTCTCTCTGGTTCAGGGGAAGCTTTACTGCGGCTGCCACGACAGCAGCATTCAGGTACTAGCTCTGCACTTCTCATGAAGATTCAGTTACTGGATAGAAACATCTTGAAGAAAAAACTGACACTTTGTGGTTCTTTCTTCTCTTTCCTCTTCCCCATTTCCCAGGAAATCGATTTGGCAACAGAGACAGTATCATTCATTCAAAGTGGATCCAGGAAGCTAATTAGCAAAGCAAGTCCTGTACATGCGCTAGAGGTTCGAGACGGGCTCATATATTCAGCCGTTTCGCCATTGGACGGAGCAGCTGTTAAGGTAAAGGGGAGAAACCATGAACACTGACTTCCCATTTCTTCCTCTTACCATTGTTTATATAGTATTTTCTTAATAATGTGAGGACTTGTTTGTTTGAACAGATATGGAGTGCTTCAAATCATGGTCAAGTAGGTTCATTGGCAACAACGATGGAAGTAAGGGCCATGGCTGTAAGTTCAGAGCTGATATATTTGGGGAGCAGAGTTGGGACGATAGAGATTTGGGATCGAAAGAAGCACATCAGAGTAGAGACCATACAAGCTTGCACCAACAGTAAATTAATTTCCATGGCTGTAGATGGTAATGAAGATATACTGGTTGCTGGGACTTCAGATGGATGGATTCAGGTAACCTAACACTAATTAATATTTACTAATCTGAGATTTCTTTTCTCTATGAAGCGGCAGATAGGGTACCGCAAAGGGTAAAACATTGATCGATGCAATTGGGATTCAACCCTGAAACTTTGGGCTGAAAGCACAACTGCTTTACTCTTCGGTCTCCTATATCTTGTACTTCTTCCCTGATCTAATGCTTGTTTCTTCTGTTGATGCAGGCATGGGAAGTGAGCTAAGAGAGAGAGAGAGAGAGGCGTTGGTGTAAATTATTTTTGGCAAGGAGGAAAATAGGGTGGGAATAGGGTTCATCCTCCATCGCCATTCTTTGCAAGAGCAGGGGACTTATTCATTTTTTGGATTATTTTGGTGGGATTATTCCTATCTTCAGTTGGAATAAATAGCCTTTGTATATAGACAGAGAGCCATGTAGTAAATTACTAACTTATATTCTTCTCAAAATATTTGACAGGAAAAATTCCTAGTATTTTTGTAGCAACTTGTACAGATGAACATGACTTTCTGTTACTGATACTAAGCATAGATTTTCCCAGAACACAGAGAGAGTTTGCTTTTTATGCTGTTTTCGTTTTGACGTGAAATTGTTCAAACTATTTAAACTGACAAAATAACGATGAAGTTACCCTTAATTGACTATAGATGCCTTGGTAATATTAAAAGAAGCTAACCTGCCAATGCATATAGTCTTATAATCAGCACATATTGAACTTGGTCCCCTGTAAACAGCGAATTCGGGTTTCCACCTTGAACAACAAATCTGGAACATGATCCTTCGTCCTAACTGACCACTTAATCCACCTGATATACCTTCAGGACACGCACGCAAACGAAGTCATTAGCACAAAACAAGACCAGACTCCGGGATCCTTCGAAGATGAGTTTCTTAGGGCGAGGACTATGATCATCATCGCGACGAATTGTTGCAAATGCAGACGCAACATCAGTACTAGTACCAGCTGCGAGGTCCTCAATGTCTCGACGCGAAACTATGCGGTACCCACACCTTATGACCTCCACTGCTGCACCTGGCTTAATAAGCTGATAAAATGGCAGCTCCTCAAATGACAACCCGACACAAGCTGACCCATCCGAAAGCCCCTTCAACAGAAACCTGATGCTGTCTCCTGAGACGAAGAAGAAGCAAATGTGTTGTTGTCGTTGTCTCTTGCTTGGTGAACCAAGCTGCTGCTTGCTGAAATGAGACCCATCTGTGAGATCGTTGACAGTGCAGCATAGTGCAAGGCCCATCATGTCATCGTAGTAGGGAGACTTGGGAAGTGATACCCAAATTGATGAGCCATCTCTCTGATGGGTGAACCACTTCGGAATTCTGCTGCCCTGGACTTTGAAGACCAAGCGTTCCAATGTAGCAGGATGCTCCTGTCCCTGTCATAATGCATAATGAAGTCATTCAGATTGGATATCCCTTGCATACAAAGTAGACAAGTAGTTGTGCGAAGAGGAAATGAAATTATTAGCTATGTGCTAATTTTACCCGAAGGAGTGGTCTTCTAAGCAGGGTAGGCCAAGAGCTGTCTTCAGAAACGCCATTCCCATCATACAGCTTCGAGCAATCAAGACCTTCGAAATAGAAATGTCCTCCGCTGAATTTCATGTCCGGCATTTGCCCCAAAGAAACACAGCCGTTGACGTACAGAAACTCAATCCTCGACGGGAGCTTGGGCAAGCTCGTTAGCATCATGCAATTATCCAACCGAAGTGAATAAAGCCTTGACAGTTGCCCGATGATTGGCAAGGTAACAAAGTTGTTGCTGCTTAAATCCAACAACTCCAACGATGGCAACAAGCACCCTACACTGGTAGGAAAATCTCCTTCCTTCAGCCCACAGTCTCCTAGGTTCAGAGTTGTTATCATTGAATGGAGACCAGACAAGGTAGGCAACTTTGTTGGCATGTTGTACTGGAAGGACAATGTTTTGAGATGTTTCAGATAGAATATGGAGAGTGGCGGCTGTGTGATTTTTGTCCCACTCAAATCAAGCTCCTCGAGACTCTCTAGGCCTCCCAGCTCCCTTGGCACATTGTCAAGCTGAGAGCAGCCATGGAGGTTGAGCACCTTCAACTGCTTTAAGCTGCCAATGCTAACTGGAACTGTCTTGAGGCTGTTGCAGCTACTGAGACTCAGTACGGATAAAGCCACGGCCCAACAGATTATCTGTTGGAGTTCTTCATTGCTGAGAGCTGTACTATCCAAGTAGAGCTCTTTTAGTTTTCCAGGCATAGATGGGAGGTTGCGGAGTTTTGTGCAGCCTCTAAAACTAAGGCAAGTTAGCTTTTGAAGAGAACCGATTGATGGGTGAATAACACCAAGGCTGGTGCAGTCTTTGAAAATCAATGTTGCGATATTTGGAGCCCCGGTGAAATCTGGAGTTGCGATGAGGTTGTGGGAGTGACTTAAATCCATGGCTTTCAAGTTGCTCATCTGTATGCCATATGATGATGATTGTGAGTTTGCGTAACAAATGATTAAATCATGAAAATCTGGTTTGTTTCACTTTTGAAGAACAGAGAAGGCGATGGAATATGCATGATAGTTTCTTATATAGGAAGAGTACGAAAGTAAGCATGGGTAAAAGCTGCATTACCTTGGCCTTTCCATGCCAGAGTCGACTCATGTTGCTGTAGCACATGTTAAGTTCCACGAGTTTACTGCGTCTAAAAGAAGCCGGCAATGACTCCGAAGGGTAGCAATCCCACACAAGGAGTCGTAATTCACTGGGAAGATCGATTGGTCCTTCAAATTTTGCATTACGTATGATGAGCAGTCTCAGTCTGTACATGTTTGAGAATGCTTCCCTATTTAGTTGCACCTCTTCCTTCTCTGGTAAATCTAATACAATGGCTTCAACCTCTTCCCTTCCCTACATTAACGATGTAAAGCAGTGTCACTAGAGAAATAAAGTAAGGCTAAGTGAAGTAATCGAGCAGGAGAAAAAAGTAATGAATAGGGAATATAACTGGAATTGGAAGTTTATGAAGTGTGTGTGATATACTTTCAACCTAACAATAAAATAAAACTCAGCTAGACTAAGCATGAATGAAACCATCATGAGTTAGGAACATCTAACACTTTCTCCACTTACAGTTGGTGTCGTCAAAACAGAAAGGATATCTTCAGGATCCCACAATCGACTGCGCCTTCCAGGATTCCCGGGAGATTCTAGATGAACAATTTTTCTGCCCATATCTCGCAACAGATCATGCATCACCAATTTGCCCATGGGGGAAAAACTCAGGAGAGACTTCTCCACAAGATGCTTTACTCCAATGTCGGCACAGAAGCCACAGCTGTTGAGTACCTTCTTCACTTCGCTTATGCTCTTCAAGTTAAAGAAACAAGCAATATCCAAAAACATGTCTTTCTCAGGCTTGTTTAATCCATCAAAACTTATCTTGAGCACATCTAGGATGTCATCACAGTAGTCTTTCAAACTAGTAATAGCACTTTCCCACTCTCTTCTGCTTCTTCCACCGAGAAAACAGCCCAAGACTTCAATCGCGAGAGGTAGGCCTTGCGCATACTCCACGACTCGCATAGAAAACTCCTCAAAACCCTCACTTGGCTCATAATTCTTAAAGGTCTTCAAACTAAATAAGGTAAGAGCCTCTATGTAATTCAAACCCTCAAGCTTAAACACACCACAAGCTCCATGCTTGTACAACAATCTTTGATCTCTACTCGTTATGATGATTCGGCTCCCTGGACCGAACCAATTTTGGTTCGCAGCCAACATCTCTAGCTGCTCAGCGGAGTCCACATCATCCAGAACTAGAAGAACCTTTCTGTGCTGCAAGCTCTTCTTTATCATCACCTTCCCAGTGTGGGCATCCCAAACTTTGAGGTTCTTTTCCATCAACACTGCTGAAAGAAGATGCTCTTGGACATGAACTGCTCCATGCTTCTCAAAATAATCCTTGACATTTTCAAGAAAACACCTACTGTTTCGAAATTCCATACCAATCTCATCATAGACAACTCTGGCTAATGTTGTTTTGCCAATGCCACCCATACCAGAGATCCCTACAAATCGAACATCATCGCCTGTGTCTTCACCCAATAGCTCCTTGAGCTTGTTTGCACGCGAACCCATTCCAACCAAGTTGTCCATGCTAACTTCCAATGTCCGGCTCAACTCAAGCCATATCGTGTCAACGATTTCTCTAACCATCTCAGATTGATCCCTGCAGATGAGAGAAGCTATTATATAACTATAGGGTAGTGCTAAGAGCTTGACTCGTTGGAATATCTACATATTGTTCTGTTCTTCTCCATCATGGTTACTCAAGCAATGGACTTTCCTAAAGGGTAGTAAAAATCTCCCAGAAAGCGAATTTGGGAAATGAACCTTTGGGAGATTGAAAAGGGGGAAAACAAAAGAAAAGGAGATAGAATCCCTACTTGTTCTGAACATCCCAACCGGAAACATTGCCCACTTCTTCAAGAGCCTCTTTCCATTGCTCCACCTTCCCCGCACTATCTCCACGACAGTGCCGATTCAGTGCTTCACCGTACTCTCCATTCAATTCAGCCACAACCATGGGATCCACATCGTAAAACACAGGCAGAACAACCTGCCCCAGCCGCCGCCTGCAATCGACAATCTTCACCAATTCGTCCAGGCACCAGGGAGATTCCGCGTAGCCTCTGGAGAACACGACGATGGAGAATCTCGAACATTCAATTGCGCGGAGGAGCGACGGCTCGATGGTCTCCCCTCTGGCCAGCTCGTTGTCGTCTCTGTACGCGTTGATTCCTCTCCGAACTAGGGCTCCGTAGAGGTGGGCTGTGAAGCCGTGACGAGTGTCGGCGCCGCGAAAGCTCAGAAAAACGTCGTGTGCAAATGGAGGAGGAGGTGTTTGGCTGCTGCTTGTGGAGGCCATTTTCGAGGAGAGATTGGAGGAGGGAATCGATTCCGAAGAGCGATTGGAGCTCCATGTTGGAGAGAGCAGAAGAGACTATAAATGGCGGGCAGCAAAAGCGGGAAAACCCTAAAAGGATGACCGATGAAGAAGACTGACCAGAATTGGGAAACGATAAGGAGGAGAGGGAATTTACAGTAGAACCATCGTGAAAAGGATCTCGCCGGGATATTTCGCGGAGGAGACGGCGGAAAATGGTGACAACTGACAACAGTACCGGCACGAGCGTGGACGTGGAAATGTATCGATCTCAAAGTTTCCTGGAAATTTTTCATCGGGAAAGAAGTTTCCCGGGAAATTTTGTTTGTGATACGTCGACTAGGATGAACAAAAATATCAGCAAACCGACTCATCCCTCCAATTCGATCTAACTCATCCGTTTAATACAAGTATTTTATCCGTTAAATTTTTTTGTATCCTTATTATTGTCAAATCGTTTCATTTTTTTCGTTCATTTGATGACTCTAATACTAAACCCGTATAACACGTTTAATATCCATATTTAATTAATAAAATTGTTAACTTTACTATTATTCATATATTTATTTATTTTCAAAATAATTAATTTTATATATTTATGACTATTAACGTACTATTAAACATAACATTAGTTTAAAGACGAAGTAAAATACCCGTACGTATTACATACATAACTTTCTCATGCCGTATTTTACTAACTAGGCTCCTGATATTAAAGTTTAATGTTGGGCGAGGGTTTTATATTGTATAACTATAATCCTTCTCTTTTGGATTGAGTACAGATTTTGGATTATGCAACCTATACAACCCTACCCGTATTCCAACTATCGTCATAAGTGTACATATCCAAAAACATATTTGCGTTGTATATAAGCATGTTTGTGAGGAAATTAAGATTTTGCGTTCTATTTTTCTCTCATGATCTCTCTAAACTAATGCATTTTTCGACTCAAAATTTAGACGTGATTTAATATAGGCTATGCTTCACATAATAATTTTTGTTACAATTTCAAAAGAATAACATGTGAAAAAAAACTAGACATATGTCGAAACAAATTGTGTTTCTTTAAAATCCAAATATAGTTTAAGCATTTTGATACTTTTCATCTTGGTTTATTTGTTAAATTTTAATTAGTTATATTGTTTTTTTGCCGTGTAAAATAATTGCATTGTTTGTATTGGGTTGGAATTTTACTTGAAAATTTCGTCAATCTTATTTTTTTGGATGGATTTGGATTTAGTATTTTCAAAACCGTAGTGTATTGATTGGGTGATTAAAATGACTAAACCCGAACTATCCAACCCATATACACTCCTAACGTCAACACCTATAATTTTATTTTATTTTTTTACAAAGAAGCCCTATTATACTTCAAAAGTGATAACAAAATTTAGAGTGAAGGACTCATATAGAGAAGAATGAAAGGTCGTCCCATAAGCCCCATTACAAAAGTTTAAACTGAAAATAAACCCCAATTAGAACAGACTCGCAAAGAAAACTTACATTATAAAGTTATTCATTAACATCGACCATGATTGTCTACTATACTATTCTTTCCCTTGTCGCCGTCGATGAAAATCCATCGATGACCAGCATATCGTTGTGCGACAAGACTAAAGCCATGACTAACAAGAGACCTGCACAAAGAGCATGGATACCAAAAAAACATTTACGAACAAGCATGAAGAAGAGACGAGCTTCAGGACGATGTATCTATGCCTTCAACATAATAATAAAAAAAAAAAACCCGCATCTAGACCGTTGCGAGTGTGAAGGTCTTTGCATCTCCGAAACGCCAAAACAAATGCTGTATTTTCGAATGTAATTAACATAATGAAAAATCAATTACGATGTAACTGAGAATCCGAATTTCTAAACCACCGATCTTGTTAACTACGTTTTTCCATATTGATGAATCAATCAATGATGAAATGAGCAATCAATAATTAGCAACACACCCTCCTTGTGATTACCGATTCTCATCAACGGTTACGTAGAAAATACAATAATGTTTTATTACAAAGTAAATCACGACAATGAATGAACCTTATAATAGTGCAATGATTCTAATAAACTAGATAAATTTTACTTGATTATATTAATTACAAAATTAATAAGATAAATTTCATTAATTATATTAATTATTACAATAAGATTGTGACTATCATGTCATCAAATATGTTTAACTGATTTGTGATCTTTCACTTCATTTATAGAACTAGTACTAAGTGGAAAGTTAGATGAATCTAATTAAAGTGAATCTTATGATATAAACATATATTTTATTATTACAAATAAATTACATCAACTCAAACCATCAACTAAGTCAACAAATAGTTTAATTGTGATTTCAAATTATTAACGATGATAAAAATAATCCGAACCAATAACAAAACTAGTTATACTACCATAGAATTTTTAGAAATGCAATTCGTCTCTGTCAAAAGTGTCGCCATTGTTGGAGCTAGCGGAGGGCCAAATGTCCAATGTGCACCCTCAACCTCAATAGGGAATATTATTATCACATTTGTGAAAGCTAGCTTCACATAAAATAATTATACCGCCACCTTAATCATATAATCTCTTCTGTTTAATGTTTAATCAGCAGATACTTGTGGCCTTCACATTTCCAGGAAAACGAACATCCACCCTAATTGGATTCACATGGTAATTGAGGTTTTGAAGATGGCAATTCGAACTCGTATCTAACTGGATAATGTGCGATCGTATTCGATGGCCGGATACTATTATATCCGCGATGAGGCGGGTCTTATTTTATCCAATGATGGATTCAAATTTTCATCAAAGATATTTTATATTTAATAATAATAAAAAATAACGATTGTCAAATAGTCTCGAATTCGACACTATCATTACGAAAATAAAATTTCAAGCGGATTTTTTGTCCAAAATTTTGATTTCAAGTTTGTCAAGTGACAACCCATTGATACACTTGGATCCGCCCTTTTGACCCGCAGTAGCATAGGCGGGGGCACGAGTACTATTTTCGCTCTACACTCTACTTCGCCCCCGTCTCGTTTCGTTCCTGACCGTTCTTTCTCGATTAGTTGCAAGACTTCGTCTTCCAACTAATTGAGCTCAATTACTCATTTTTTTATCTTTGTTTTTACATTTGTTAAGTGTTTTGTTTTGTTTTATCGTAAATAGTTTATCTTTCTACGTCTATTTTTTTTTTGCAAATAACATGCGAGAATTGGGTCGACCTGCGTAACTCGCATCTGAGCGACTATTACCCAACTTGATCCGCACATAGTGACTAGTATGGTATTGAGGTACCCTCCTACCCCACCCATTTGCCACACTATACTTGGGGCCTTCACATTTGCCGAATAATTAACATCTATTATTGGATTCACATGATAGTTTCGTATCAACTTTCAAAGATAGATACTTACAAGTTGCCTAATTTTGGCTAGTCGGAGAATTCCTTTTGCTTGTTAATCCATAATCTGACAACATCCACCCAACCACAGTGTCAAAGCCAAACCCTAATTTTTTCAGTCACGGGATACACCTAAAATTTAGAGGAAAATTATTAACTCCGAGTAGGTGTATATGTAGGATTTGAATTCTAGACGTTTATGTAATACGAGAAGTTTTATAGACAATGTTTTATTTTTTACAATTCCTTCCATACATGAAAATATGTCATGGTTGTCTATACAAAAATAAATTTGTATTAATAGGCTCTTTAATTTTTCTTTTACGAATGAATTACTTGAATATAAATTTTAAAATATTTATTCATACATTTATATTATAAAAAAGGTACACATGTTTCGATCTTCTGATTGTAGCTGGTTTTCCTTTACCATATTGGATTAGGCCATTAGGGTTAGACCATCGTGATCAATATTATAAATACTTCCCATACTCCTCTGTAATCTGTATCTCCTCGGAGTATAGTGAAACTGGTGGTTCTCTCCTGCCCGTGGAGTATTAGCTAACACACATTGTGTTAGTGAACCACTTAAATCATGTATCATGTGCGTTCTTGTGTTTCGTTTTCATACTTTGTCGAATCCTCCTATTTCTCGCGCGATCTGCAGAAAACCGTCGTGACAATATGGTGATAGAATAGGTTAATCTGAAACCGAAATCCACCCAAATCCATTCGTGGGCTCACTCATGCCTTGTCAGTTGTGAAAGCTAGCTGATTAACTAGCTTTACATAAGAATAACCCCATCCGGCCACCTTAATATAATCTTCTTGCTAATTCATTGTTTAATTGGCGGATACATTTGCCGGAAAAAGAACATCCATCCTCTGAATTCACATGACAATTTCGTTTCAGCTTTCCAAGATAGATACTTACAATGCAAGTTGCTGCTGCATTCGGATATTGAAGGCGTTTTGTTTTGCTTGTTCCATCAGCATCGTTATTACAAGGAGACAGAGCATGGATGCGGCTGAACAAGTTCATACGGTATGTCGTAATTAGCGTCTTGGACTGATCTACTCCGACATATTGGTCATCCACCGCCGTCCGGCGCCTTCCGCCAGTTCTACCAATAATTGAAGCTTTTGCCGATGTTATTTGTTGGCTAGCTAGCTAGCTAGGCTCTGTTTCTATCACTGAACTTCAACGTAATCGCATTTGGGTATACTCCAAGTTATCCGATCATTGGATGTACTTCGTTGTACTCGAAATTGTCAACTACTATGTGTATTAAATTTGTCGTCCGGATTTGCTTTTAGGAAATGGGGTTTAGGGTTAATTCGGTAAAAAAAATAGAGTTTAATATCATACTACATACTCAGTTTAATTCGTTGTTTAGATATAGGTATTTCACTAGGATTAATTGGAGTATAGTGTTAGTACGTAGTATGTGGTTCGTTGATTTATGTCCACATGAGAGATAGAACTCTCCCATCTGGAATTTCAAGTGGTTGTAAGAACTATTTTCCGTCGTATTCTTCTCGCATACCATACACTGGGTTTATGTGCGTATTATGTTACAGATAGATGTGGAAAATTAATTGGATGAAATGAATTCGTGAATTGGATTCATAGATCCAAGTGACATTTAAACCGGGACCATTATAATTTTTTTTTGTAAAAATAACAAATTTAGGTTGCAAATTGTAAATTTTAAGAAGATTTTCATTACAAATTTGACATACATATGTATTAAAATATAATGTCAATCGTTTATGAATTCATCAATCTATTGGATTAAGATTATACGGTTAATACCTTATTTTGGCCCGAACTATAACCATATAATCAATTTTGGTCCGTGGTTTCAGAAATTAACATCCTGGCCTTAACTATGTAGCATATAGACTCAACTGGCCCGACACATAGTTTGACCGTCAATTTGGACGGTCAACTCCGTTGACCGTTAGTCAACATGCCATGTCATTGCCTAATCAGCCTAAAAATCATTAAAAAATGCAAATTTCAAATTATTTTTCTAATTTTTCTTATTTATTATCAAATTAACCAAAAAAATTTATAAAAAACATAAAATAAATTTGATTTTTTATTTTTTGGATAATTTAAAAAATGATAAATTTCATAAATTAACCAAAAATTATCAAATTATTTTATATTTTTAAAACTTCCCAAAAAAATATAATTTATATCATAATTTTTAAGTTTATAAAATTTAATTTGATACTTTTTGGTTAATTTATAAAATTTATCATTTTCAAATATCACAAAAAATTTATTTTATATTTTTAGAATTTTATTTTTTGGTTAATTGGAAAATGATAAATAATAGAAATTAGGAAAATAATTTGAATTTAAAATTTTTTAATGATTTTTAGGCTGACTAGGCAATGACATGGCATGTTGACTCCGTTGACCGTCCAAATTGACGGTCAAACTATGTGTCGGGCCAATTGAGTCTATATGCTGCATAGTTGAGGTCATGATGTTAATTTCTGAAACCACGGGCCAAAGTTGATTATATGGTCATAGTTCGGGCCAAAATAAGGTATTAACCCTAGATTATATGAATTGAATTAGTTAGACTTTTTTAGTGTATGGATTATATTGAAACTGTCATCTACTTACAGATGTTACGACTTGGCGGCACATTATTTTACAATTGACAACTTAGCAATGCAAGTCAATAACACGCTAACACAATACTTGTCGAGCCTAAAATTCAATGACCTAAAAGGTACCCATTGTATGAAACAATTTTCGTAACCCTACTATGAGGATTCACGGAACACTCGAGGAAGCGACAACGATGGTGTGAAGATTCTCCTGACAAGGCGGATTATCCAACAAACGCCAGAGAAGATAGTTGGTCAATTCTTCATTGAATCCATGTCGCTTAGAATTCGACAATTGACGGATATCCGAGACAACATTGTAGACCATCATAAACCAAAATAAAAGTTCACTAACTCAATTTGACACATAAAAATAAAAATCACGATCTAGATGAAAAGAAAGCTCGAGTTTTATGGACTATTTGAAGCAAGTTACAAGAATCTCTCTACTTAGCTAGCAATTTTGCAACATTGTGGAAAAAAAATGAAAACTCCACATTTGAATGAAAAAAAAAGATATTTAAATGCTTATAAATATCTCTCCATAGTACACTCACACTATACTAACCGCCCATTCCTACACCTATCCTCTTTGGCTCTTTCTCTCTCTTTTCGCCATCCCCAAAACGAAAACCGCCCACGTTACTTCCATCGTCATCACTTCCACATGGGAGAAGAAACTGCCGGCGGGATGCTTCCCGCCGACGAAATCCAGTCCCCAGCCAAACACCCCCACAACCCAACCGCCGGCCGGAGAAAAGGCGGCCTGAAAACCATGCCTTTCATCATATGTAAAAACCCCCCCTTTCGAACCTCAATTTCAATTTTCCATTTCTCTCTAATTAACTAACTGTAGTTCCGCCATTGCAGCAAATGAAACTCTGGAGAAGGTCGCCAGCGTCGGCCTCCAAGCCAACATGATCTTCTACCTCCAGAAGCAGTACCACCTCACAAATTCCACCGGCGCCAACGTCCTCTTCCTCTGGGGCGCCCTCTCCAATTTCACCCCGATCTTCGGCGCCTTCGCCTCCGACTCCTACCTCGGCCGCTTCCGCGTCATCGCAATAGGCACCATCGTCACCGTCTTCGTAAGTCCCAAAAAAAAATTAAATCCCCAATTCGTCAATTCAACAATGATACTGACAATTGAAAATGCTCCCCTGTTTCTGTCCACCACATCTTCAGGGGATGATCGTGCTCTGGTCCACCGCCGTCTTCCCGTCGGCCCGGCCAAACCCATGTCAGCAATTGACGCCCGACACGAAACACTGCGACTCGCCGGAGCCGGCCCAGCTGTTCCTGCTCTTCGCCTCGTTCGCCCTGATGGCGGTCGGGGCGGGCGGGATCCGACCCTGCTCGCTGGCCTTCGGGGCGGACCAGTTCAGCGACCCGGCCGACCCGAACAACGAGCGGACCCTGCAGACGTTCTTCAGCTGGTACTACGCGTCGGTCGGGGTCTCGGTCATCGTCTCGGCCCTGGCCATCGTCGCGATCCAGGACCGGTTCGGGTGGATCGTCGGGTTCGGGGTGCCCGTGGTGCTGATGATCCTGTCGGCGGTGCTGTTCCTGATCGGTTCGCCCGTTTACGTCCGGGTGCCCGGGGATTCGACCCTGTTGACCGGGTTCGGGCGGGTGGTCGCCGGCGCGTGGAGGAACCGGGGGATGGCGGCGCCGACGAGGGATTCGGATCGGTGGATTCGTCGTCAGGGGTCGAAGCTTGTCCGGCCGACTGATAAATTAAGGTATATATATAAACGTAGTTAGTGATGTTAATCTTTGTTTTTATTTGGTTTAATTATCTGGTTAAATGTCCTTTTGGAAGTAGGTGTGACTTGTGGTTATGGGGAATGTTGTGTTGTTTCATATGTGGATATCGATCGTAACGGCAGATCCCATGGCCGTTTCTGATACCCCAAATGGAATTTCACCTTTATTCACGCGGTTTTAGCTCGAAAATTGTCATTTTATGAAATTTTGGTAACATATGGTTTTGGAATCAAATGGTTTGTTTAAGCATTTTATTTCATTTCAAAATGAAATAAAGTGAAATGAAATAAAATGTATGATTCATTTCCAATTGATTGAAAAATCAATATTATCGTATATCATAAATATGGCTACAAATGAGTCAGGTTGCTCACAAGCAACTTGTCGTTTTGCTCGGAAAAGACTTATTTGACACTCGGCTCGTTCTCTAATGAGTAAAGCTCGAGCTATGCCTTGTGTAGCTTGTAAGGTTTGCGAGCTAGATCGACTCAGTTGGGTTGTTGAGCTTAACCTGCGAGCTTCCTCGTTTTGAACTTGCTTGACTAGTGATTTATGAGAGAATCTACATATAGCTTATGAGGTGATTTGTTGATAGTTTATATGTTTGTTAGATTATACATTTTTTCACATATGATGCCTAAGACTTTCAGCATGTGAGCAAATATGCTTCATTTACAATTTAAAAGAATTGTGTATCATAAATTACTTATATAGCAATTAATATAAATAATATGATATATGATCCTGAGTCGAGCTCACGAGCTTATTGATAAATCGAGCTCTAGGTAAAGCTAGTGAGCTTATTAGTAAGCCTCAGCCAACCTAGGTCAAGTTGGAGTCAAATACAAGTCAAACTTTATTAACATTTTACGACATTAGCTAACATTTTTTTTAACAAGGTAAACCCCAAAATAGATCAAAACTTTACTCATTTACGAATTACGACATTAGCTAACATTTTTTTGGTCTGGGCTTTTTAACAGGTTTCTTAACAAGGCCTGCATGATCCCAAACCCATCAGAAGCCCAACCCAAAGACCCCAACACCCTCTGCACCGTCCAACAAGTAGAAGAGCTGAAATCCCTAATCAAGGTCCTCCCAATCTGGTCGACCACCATCATCATCGCCGTCACCGTCAGCCAGCACTCCTTCCCGGCCCTCCAGGCCAACTCAATGGACCGCCGATTCATCGGCGAATTCAAGCTCCCTCCGGCCTCCTACGGCGTATTCGGCATCCTCACACTCACCCTCTGGGTCGCCCTCTACGACCGCGTCGTCGTCCCCGTCCTCGCCGGCCGCCCCTTCAACCGCCCGACGGGGATCTCCAACAAGTACCGGATGGGGATCGGCCTCCTCATCTCCTGCCTCGCCACCGCCGTCGCCGGCGCAGTCGAGCACCGCCGCCGGAATTTGGCATTCCGGCAAGGCATCGCCGACGACCCTGCCGCCATCGTCGGAATGTCGGCGAACTGGCTGATCCTGCAGTACTGTTTAACCGGGCTCGGCGAGGCGTTCAACATCATCGGGCAGATCGAGTTCTACTACTCGCAGTTCCCCGAGAACATGAGGAGCATCGCGATGGCGCTGGTGTCGCTGGGGCTCGGCGTCGGGAATTTGGCCGGGAGTTTGATTGTGTCGGTGGTGAATGAGGCGACGAAAAGGGGCGGCGGAGGGAGGGTGAGTTGGGTTGGGAATAATTTGAATCGCGGGCATTATGATTATTACTACTGGTTGCTGAGTGTGTTGAGCGTGGGGAATTTTTTCTACTACTTGCTCTGTAGTTGGGCGTATGGGAGTGATGATCGGAAGCTTTGGGATGAGGCGGAGGTCGCCGGCGGCGACGGCGGTGGTGGGGAAGGAAGGGAGATGGAGACGGTTGTATAAAACAATTAGTTTGTTTGGTTCGGGAGATTATTTTTTTTTAAGTGGTGTACTTACGAGCTAGAAGTTTGCTATTATGCAAATTAAATGACTCTGCACAGATTGATAATGTGGACGGTTGTATTATAAATACTTGTATGAGAGATTGTACCGAACAAGTTCGTATAATGGATTTAACACGAGCGGAATTATTGTTTAGCCAACAACATATTTATAAGATACACGTATGTATATATATATATATATCATTAAAGAGCAAGTAAAGAAAGATAATATATTTGATCGTTAATATACCCGTATTGAGTTATTAATTAAAACCGAATGATGTATTGGATACATACAATTTGACGCGTTATACTTAGAGTCTAGAGATAACAATTTTATATCCAATTAAACATTCAATTAATTAACATTCCATTAGATTGTGGATTCGAGATTAGATACATGGATATATGAAAAATTACAGTTTATTACTTCTATTTTTATATTTTACATTTTATTATCTAAATTTTAATTTGTTAAAGTAAAATATTATTGGAAAATTTGCCAGTGATTTTGCAATTCTCATTTTGTGTTGATGGCCGGACTTCCCAATTAGCGGCCGTCGCTAGCGGATTTCACAGTAAAATCCGCAACCACTCCATTCAATAATAGTTACCGGCGGCCGGAATTCACACCGGATTTGAAGAGGCAATTAAATTAATTTTGCTTTGCAGCAAAATGCATTCTCACTAATCACTATTAGAGGGATTATCAGGTACAGTGTATATTATACGCCGTCTTATTAAAACAATATTTTTATCTTAAAATATCGGAAGTGAAAAAGAGATTGAGTGACTAGAGATGGCAAAAAGGAATGAAGAAAATTAATTTCATACAACACAATTTCTTAAAAATATATTATTTGCATGCTAAATATAAAATATGTTGAGAAAAATAAGGATTATTTCTTGACAGAATACATATGTATGTGTATAATCGGGTGAGTTCAGATTGGATAATGAGAAAATCATGTTCATTCATTGCCCGCAATCTTTGAATTCGAGTTTTACTCATACCCACAAAAAATCATTCGAGCTCAATTTTAACCCTTCCTGATTAGATCAGATTCGGGCGGACTCCACAATCGGATATTTATTACATACTAGAAGAAAAATATATTTTAATATAACAGGAGTATATTATACACGGGAATATCCAATAATTTCTCATCTCTATAAATACAAGTCACTGTTAGACTCCTTCCATCTTCACCACGAACTTCCCAATTTCTCAACCACCACCAGCCTTCCCGCGACTCCCGAGTTCTTAGTGAAATCAGTTCGCCGCCCTAATCCCTATGGCACCCATCGCCGCCGGTGACTCCTTGCCTGACGGAACCCTCGCTCACTTCGACGAGAACGATCAGCTCCAGCAGGTGTCCATCCACTCCCTCGCCAAAGGCAAGAAGGTCGTCATCGTCGGCGTTCCCGGTGCTTTCACCCCCACTTGCAGGTCCGATCATTATTCTCTCTGCTATTTCACTCCCCTTCGTTTCAATTCCCCTTCAGATCTGTAACCTTACGCCTAGATCTTGCCGTCTCGTCAATTACTCCGCCTTTTGATATTTTGGAGTGTGTAATCGGATCGGCGATTGTGAGTTCTGAAATTGTTTGGATTTGTGGTCTGTTGATGCTGCTGCAGCTTGAAGCATGTTCCTGGGTTCATCGAGAGAGCAGAGGATCTCAGAGCCAAAGGCGTCGCTGAGATCATCACTATTAGCGGTAGTATTCCATTCCATTTCCCTCTCCTTTGCTATTGATAGATTTTGAAAGTCGGCTGTCGAATTTTCAGCTATCTGGATAATCTTCCTGCTAATTAAGGCAGATTCTGCAGTCCTGTTTAGTTAGCAATTCCCCTTTTCATTTGACACTTTCCGAGATCATGCTTTTGGCCCAAATTTGTTTGATAAACTAGATGGGAAACCCTAAGATAGCAACTTTGCTGGAAAATATGATGCTTCATTCAATTCAAAACCGATGTACTAGTACACTCCAATTATCCCATTCATTTTAACTGACATGACGAATTCCTTCACTTATGGATGGGTATAGATGTGTTATGACATGGGTTCTTCTAGGGTCATTCACTGGTTGTGCAGTGAATGACCCATTTGTGATGAAAGCTTGCGCCAAATTTGTGGTTTGTTGATCGATTTCGAAGTCCTCTTTCGAATTTTTATCTCACTGGATAATCTTCCTACTAATTTGGGAGATTCTGCAGTCCAGTTCAATTAGCAATTTCCCTGTTTTTCGCCCAAATTTGTTTGATAAACTAGATGGGAACCGCAAGATAGAAACTTTAGAATCGGCTGGAATTTATGATGCTTGATTCAATTCAAAACCAATGTTGTGTTAGTAGCCTAGTACCCTTAATTGCCCCCCGATTCAGTGTAACTGACATGGTGAATTGACTATTGAGTTTTGAAAGCAGTGAAATTTCTTCATTTTCTGGATATGTATCGATGTGTTCTGATATGGCTCTTCTGGGTGGGGATCTTTGGTTGTGCACACAGTGAATGACCCATTTGTGATGAAAGCTTGGGCCAAAACCTACCCGGAGAACAAGCACGTGAAGTTCTTGGCCGATGGGTCAGCAACTTACACCCACGCGCTGGGTCTCGAGCTCGATCTCAAGGAGAAGGGTCTCGGAATCAGGTCGAGGAGGTTCGCTCTGTTGGTGGACGACCTCAAGGTGAAGGCTGCCAACATTGAAGAAGGTGGCGAATTCACTGTTTCCAGTGTTGATGAGATCATCAAGGCCCTTGATTGATAGCTTGAGAGCTTAGTGCATCGACTCTTGATTGATAGCCTGTTTAGTGTTAGTGATGGAGATACTCTTGCCATGGTGGTGTGCTATGATGATGAACCTTAGGTAATTCTCAGTCCCCAGTTTCTGTTTAGGGATGGAGAAGAATAAAAGGATTTCGAAGTTTCAGCGGTGTTATTGCAGTAGTGTCTTGTTTACTTGTTCCGTTATATATTTTGTTGGCTGGCTCCAGTAGTATATTGGATTCAGCCGGCGGCCGGCGAACCCTGGTGGAATTGTTCGATTTCTGTTGTTAAGCAACTCGCGACTAGTGAACTACAAAGTCGGTTTCGTATAGTTTTCAAACGAAGCCAGTCAACTTTGTTTCGCGGCTGTACTTGTCTGCATCATTCATCTAGATTCTTTCGCGCGGTTTAAGATTTGAAGTTTATCGATATGCTAAGAGGAATAGTTGTGAAACTCTATCGAAGTTATACCGAAAAGTTAGTAGAAGATATTTTGTATTAAAATCGTGTTTGAACCGTTTTGTATCGTTAAAAACGTTTTATGTTTAGAGTTCGTTATCGGTACTTTCGGTTGAACCGACTGGTACGGTAGAATTTCTATTGAGTAATAATGAGTTTTTTGTCGTGTATTGTTACATCTAATGCAGTCAAAATCGCACTTTTTACGTTTTTAGATCGAGTTGGTTTCTCGACATTCTCATCAGCAACTATCTATTGGGTCGTTGGTATGGCAAGGTTTGGGCCGACATTTATAAGTTCTCTCTTAAGCCCAACTAAAGCGACAGATCAAATCGCGTTTTAACTTCATCTATTGACTTCCTTTCCGCAAGCTGCAAGGATTAAACCATCATCTTTTCCGATTTTCCCTTTTCTGGCCTTGAAACCCTAAAACTCTACTCTCTCTTCATTCTTGCGTTAACAACTTAACATTCATCACTCGTGAGGAAGAATCCTCGATTAAGAAGAGTAGCTGGCGGGGTCCTACGTTTTCTGCTCGCCGCCTCCTCCGCTGCGTTCGTCTTCCGTCGCTGCTCAGAAGCAAAACGAGGGAGTTTTTGCGTCGCTGATCGGAGTTTCAGCTCACTGAAGCATTGAAGGGTTAATTGCAATCGGAGAGAGATGTTTTCCGGTCTGAAATTCATACCCAGGGACCAAATTGACGAAGTAAGTTTGCTTTCTGCAAATCCACAATTTCATTCCTCGCATTTTTTGCCGCTTTATTGATTTCCGACTACCGCCAATTCGTCTGAGACGCGGCGCATTCTGCAGCCATCCTCTATGGATGCTCAAGTGTTTTCGGTATGTGGGTTCATTCAGTTGATTCGTTTGATGCAGGCCCGAGATGAAGATGTAAGCAAATCCTCGAAGAGGAGAAAGAAGGACGGCAAAAGGGAGAAGAAGGGGAAGAGGAGCTCGCGGTCGAAGAATAGTTCCGACGTCGATGATTTGGAGAGAATTAAAGAAGGGTCGAGGAGGAAAAAGAAGTGGTATTCCTCCGACGAGTATTCGTCCTCGTCGGCGTCTGAAGATGACGAGGATCGGAAACGAAGAGCCAGGAGTAAAAAGCGGGATAAGGGATCCAGAAAAGAGGATTCTTCACCTGGTATGTATTGTTTACGGAGCTGGTGTTCTGTTAGCTCTGTTTTTGAATGTATGCACTAGGAAGTGTTGATTTAGTTTTAATGGATGGTGTTTTGTAGAAGGTGGTAGAGAATCTGACTCCATGAATGATATGGAGATTACTAGGAAGGAAATGGGATTGGATTGGATGCTTAAACCTGCCGAGAGTGCGGACAAAAGGCCTGCTGCCATGGTCGATGAGCAGCCAGAGGAGCCTGCTGAGGAGGTCAGCTTCTATCTAGCTATTGAATTCGTCCTCTGGGTTATTCAATGTGTCACGTTGTTACCATCTATTGTATTGCTCATATCAATGATGATTCGACTGTTGTCCATTGTTGAGGTCTGTTTTTAACTAATGGATTTCTTAACAGGTGAAAAGGGCGAATCCCAGAGAACTAAATCCCTATCTGAAGGATGACGGAAGTGGTTATCCTGATGAGGCAGAGGAAAAACGTAGTGGAGATCGGCTCCCGTCTTCTGCAGTTGTTGGAGATGGAGGCGCAAGTTGGAGGCTCAAAGCCTTAAAGCGTGCTCAAGAGCAAGCAGCTAGAGAAGGGCGAAAGCTTGATGAGGTACGCTTCGACTTATTTGTTCATGTGGACTGATTTCTTGATTCACCAGGCATTGATGTGGTTGTATTATGTATAGGTTGTGAAAGAAAGGTGGGACTCTCTTGGTCAATTAGCTGTATCTGCTGCATCTCACAGGGCAGCCCCATCTCGGGCTCATTTACATGCCATTAAAAGTAGACAGGCAAGGCAGACAGAGGATCAACAACCTGCCTCGGATGGTAAAAGTAAGAGAGATATTAACAAGGTATATTAAAAGTTTCGAAATAAACTTCTTATTATGCAAGTTGAAAAGCTTGTTATTGTTGTGAAAAAGATAATTGTTATAATTTTGCTTAAAATCAAATTTGATTTCTGTTCACCAGAGTAATGATCGAAGCTACTTGAAGGATGTTTCTTTCCGGAGTGAAATGAGAGCCCCTAAGGTGCATGAGAGCTTATCCTGGGGAAAGCAGAAAAAGAAAAAGTTGTCTACTAATGATGCAAACCTTATATCCAGTGCAGCATCTTGCTTGAACAAGTTCTCTAATGATGGAAGCTTTATGAACCAACTACTTGGTCCAAATGATGATTTGGATGGTTCAAAACCAAAACAAGAGGCTGAGTTTAAAATAGATTCATCTGACAGTAGTCAACCATCTGAAGGTAGTCTAGTGATTAAGGAAGGAATGACTGCAAATCAGTTGGCAGCTAAGGCTCTGCAGTTTCGTCTGAAGGGCAAGCATGAAGAAGCTGATAAGCTAATGGTAAGAATGCACTTTTTCTCTGGTGATGTCAACACACGATTTAGTAGTTTCATATTGTGGTCACTGATGGCATTTTGTTTTTCTTTATGCAATTTTTTTGTGTCTCCACCAGAAAGAGTCTGAGAAGTTGAAGGAGAAGCAGAGCGGTGGAGGACATATAATTCAACAGCCTCGAATCGCAGCAAGCACTGTCAGGTAATGCTAGCTAGCATCTCAATTTTGTTTTTAAATTGTAAGTTCTTAATGTTTTGGAGCCATTGGCACTACTTGCTTTACGGAGATATTTTGCCTCATAATTTTTTGGAATGGTGGGAGACCAAATGCTGACTCTCTTTTTCACCTCCCATATTTCATCAAGTTTTATTAGTTGCTCTGAACTCTCCACTGGATTTGGTTCCTTCTTTGTATACCATTGACGTTTTTATTTTGTCCTTTGTCTAGATATGCTGGACAACACACTCGAAAGAAGGACGATGACAATGCTGATAGGAATCTAGCTCGAACGATAATGCAGAACAAACAATATAGTTTATCAGGTCGCGCAGATGACGAGTATGATTATCCTGGGGATGGTCCAAGTAAGAAACCCCGAAAGAAGGAGATGGACAAAAACGATCGCTTGAAGTCCTCGGAGAACAACAATCTTGCTTCTAGGCGCATCCTGACACAACAAGAACGATGCCTCTTTTGCTTTGAGAATCCTAATAGACCAAAACATCTAGTCGTGTCAATTGCAAACTTCACTTATTTGACGCTGCCTCAACAGAAACCACTTGTTCCTGGCCATTGTTGCATCCTACCGTTGCAGGTAAAAGCTTAATCTAATTGCTCGCCCATTCTTCCTTCAAATGTTTGAGCATGTCATCGTTAAGGCCCTTATGCTTGCTTGTTCTAATTGGAAAATCGAATGTCTTCCCTGTTGCAGCACGAGGCAGCTACACGGAACGTGGAAGATAGCGTGTGGGAGGAGATCCGTAACTTCAAGAAATGCCTGATACGGATGTTCGCAAAACAGGACAAGGAGGTGGTTTTTCTTGAAACGGTGATCGGTTTGGCACAACAACGCCGGCATTGCTTGCTTGAGTGCATCCCTCTGCCTCAAGATATTGCAAAAGAGGCCCCTCTTTATTTCAAAAAGGTCAGCATCATGTATCGTTTTCTCCATGAACCATCTGTTTTCTCAATCAGCTACCCCTCTCTTTGCTTCTGCGGCTAAATCTAAATAATTTGCCCTTTTTCGCTATTCTTGCACAGGCAATTGACGAGGCTGAGGACGAGTGGAGCCAGCACAACGCAAAGAAGCTGATCGACACGAGCGTGAAGGGGCTTCGAGGTTCAATCCCCAAGGATTTCCCTTACTTCCATGTTGAATTCGGACTGGACAAAGGGTTCGTCCACGTGATCGATGACGAGTCCCAGTTCAACAGCAGCCTTGGCCTGAATGTTATCAGAGGCATGATGGAGCTGCCCGAGGAAGATATGTACAGGCGCAGGAGGAGACACGAAACCGTCGAAGGGCAGAAGCTCGCAGTTGCAGAGTTTGTGCGGGATTGGGAACCTTTCGACTGGACCAAACAGCTTCACTGAGCCTGCACCTCCTTATAGAAGATAGTTTTGTCAGGGACAGAGACTGTAGCAGTGTATTTGCTCCTTCCGAATTGTTCAATGTTTGTATACCAGGTTGTATTTGTACATAGATGGATTTACGAGTCGCCGCTAGTTGAGTACTAGCTTCATGAATGGATTTTTCGATCTCTTACAGATGGTCTCGATCTCGAGTTCTACCCAAAATGTTAGTCCCTGAGGTTGAAGCCTCGACCACCATCTTCTAACAGTCATAGGGCTAAGAGCAAGAATGAGACTGAATTGACACTCGCGTACACCTCTTAAAGTAAGCGTAAGAGCGAGGACTGCAAACTTGTTAAGTGCAGCTTGTTCAGATTGTTGGTACGACTACATCGAACCATGATTAAACCACAACTAAGATTTATCATACGTATAGCCATAGGAGCTTGGCTTGTGCCCTTCGAATTGTTCATTATGAAACAGAAAAATTATAGGTATATCATTGTTAATCATTTAAATTTATTTAGTTATTTTTACGTTAGACCCACTTTAGTTAACATGTCACAGGTCTATTACAATAATTAATAGTTATTGCCGGATGACTTGCGTACGTAGCACATGTAGCAACAAAAACTTAAAATGAAACTTGTGTTTACTTCAACAATTTAAGGATCCAAATAACCATTTCAAAAGGGGATTGCTATTCGTCGCCCTAAAAATTCTTATTCGTCGCCCTAATTAAGTTAATTTTACTCTAATGCCCTTGATTTATTTATTTGTAGTTTAAACACTTAAACCCAAAACAAATTTATAAATTAACGGGAAAAAAACAAACTTATTACCGGAAATAAATTTCCCAAAACGTTATCAATTTGTCATTGAGCCTCTTATGCTAAAAGCTACTCTTTGCAACTGACTTTGGCTTTATACCTTTCCTTTCCCTTGGACCTTAAATCACGAATTGCTCACTCTAATGCCGAAACCTTGTTTCTTGGCATAGGCATTGAGAACTTGTAAGCCGAATCAGAAGAATCAAACTCTAGACAAGAAAGAATCAATTGCCTTTCGCGGCATAATTAAGGAGTACGAACTTCAAAACCCATTTGAAGAATTCTATACACAGAACACTGCCACTGGTTGCTGATGCACATACCGATATGACGTTAAGAATAGGATCAAATGAACTCTGGCAGTAGAAGCAGAGCACCGGAGGCGGTCAGATTGAGCTAGGCAGCTGCCGGAGAGAAGAATCCGACAGAGACAGTAGCATCGGGTTGAGGTCGGCCGCTGCTGGGCAATCGACGGAGGCGGTTCTGCGCCTCTGCCACAAATGGAGCCAAGCTTGCCCCATTTCTCTTTAATCGTTCTTGTTAATGGAGTAGTGCATGTGCTGTAAGTGGGTGACAGAGGGGAAGAGGAAGTCTGCGGAAGAAGATGCGGCGGCTGCTGCAGCTAAAGGAATGGGGTCAGAGGGGTCCGAGTGTAAATTTGGTGCGTTTTAGGGCGATAAAATTTGAATTTTAGGGCGACGAATAGCGATTCAGTTTCAAAAAGGGGATCCAAAGATAAATTTGAATTAATAGATGAATATGATTTGGAATCTTACTTGATCACTTGTCATTTTTATTCTTTCTTAAGTTGACTCTGTTTTTCTTTATTGCCAGAAAGGTGAATTTTTTTATTGTAATGAGATGCGTTAGCCTGATCTCATATCGACAAACTGTACAAGAGATTCATGATTTATAAGTACGAAATCGATATTTACTAGGCGAGACACGATTTGGGATGAAATAGAAAGAATACATATGAGAACTCTGAAATTAATTAAACGTGTTCACGCTGGAGCATGGTAACAATACGTGACCTCTTGGGAAGTCATCTTGATATGCAACCCAAATAAAAAAACAACAACCATGTAGGTGTAGACTCAAAGCATGCAATATCTCAATCGGTAAAAAAATAATTCGGGATCGGGATGTTACACATTGTGTCATCATATTTATTTCGCAATAATTCCGTTTTAATAAAATATTTAATATTTCACTATCTATTTCCTGGATTTATTAATTGCTGAAAAACTAAAAATCACCCACCAAGAAAATTCAGTAGTAATCCTTTTGTTTTCCACCTTTGACTCCCAATTTTTTTTTTTTAATTTTCCCGGCAATCCGCACAATACGTGGATTCCAACAAGACTCAGATCAACCCATTTCCCTCACCTATATATAAAAAAAAAAAAAACACTCACCTTATGGAAAATACCCATCCAAGACCAGAAAAAGAGGAAATCAAAACAGAACAAGAACAAAAAAGAGAGATGAAGAAGAAGCTGGTGATCGTATTACAGCTATGCTGCATCTTTCTTCTCGTGTTGACAATCACGGCGGGAGGCGAGACGCAGGAAGAGATCGAACAGACCAAGAAATTCTTCCCGGCCAACTACCAGCAGCTGGACCAGGAAAAGCCCATGGGCCCCCACGAGCTCTTCGGGAACCCGTACGGCGACCCGTCTGATTACAAGAAGACGCCGGCCGCCGGGGAGGAGAAGAAGGAAAACAAGAAGGAGAAGAAGCAGAAGGAGGAAAAGAAGAAGAAGAAGAAGGAAGAAAAGACGGCGAAACCGGGCAGGAAGACAGGCATGCAATAGGAGTCGAGAGATTTCCATGTTGAAATAAAAAAAAAATAATTAGATACTATTTGCATGAATTTTTGGTTGTAAGAAAATTTGCATTAATAATTATATTAGGACGTATGTTCATTTGCTTCACACATAATTAATAATACACTTAAAACTGAAAATATCAAAAGGGTCAGACTCGTTAGATCGTTGCTAAATCTTCAGTTCTATGTATGTTGGTTCTTACCGATTGCATTGCGTGAACCTAGTTGAGGTTCCGCAGGATTATCCGTTCAGTTGGTTTCGAGAGTGAATGTATGTAGCGCGTGGATCTCGCGTCCATGATGATGATGAGTATCCTTGCACAGTCCGACCACATATCGATGTGTATATTTCATTCATCGTCGTTTTCAATACTCCGAGCACAGTGGATGACAAGAGACATTGAGTTGTTATGGGATACATAATATGTTTCTTGGATTGCATACAGAAGGAGCTCGATGCATAATATTATTATGTCACGCCATCCTATCAGCCACGAGAAACCACAAGAGAAATGGACGGAATGATCTCCACCGTTGATATACTAAACCACGCACAATAAGAGCATAAACTTGTGAGAAATGAAGACTTACATGGGAAGAAGATTCGGGTGATTTACTCTGTCTTGAATTAATGATTTAGTGTACTATTATGTGTGTAGTACTTATAATATTATTTTTATAATATATCGATTAAAGCGTGAACCGCTTACTTTACTAGCTTATGCTCTGATTCGGTTATGAAAACATTGGTATTGTCAATATAATTGGCTAATAATATCTCATATAAAATGATAATAACATATCTTTATTTGTGTGTCCAGGTAGAAACCTTAAACTCAAACTGAGTATGATTATGGTTTCAATCCACTATTCGAACTTTGTGCTCATATAAATCCGAATGAAAATAATATAGGATAGGTAAACCAACATAAACTACACTTCATAGTTGTTAAACCGGTGGTATATCGGCCGATACACTCGGGTTCAACTGCCGGACACAAAGTGATGTTATACACGCTATATGAGGTGGTACCGTGGTAGTCAATACCCATTGAAACTTAGTCAATACCAGGTATATCAGTGGTCCAATTGGTATGATCAATTTCTGATTCATAAACAAAATGACATTTTTTTGTGAATTGAAACAACAAAATACTGTATTTAAATATGAGAATTTGTCATTTTATTTATAATATTGTATTTTATTTAAATATGTATAAAGTTATTTTTTGGATTCAAATATAAATTTTTAAATATTAATATTATATTTAAATATGATTATTTGTAATGTTGTACTTTATTGAAATTAATGAAGGCACATGTCTTAAGATAATGTATATATTAAAATCGACACAAACCAACCTATTTCGATTGTACCCGATCGAACCATGCCATTTAATTCATTTGTTTTGATGAAACAAAAAGAAAAATTTGGAGAGGTTGCAAATTTGGAAATGGAAACCAACCAAGGGGCCAATCCATCTATGTGCCGTTTGAGAGAGTAGAGAGAGAGAGAGAGAGAGAGAGAGAGGAGGGTCCATATGGTAAACCCATTCTTCTTTCTTTCTGCATTTCAAAAAATCTTTCTGTTGGATTTTGAAATTTGATATGTGATAAAGTAACCAAACCATCCTCCCACCATTTTGATTTTGTTGACTCCATAGCTCCACAGTCCTTCCTTTCCTTCCTCGGCTACAACACCCCAAAAAATTTTCCCTTTTTAACATTTCCCTTTATATAATTTGTTCTTCAACCTCTCTTCTTGCTCTCCAATTCTCAATGGCTTAAAATATTTTCATTTGATATATTTCCTCTTGTCTGGGTTTGGTTTGTATGTTTTCCTCCTAGAAACTACAAAAACCAGCTAAGCCTAGCTCCACCAGCAACAACAGGGTTCTTTCTTTCCTCTTCTTGTCTGTATTCTAGCTAACACACACACACTCACTCACTACTGCCCTTGATATCCAGTATTCCTCCCTCTGTTCACTACCTCTTCTCCCTGCTTGTACTCTTCTTTTAACTCTTTCTGCTCACCACTTTCCTTCTGAGCATCTACTGTACCCTTTTTTTCCCATTCTCCTTTCTCTCTCTTTCAGGCCCAAACCCTTTTCTTTGTTCTCTAGCTTCTGGGAGAAGCTCTGTGTAGTAGTTCAAGGGTTTTTTTGAGTTTCTGTTTCCAAAAGGAAGGAGAGAAGGAAAGAGGGGAAAAGAAAGCATTACTGTTTTCTTAGGCCGCAAGAAGAGTTAAAAAAACAGAGGTTAAGGGGGAGAAAGATGAGTGCTTCCAAGTTCATTAAATGTGTTACAGTTGGAGATGGAGCTGTAGGCAAAACCTGTATGCTCATTTGCTATACCAGCAACAAGTTCCCAACTGTAAGTCCCTCTCTCTCTCTCTCTTTCTCTCTATGGAAATAACCTACCCTCGTTTTCAAAGATCGAAACTTTGATGCATTTCTCCATTTGGGTTGTCTGTTTTCACCACCCATCTCAAGATGGATCCTGAAGACATTTGCTTTTTCCCTTTTTTTTTTTGGGGGGTTTTCTTGAAAGCTGCCATCTTTCTCGGCTTTTATGGAGTCAGATTGTGCAGGCATATGAATTGGGTATGATTTTAAGTGTTTGCATTGCAGGATTATGTACCCACTGTTTTCGACAACTTCAGTGCCAATGTGGCGGTGGATGGAAGTATTGTCAATCTGGGTCTTTGGGACACTGCAGGTAGTAATTCTTCCTTTTGGGGGGGTTACATTTCTTACTGCAGACCATCTGTTTGTGAAAAGTTCTAGATGAGAGTTTGGTTTCTGGATATAAGCGCCTTAATAATTATTGTGACCTCCAACCTTTTGAAACTTTTGCCCCAAATTGCAGGTCAAGAGGACTACAGCAGGCTGAGGCCACTGAGTTACAGAGGTGCTGACATTTTTGTGCTGGCCTTCTCATTAATTAGTAGGGCAAGTTATGAAAATGTACTCAAGAAGGTAAAAGATTTTAATGCCCTCTCTATGTCCTTTCTTCTTCTTCCCTGTGCTTTCTTTTCTTCTTGTTAGGCCCCATTTCCAGAAACTTTTAATTAAAGCTCACCTTTTTGCATTCATTTCGATCTGAGGCCTTGTTTGGCTTGTCTTCATTTCACTCCCTTTGTTGAAGCTGAGACTGAGACTAATTCAATGCATGCAAAAGCTTGATAGAAAGTTTGGCAATTTTTCTTTCAGTGGATGCCTGAACTTCGCAGGTTCGCACCAAACGTCCCGATTGTTCTTGTTGGGACAAAACTAGGTAAACCTCTTTTTGCCAATCTGAAATTTGTTCTTACAGAAAGCTTTGTGATTGTCCAAAGTTGTGACCTTTTGTGTTTGTTGATGACAGATCTTCGTGAAGAAAGAGGCTATCATGGCGATCCAATGAATTCAAATATCATAACAACTGCTCAGGTAATGATGCACCCTTTTGTTCCTGAACCAGTTGTAAAATTCATGGCAAAAACATTCGGTTGAATGAATGAATAGAAAGTTGTTGTGACTTGGGTGTCATTTTTGATGAATAGGGTGAGGACCTGAGGAAACAGATTGGAGCATCTGCTTACATTGAATGTAGCTCCAAGACACAGCAGGTTGAGGGATCTTTCTGACTTTGTTTTCTGTTCTGCATTTTGGTGATATCGTCCTTTGTTTCTAATGATGTTTGACTGGATATGTTCAGAATGTGAAAGCTGTATTTGATACTGCAATTAAGGTTGTTCTTCAACCACCAAGGAGGAAGGAGATGGCAAGGAAGAGAAGGCATAGAAGCTCTGGCCGTGCAATTGCGTGAGTAGAGCTTCTTCTTTTTGGTGTTATCTGTTCAGATTCCTTTGCTCACAATTTCGATTCATTTGCTTTTGTTGGTTAGTGTATTGGAGAAAAGGTTTGTTGGACATGGAATGATCTCATCCTTGGTCATCCATTGCTTTGTTGGCTAGTGATATAGGGAGGCAAAAGATTGATTGAGACATAAAACCCAATGATTCTTGTCATTTGATATGTTGGTTGGTTAGCTTGGGTGGTGCAAAAAAGAATATTACGTTGGCCCATGCAGGTCTCAAACCTGCGACCTTCGCGTTATTAGCACGACGCTCTAACCAGCTGAGCTAATAGGCCAACTTGTTTACTACAATATATCACTTATTGATCGTTTTGAACCTTAGAGGATAAGTGAAATCATTCTTAACTAACCTGAGTTTCGGTTTCGTGGAACTTGCAGAAGCATAATGTGTGGAGGTTGTGTGGCATAGGGACGCAACCAGAAATTGCATATGGCCAAGCCTTAGAGCTAATGTCGAAGTCTCGGAGGCCAGTAGCGCACAATGTTCATGTTGTATTCTTCTTCGTCCTTGTGGTTTATGTGTGGTTTTGTAGCCTCCTTACAAAGGTGAGAGGAGAGCAAAAATGGCTTTAGGTGTATGTGACTGGGAAATACCAGTGTGAGGGAATTGTTCATTCTCTCAAACCACTGCAGTGTTACTTACCAGTTGTTACTTTGTCTATGTAGAACTTGAGGAGGGAGTTCCTTTTGTATACCCTGCTGTATTTGTGTATGATGTTGTAATAGTCCCCTTCTGCTACTTACCTTGCTGTTCCCAGCTTCTTTTGGTTAGTGAATGAAATATGTATAAGCTCGCGATTTACGACTACTGTGATGCTGCGCAGTTGCGATGCGAGGAAGGCGAAAGGTTATGATGTCTTTGCGCCATACTGCAACCATTCGTTAACATGCTGAACAATCGAGGTGTAGAGTAGAGATATGCTTATGGCTCTACTCGTTCAACAGGATACACAAAAAACTTACTTCTTTGGAATGAGAATTTCGAACACACAGGTGGGAAATCGAATGAACTGCAGCTGGTTTTGGATAATGGGGTGAATTCTGAATTGAAGCCTCAAATACAAGGTTGGTGGAAGTGAAATAAATAGAAGGGACAACTCCTGCCTGTGCCTTTTTCTCTTCCAACTCTTTCTCTAGAGAGCTGACCAGAAGCTGAGAGTGACGTTTGTGGCAATTGTGAGCGACTGACTCTCGATGCAGCCTCCTTCTGCAGATATATGAATACTGAGACTCATTATGGCACCTCCAAGCTTGAATATCCCACACCGCGCGGTATCAAAGCACTGATTGCGTCCGTAGATTGCATGTTCGCGCAACTCAAAATCGTTGGATTTGCACTAGAATGTACTTACTATACTAAACACTAGGAACATAACCGGATCGCCCCGATGTTTTTCCATCGAATGTGAGGTGAGTTTGCTGGAGTATGATGATTTGAAGTATGGCCAAGGAGTAAATATTAGTCCATGTCAAAATATAGGAAGAAGTAAGATACCCGATTGTATTATAGTAGTAGTAGTGCTCATCTAGGTAATGCGTTACATTCATTAGGTGGGTAGGATAGGTAGGTAGATACATTTTCTAGTTCAAGGACAAGACAGGTCAGTGGTATGGAAAAACAACTAACCTTTCTTACTACATCCATGATCCATCCCATGGAATCTTTATCAGGTGTGGTTTGGTTATAGCCTTCTAGGCGCGGGACAACACCAAAACTTATCGTTTAAGGGTTTCGCGGAGTTAAAGAATCAAGAAAATGTCGATGGAGTAAGAACACACCTATATGTCGCCTATGCATCATTAGAGAGAGCTAGATAATCGATATCAAAGGGGAAAATCTATATATCATCTACGAAATCAATCATCTATATTAGTAGCTTGAAATTTTATGAGCTATTGAGCTAGGATCATACGAACTTGTGAGCTATTTTTCTTATGGTTAAGTGTTAAGTACGTTATTTACCATTTGAACTGAAGTAGGGAGTGTTTCAAATTGTTATTTCATTCGGTGTGAAATGATAATTGCTAATTTTGCTTCCAACCCCCTATGCACGCTTAGGTGACCTAGGCGCTAGACAAGACTACAACGTCCGCCTTATGCCTAGCGCCTTCTTCAAGCATGAATAGTATGAGATCCTATCATCGTGATTTTATTGTAAAACTCGTTAAGTTTTAAAAATTAAGATTTCATAGCTACCTTTCTGAACTCCTTTTTTTTCTCTTTGTCCAAAGATTACTTGTACGAGACTTCGTGAGATCTGAAAGAGAGTCGCATATCTGATGAGAGTAAAAATCGAACATCGAACCCTATTAAAACTACCGAATAAAGAAATAACTTTTCCAACCACCAAATAAACTATTCTAATATAACTTCGACCTAAAAACCCAATCCACAATAAATGAATTTCTTCCCAAATCACTTTAACTCTCGCATCCATTGACCAAAGACCACACAAATCACATTCATGAGAGCCAACAACTCCACCACGATTGAAACAGAAGCTGCCGTCGGCACCACCCAATCCCATGAGAACCCTGCGGAATATCTTTGTATAAACAACACATACTAAAATTTTACGAATTTCGTACCAATTTAAGAAAAGAAAGAGGTATAAATGCAATTCAATTAATGCAGTCACGAATGGAACTCTTATTTTCTTATCCATAAATTTTCCTGTCAACCAAACCCACCACATATAGCAGTAATTTCTTTTGTCCGATGCTGGTAATTAATTTCAGTGGTGAAGCCCACCTACATTTACAATGCGAGCAGAGCATAACGTCATAAACAATAACATAATTTTCATATGGATGCACAACCGCTTCTACATTCTGATGGAGTGTGGTCGTCTATGTACGAAGGAGGGGGGACTGGGTTCGCAAAATTATGATTGACACTTGGGTCTCACTCGATAGAAGGGAGAGTGTTCAAGTGCATTCCTAACACGATACGGAAACTGGGTAGGGCCCGCGATCTAGTCTGATAAAACCGCAATATAAATCAGACGGGATCAAGAGATAAGAGCGTCCCATACATGAACCAAATCAAACAATTCTTAATTATCAAATTCGAAACAAACTGTGTTGTTCTTGTTGATCTACAGGTTTTCAAGCCGTCCAATTCATTTTATCACCCTATTCTTAACACGAAACTATTGGAACCTTATGGAAAGAAAGATTCCTTGGTTATGGCATATAGTTAGTAAATGCTTCGTTTACTACGCACTTATATCAATGTTTGTATTTTATACGCATAAATTTTTTGTTTCTATAATGTTATCAAACTGTTTCATTTTCTTCTTTTTATTTGATCTTTCATGTACTAAATACGTACCAAAATCCATATAAGACGTTAATATTTGTATTTAATGAATCAAATCGTTTTTTTAATATATTTTATTACGATTGACGTATTATTGGGTGTATCACTAATTTAAAGATAAAATAGTATTTTACAGATAACTTACTCCTAACTTATTTTAGGGTACACTCCCCTAACAAATTCAGTACTAGATAGGTGCGACCTGCAAGGCTGCAACTACTATCACGAAACGGCCACATTTTTTTTTTTTTGTCATTCAACCGATCTCAAAAGAGATGGAGATAAGATCCAAACAAAGTCAATTATAAACTACGCAACCAGGACACATAGTCGAACCTCGACAAGAGCCGAGGCGACAAACTCAGGGATTTCTTGGCCACTAAATGAGCCTCCCTGTTCCTCTGACGACCTACGAAACGCAAATCACAAGTACCCTCCAAACCCGCCAATAAAGCTTTGATCTCGCGCAAAATTGCGCCCACCATAGAATCATTGAAATCCCCTGAAGCGAACTTTTCCAAACATTGCAACACTAACCAGTAACCAGGCCTTTTCCCGTTTACTCCCAGTTGGAATTCCTCTTTTACTATGGGCTTTCTTTTAGGTAACCGTTGACCATCTGGAAAACCCTATTTGGGCCGGGCCCGTTTGTAGCCCATACATTTGAGCTGTGATGAGATTCTAAGAACTGACATTTTCATAAGAATAAATCAATTAATTCACCCAAAAAAAAGAATAAATTAATTGGCTAGAAGTCTGATGGAGAAATGAATAAAAAATGAAATCCAGGTGTCATAAACCAATTGGATGCGTCAAACCCTGTCTCCATTCCTTTCCTTTCCAATCGTCGCCGTTAACGAACCCAAATCGGGCAACAAAGAAGCAAATCACATCACTGCCACTGCTCCCTCTCCGTCGCCGGCCAAACCTACCCGCCTCTCGCTCTCACACTCCCACACACAAACACAAACCCACCGGCGGAAAATACAATGGAGCCCACATCTCCCCCGCCGCCGCCGCAACTTCCCGCGCCACCGCCTCCCAAGAGCTGGAGCATCTACACCCGACCCGAAATCATCGCCAAGTACCGAATCCACGAGCGGGTCGGCTCCGGCGCCTACTCCGACGTCTACAAGGCCCATCGCCTCTCCGACGACCTCCTCGTCGCCCTGAAAGAGGTCCACGATTACCAGTCGGCGTTCCGCGAGATCGAGGCCCTCCGCGTCCTCCAGAACTGCCCCAACGTCGTCGTCCTCCACGAGTACTTCTGGGGCGAGGATGAAGACGCCGTCCTCGTCCTCGAATTCCTCAGGACCGACCTGGCGGCGGTCGTCAGGGACGGGAAGAAGAAGGGCGGGATCCGCGGCGGCGAGGTCAAGCGGTGGATGATGCAGATTCTCTCCGGCCTCGACGCCTGCCACCGGAACATGGTCGTCCATCGCGATTTGAAGCCTGGCAATCTGTTGATTTCCCACGACGGGATTCTCAAATTGGCGGACTTCGGCCAGGTATGTACATGTACTCAGAATTTCTTAAAATTAGGGTTCCGTTTCGTGAATGTCCGGCTTTGAATTGGGGCTTTTTGATTGCGTAATTGATTCTCAGGCAAGGATACTCATGGAAGCTGGATCTATAGCAATGGATGAGAAGAACACTCCGCCGCCGCCGTCGGGCGAACAATTGTACATTCACCACGGGGCTCCGACGACTGCTGTGTTCAATTTCGAGAGAGGCAACTGGGGCAGGAAAAAGCACCATCGATCCTCCACATTGGGTGAAGAAGAAGATTCTCTTGCAGAAATGACGAGCGAGTACAAGAGCCGGGATTTCTTGGATGAGATGGAGAAGGAAACGACCAATACCAGGGATGGAAACGTCTCTGGCATTGCAACCGGCACAGCTAGCGAGTTCGGGGATGATGATTTCCGGAGCCCCTACTCTTACGTTGTTGATGATGTTGATGATTATGACGATAGGCCACAAGAAGGGTGCTTCACTTCCTGCGTAGGAACTCGCTGGTTCAGGGCACCTGAGCTGCTCTATGGATCGACGGATTATGGAATGGAGGTCGATCTGTGGGCGTTAGGCTGCATTTTCGCGGAGCTTCTGACTCTGGAGCCTCTCTTCCCTGGGGGTTCAGATATCGATCAGCTCGGGAGGATTATCAGTGTATTGGGTAACTTGAATGAAGAAGTGTGGCCGGGTTGTGTGAACCTTCCTGATTACAAGACGATGTCTTTTGGCAAAGTGGAGAATCCTGCAGGGTTAGAATCGTGCTTGAAGAATCGTTCGAGTGAAGAGGTGTCGCTGGTGAGGAAGCTGGTGTGCTATGATCCGTCTAGTAGGGCTACTGCAATGGAGTTGCTTCATGATGTTTACTTCTCGATGGAGCCATTTCCGGTTCCCCTCTGGGAGCTTCATGTGCCGAGGTCGAACAGTGAGCATGATGTGGATTCGCCAGGTGGGTGGTACGACCACAAGGATGGGTTTGACTCTGATTTTGATGATTTTGGTCCTATGCATGTTACTGAGACTGGGAGTGGGTTTTCCATTCGGTTTCCCTGAGCTCCCGGAGACTGTAACAGGAGTGTATGCGTCACGAACTGGTGAATTGAACTCTGGTCTTCCAGTTTAACGCAGTTTTGTTGGTAGATTATTGAAGCATATATGTAGATTGAGTGCTTCTGTCGAAATCATTGAACCTTCTTTGTCGTGTAGAATCACATCAATGCAAAAGGCTTGAGATGTTTTATGTTTAGCCGTTTTACAAGAACTGCAGATTATCAGTTGTGTGCTTGTGGAGGAGGAACTGCTGATTGTCTCGATGTTTTCATCGCTGGAGGTCATGTATTGGAGTTGAGGATGTGATATTGAGTTTCAATCAATGCTTATGGCAAGCCAGGCGGAACTTTTGGCGAAAGCCAACTGTTCCAGAGTGCCAGCAGTTCTTTCCCTGCCATGTTTCTGTGCAACTTAGCCAATTAGGCACGCTGCTCGCCTGATGGAGGGTGTCAACCGCATCAGAACTGTGGTTTTCCAGTTCAATGCAGTCTTGTTGGTAGATTATTGCAGCATACTATATATGTAGATGAGCGCTTCTGTAGGAATCCTTGAACCTTCATTTTCGTGTAGAATATCATCAATGCAAAAGGCTAGAGAGGTTTTATGTTTAGCATTTTAAGAACATGAATTGCAGATTATCAGTTGTGTGCTTGTGGAGGAGGAACCACAGATCCTCACGGCGCTTTCCATATGCTTGAGGTCATGCGTCGTAGTATCGGATTACAATTGTTCCAGAGTACCAGCAGTTCTTTGTCTGAGTCTGACATGTTTCTGCTCAATTTAGCCATGTACGGACTCTGCTCTCCTCGTGGAGGATCTGGCCACATCAGTTTAGGTAGTGGTTTAGATTATATCGCATCCCTTGCAGTAGTCATTTGTATTCATTGGTCATACCTAAACCCAAAACAGAAGAGGATTAAGCATTAATCTCGTCGACAGAACCAGAGCTCAATTGAAGGATCTTGCTAATGCCGAACTTGAGTTGCTAACTGATCGTGTTTTCTTTCGACAAAGCGCAAAATATCGAGCCTGACTTCATAGGATCAAGCATGAATATTGTTCGCTATGACGTTTACTAAGAAGTTTTGTATCACATAATCATACAGCTTGAAAGCTGCTCCTATACACACATTATGATATTCCTGGAATCAGTGCTGCCGATTAGAGTGGCAGGCTAGAAAACTAGCTTTCTCAGCAGCTCAATTGATAGGACTGAAAAACAAAATTAAAACAGAGAACATCACAGTAAATGAGGCCGTATCCAGGAGAAGGCAAGAAGAGGCCTTCTGCTCAGAATTCAGGCGACAGAAGAGCTATCTCGATTTCCTGGAGCGACTTCCCTTTCGTTTCCATGACATTTCTTCTCACAAACGCCACTGCCATCAAGCAGAAGGCTGCAAAGCAAGTGTAGAGGAGCTGCCTCCCGAGTCGCTGAAGCAACCACAAGAACATCAACCCCACGAAGAAGTTGATCACCTGAAGACAGAAAACACCGTTAAAACAAAGCTGAATTGTTCTGATCATAGCAAGATACTGGGGGATAAGTAACAAGGGGGAAAAAAGAGATGGAGACAGAGGTGATTAATTACCCAGCCGACTGACATACAGATCGCCACAGCTTTTGCCCTGATTCGACTCGGGAAAATTTCTGGGAGTAGAAGACCCGGGACTGGGCCAGCTCCTAAAGAGAATGTCAGGACGCACCTGAACATGTAGAGTTGAAGTTAGGGTCAAGCCAATTATACAGAGAGGCATATGTATAGTTTTAGACTGCTCCTTTCTCAGTTGACTGAAAATGAAAAGTGCAGTCACTGGCTTGTGCTTCATATTATTGCATGAATGATTATGAAGACAACGTAAAGCACCACCGGAACATAAAATGGTTACTCACATTAACATGGCGCCAACAGAGAGGTATGAAGCAAAAGTGCCAGCCAAGTAGGAGTTTGCTGCAAAACCTTGTAGCCCCATAGACACAGCCTAGAGGTAGAAAATGCACCATAAGTGAGGACCATAAGATAACACTAAATCATTTAGAGCTACAAAAGCATATTACCATGGAAAATCAGCAATAATCTTAGAAAGACAAATCCCTACAGGACAAGAAACTCTGACGTTGCAGTTAAGTTGCAATGAAAGCTATGTAATACAACCCCTTGGTTTGTAAAAGATAACAGAAAGGAAAAGCATAAAGGTTGACAATGAGGGAGGCACGTATAGGTTACATGTATAGGAGATCTGAGTGGATGAAAAAAAACAGTTAATGCATATCCTCTGTTCTTTTCTCAACAAGGGTGATTTTACAACTAGTGGCCAGATATATACAGGAAGAGAGAAATGAAAGACACTATAGACTCACGAGTCCAAAGAAGCTCCAAATGAGCAGTGACCTCCTTCCTTGTTTATCCATCAGAACCATTGCAATCAGAGAACCTAAAGGCACAAAGACACGCTTCTAGTCAAACAGTATGGGTAATAATGTGCACGCAAGAAATCTATACAAGGGGACGAAACAATACCTAACAAATTTGCAATTCCGACAAAGACATTTGCCAGTTCTGAAGGCACTCCCGCACTTTTGAATACAGTTGACGAGAAATTAAATACGGTGTTTATACCAGATAGCTGTTGGAAAGCAAATAGGGATGATCCAATAAAAACAACTGCAAAAGGAACCAGTGAATACGAAAGCCTAGAAAAGAGGAGTAAAGACAACAGAAGGAACGAGATTAAGAACACCAGCCAGCTGTAGTTGCAAAAGGAAGCCAATAAACACTTGATGCACATGGAAAAAAAATCCCTGTGCCAACATATCTACCTCTAAAATGACGACCCGAAAGCAATTCTGAGAGCTTCACAGCATCAGTGTCATCTCCTCTGTCTACTTTGTACAACTCTTGCATTGCACTTTGCACATGTGCCACACCTAAAAGCTTTTCAAATTCTGCTTCAGCTTCAATGGTTCTTCCTTGCTGCGACCAAAACAAGGAGAAACATCTAACGCCAATGACAAGTATGATGGGAAACAAAAGGCAGCAGTAATATGCAAAAAAAAAAAAAAAAAAAAACTTGATTCGTGGAGTCAACTCAGACTTTGACAGCCTTTCACCCCAAATAAACATGCCTAAACATAAAAAATGTATTATGGCGTGGAAAACTGAATACTGTTAGAAATAATCCTACATAGAAAGCTAGAAACACATTAACAAGAAAGAATTTAGCAACAAAGTGCTACACAATGAGATTAAAACGGTATAAGCTAGCATGAAGAAAGAGTTGAATGCCATTCGACCTCCACAAGCTTTTCGAGTAGGCTGTTCTTGAACTTTAACAGTGCTGCTTTCTGGTCATCTTACCAGTTTAACTTTCTTGCTTTGTAATATATATGCAACTGATACAACTCAAAGCTATGAATACAAATAAAAGGAAGAAACAAGATAGGAACAAACCTTGAATAGCCAGTGAGGGCTCTCGACACATAATTGAATGGCAAGAGCAAGTATTCCAGCAGGAATAGTAGAAACCAAAAAACAAGTGCGCCACCTGGACAGAGAGAAACAAGCAGCCTGATTCAAATATTCAGCATTGATGGAAGCGATGACGCTAAATTCTAACTTTTCTTACCAGCCTTTTATATCTTTAACAGGGAGTCCGACAAATAGAGATGTCAAAAATCCAACACATGTTGCAATCTGAATGAAGCTTCCATAGGTGCCCCTCACAAAGGCAGGAGAAATCTGCTCGTAGCAGAAAAGGATTACATCAAAGGAGTTCCCAATATCTGTGTAACAACCCGAGGACGCAAAACTCAATCAACCTTCCATACCTCTGCCACATAAAGAGAAGCCACAGTTGGGCCAAGACCCATACCAATACCCACCAAGAACCGTCCTATGAGCATACCAGCAAGAGTTTTGGTTGACGCACTGGGAATAAAAGTCATGTATGAGATACTAAGATACTGTACATCAAGAAAGTAAATTATAACAAACATCAAAGTGAGTGATAAGGGCAATAGAAAGGGAGAGAGTTCGGAATATCATCCAAATAAAACAACACCATGCAAGAACCATACCTAACCGCAGGACCAAGAATCATTGGCAAAGCAGCTAACTGAAAAGCCTTGCGGCGCCCAATACTGTCGACAATTGAACCACTGAACAACGACCCAAGCAAGGATCCAGCCAGGGATATACTGACCACCAGTCCTTCAGGTAAAGTAATTAACTATTAGTTGCTAATCCAGATAAAAACAACTAACATATGACTACAGAAATGGACAAGGGATGTCAGAGATGAAATACCTTCTGCCAAGGCGTTCCCATCAAACCCAAGATCCAATGATATGCTTTCAAGTGGCTCATTAACAACTCTATAAATGGATACAATTAAAGAAATTGCCAGAAGTCACTTTACTTGCCTAAACAAAAACACTGCTGATACAAGTATAGCTGCTTGAGAGGGCAAATAAAAGCAAATTCACGTACCCAAGATGGTAACCAAATAAGAGGGAGGGTATTGTTGCAACCAATACATATGGAAGTGACCGTTTCCAGGAAGGATTAGTATTTTCCACTTCCAAATTGCCCTGTAAAAGAGCTGAAAGAACATACAGAAATAGAAGCAGAGAATACATTATCAAACACCAAATTACACTGCAAAAGAGCTGAAAGAATGTATAAAAATAGAAGCAGAGAACAAATTGTCAAACGCCATAAGCATGTTATAGAGGCTGCACGAAGCAACTGCTCGCCTATGGACCTCAGATACAATTGATCTAGACTAAGCATGAAAATGCACTTCTCATTCATTGCTTGTTCCACATAGGGACTAACAGCCTGATAAGAAGAAGATTCAATTGCTAGAACTCGCATCACACCCTTGTCAAATGCTCTCATAAGCAAGACAGTACCGTCACAGACAGATAACAAACATATGAACCTGTTACCGATATGACGCTTTGTTTGATTCCATACCTTCATTATCTTCTACCTCGGTCATATCTTCGTGGTCTCTTGAAGGCATTCGCTTGTACATAGAGTATGCCTCAAGTTGACGTCCTGCCATGCCACATGTCAGCCTCACCACATCCAGATTCAAGGCTCCTGAACTGCCAATTCATGTGAAGTAACTATGAAAGGAAGAAACCAATAAAAAGTACCAAATATTCACTGAACACACCGAGACTAGATATAGCAAGAAGCCGGAAGTGCGAAGAATACAGTACACCGAAAACCAGAGAGTAGAGCCTAAAAATTGAAGTCCATCGCCATCGAGAAACAGAATCGATACGCGCAGCAAGAAGATAGCCACAAGCACTAATAATATATCGCAGTCGATTTCTCTGAAACCGAACAAACCAAAGCATAAACTGAAAACCGAGGATCCAACAGACCACGGCTCGCTCGCCGATCAGAGACCGGGAATAAGCATCAAGTGAGAAGCAGGCAGTAAACCGAAAACCAGAGAGTAGAGCATGAAAATTGATGTCCATCGCCATCGAGCAACATAATCGATACGCGCAGCAAGAATATAGCCACAGCGCTAATAATATTCTCGCAGTCGATTTCTCTGAAACCGAACAATACCAAAGCCTAAACTGAAAACCGATGATCAAACAGTTCCGTACCACAGCTCGCTCCCCCGATCAGAAGAATCAGGAGACGGAGCAACGAACAAAATTCACTTGGATCAAAACAGGAGGAAGAACACACTTCCAAAATGATTACCGTTTCGACGAACGAGCTCGGAGATTGCGATCAACAGAGCTTTCAAAGAGGAAACCGGAAGCGACGACGACGAACACGAAGCTTCGAGAAGGTCGGTCGCCGAAACCGGGTGGAACGGCGGCCGATAGTGGAAATGTTTTCGTTTCCCACGGGAGGAGCAGAGAGCTTGAAAAAGTAGAAACCGGGATTTGCTTCGAGAGAGCTCTCTGCTTAGCTATCACTCTATCATCAATAGCCAAGTAGGCGGCGACGATCGAAATCTGAGCGACGGTGAGAATGTAATCAATGATTAAAATTAATTAATTGAAGCTGGAACGACATTTAAAGATGGTATTTGATGTCGTTTCACTTTCAGCTATGCTTTTCTGGTACGATTACGTCTGGGTATGTCGGCCAATCAGGGCGCGACAAAGCTGCAATTAGAAAGGGTGTTTTTGGTAATTTAGAGTCGGGAAAAGGAGAGTTCTTGGATGTAAGGTTTACGGTTCTCATGCGTCCATGTGGCAGGAGTCAGAGCAATCAATTAAGTTTTCTTCTCGTCGGATTGTGTAACCATGTTTCTGCTCGTTTTAGGTTGGAGAGGGATAGATACTCTACTGCAATTTAGTGACACACAATTTAATACAGGACACTTGGTTCTGTAGAGTATTAATACTCAGACTTAAGTCTATTATTTAGCCAATCAAATTTAGGATGAAAGCAGTAAATGATTCTTAATTAACGATGCAAATGTAGAACACAAATCTATTGCAAACTGACAGTTTCTTATTAATGACGATGCAAAGCTTAAATACTTGAGGTTTAAGCCACAGAGATCGGCCAAACCACCTCCCACTACTAATAGTTTCCTACTAATCAGCTAACATGATCAATACTAACTGCTAAGACTCTTAACAAACCAAACAGACTGTTCGACCCAGACTCAAAACAATAAGTACTAAATGGACACTTAGCCAAAACGCACAGCTTGGCTTTATTCACAGACTTGACTCCAAACCGACGTCGCAGCAACTAACAGCAGCAGCAGTCTTCTAGTCCAGAACCAAAACGACATCACAGCAACTAATCCAAATCCGAGAAGGACAAGGATTCCAGTCTTCAGTTCACAATCCAACAAGTCCTCCCCTGAACTGAAACTGGTTTTGCTCTTCTTCTGTTTACTCCTTCAGCTTTAAATCTTCCACATCATATACTCCCAACTTGCTCCTCAGAATCTGAAAGGTTTCAAGCTTGAGTGGCTTAGTCATCAAGTCTGCAATCTGCTCATGGGTTCTGCAGTGTTCAAGCTCCATTACTCCTTCTTTTACCAGCTCTCTTAGGAAATGAAACCGAACATCTATGTGTTTGCTCCTCCCATGCAGAACTGGATTTTTGGCCAGTTTGATGGTGGAGTTGTTGTCACACATGATGACTGTTCCAGCCTGTATACTGCTGTTCCATCCCATTTCTGCTAGAATCCTTCTCATCCAGATGCATTGTGTGGCACAAAAACAAGCTGCAACAAACTCAGCCTCAGTTGTTGAGAGAGTTACAACTGGTTGCTTCTTGGAAGCCCATGACACTGCTGCTCCTGCAAGAAAGAAAACATAGCCAGAGGTACTTTTTCTATCATCACAGTCTCCTGCATAATCTGAGTCTGTGTAACCAACCAGACTTTCATCCTCCTCCCCTCTGCTCCTTCTGTACCAGATTCCATGATTCATAGTGCCTTTTAGGTACCTAAGTACCCTTTTTGCTGCCAAGAGATGCTGCCTGGTAGGTGAGTCCATGTACCTGCTCAACAAACATACAGAATACATTATGTCTGGCCTCGTTGCTGTGACATACAGCAAGCTTCCTATCAGTCTCTTGTATTCAGTGGGATTGACAGCAACTCCATCTCCAGTTCTTGTTAATTTCAACCCTGGTGCTAGAGGGTTGAGTGCATAGTTGCACTCCAGCAGCTTAAATTTTTCCAGAAGCTCCTTTATGTACTTTGTTTGACAGATAAATATCCCTTCATCCTTCTGAAGCACCTCCACACCAAGAAAGTATCTCATTCTGCCTAGATCTGTCATCTCAAATTCAGCTTGCATAGATGACTTGAAGTTCTCAATCATTACTGGACTGTTACTTGCATACATCAAATCATCTACATAGAGACTGAGAATGAGAATATCAGATCCTGACCTCTTAATGAACAATGTATGTTCATAGTTGCATTTCTTGAAACCAGTCTTCTCAAAGTATGCTTCAATCCTGCTGTACCAAGCTCTTGGTGCCTGCTTGAGGCCATACAGAGCTTTATGCAGCCTGTATACTTTCTTTTCCTCCCCAGCAACCTCAAAGCCTTGAGGTTGCTCAACATAGATCTCTTCTGTAAGCTCTCCATGCAGGAAAGCACTCTTCACATCCAGCTGGTGCACTGTTAATCCAAAATGAGCTGATAAGGCCAGAAGAGTCCTGATGGTATCCCACCTGGCTACTGGGGCAAACACCTCAGTGTAGTCAATTCCCTCTTTCTGTGAATATCCTTTCACCACTAAACGAGCTTTGAACTTGTATAGGGTACCATCTTCTTTAAGTTTGGTCCTGTAAACCCACTTGAGTCCTATTGCTTGACAGCCTGCTGGCAGATCAGTGAGCTCCCAGGTAAGATTCTTTTTATTGACTGCATTTCAGCCTTCATTGCTTCTTCCCATCTAGGATCCTTGCAGGCTTCCTCATAAGATTGTGGATCATCAGCTAGGGCCACAAAGGCCATCCAATCTTCTTCTGGTAGTTTGCAATCTGGCATAGTGAAGTGAGTTTGCCAGTCATAGCTTGCCAGTTTGGCTGGTGGCTTTCTGATCCTTTTGGTACTGGCATGTCCCAGCACATCAGTTGTTGTACCATGATCCTCCTCTTCTGCTTCCTTGTCACTTATTTCTGGATTTGGTGTTTTTGGACTACCAGGTTGTTGAGTTCCAGCAGGATCGGGATCTGAATCTGCAGTTTGATCAGATTCCTCTTCTGCATCTGAATCTTCCCAATCCTCATCACTTCCTTCCCAAACCAACTTGGTTTGCTCTGGTGGTGTGTCTAAATTCCAACTCCAGCCTTTTGTTTCATCAAACACCACATCTCTACTCACTACCACAGCATTAGTTCTAGGATTAAACAATTTATAGGCCTTGGACTCAACAGAAATTCCTAGAAACTGGCATTTCACACTCTTATCATCAAGCTTCCTCCTGTGTTGATCTGGTATGTGAGCATATGCAACACAACCAAAGATCTTAAAGTGAGACACAGAAGGAGGCTTACCAGTCCAGAGCTCTTGAGGGGTTTTTCCTTGATTTGCTGTAGTGGGACTTCTGTTTAGCACATGACAAGTCCAGGCTACTGCTTCAGCCCAGAATTCAGATGGAACCCTCATGTCCTTCAACATGCATCGAACCATGTTCATCAAAGTCCTGTTCCTTCTTTCTGCTACTCCATTTTGCTGAGGAGTAAAAGCAGCAGTGAGTTGCCTCTTTATTCCAGCTTCCTCACAGAGCTGCTTGAGTTCATTCAGCATAAACTCACCACCCCTATCAGTTCTTAGGCACTTAATTTCCAACTTCATTTCCTTCTCAACTTGCAGCTTATATTTTTTGAAACTTTCCAAGGTATCTGACTTAGCTGCCAAGAAAACCACCCACATTTTCCTACTGTAATCATCAATCAAAGTGAGTATGTACCTCTTTCCTCCATTTGATACTGGAGTGATGGGACCACAGAGGTCTGCATGTACTAGCTGCAGTGCTTCAGTTGCTCTCCATTGACTTTTCTTAGGAAAGGGTTTTCGATGTTGCTTGCCAATCATGCAGGTTTCACAAACTCCAATCCCTCCTTTCAACTTTGGCAGATCCTTCACCAGCTTCTTTGTTTGCAGAAGCTGCAAGTTTGCTACTCCCAAGTGACCAAATCTGCGATGCCATAGTGTGAGGGTTGGATCTATGGCAACATCAGTTTTGAGACATTGGGATAACTGACTTGCAGGTGTATGATCAGCATGAAGAACAAACATCCTGTTTGTTTTCATTTCAGTCTGCAACAACAGACCCTTTTCTGCATGATAAATCTTGCAACTGCCTTCTTTGATCACAAAAGTTAGCCCTTTCTCCTGCCATTGACCAATACTCAATAGATTACTTTTGAGTCCAGGAACATAGAATACCTCCTGGATTGTTATACTCTTTTGATTCACTTGCATCTTCACTTCTCCTTTCCCAGCAACTTCTAACTTGGAATTATTTCCCAGTCTAACTGTGCAAGCAAAACTAGCATCTATGCTAGTAAACCACTTTCTGTCACCACTCATGTGGTTGCTGCAGCCAGAATCCAGAAACCACCAATCACTGTTTGACTTCTCTTTGACAGAATCCAGAAGAGCCATCAATCCTTGTGTATCCTCTTCCCACTCAAATGAGTCTTCAGAATCTACACAGGCCATTAACAGCATGTCCTCATTCATGTCTCCATAACTCTTATCTTGAATGCTACCAGAGGCTGCATAATGTGCCTGTTGATTGGAATACCACTCAGGGCACTCATATTTGAAATGCCCCAGTTTATGGCATTTGAAACACTCAACAGATTCCTTATTCCAGCCTCTGCCTCCTCTTCCTCTACCACCTCTGCCCTGGTAAAAGCCTCTTCCCTGACCTCTGCCACCTCTCCCATACTCATGAGAGATTCTTAAAGCATGTTCTTCTTCACCAGCAGTTTTTGCAGACCTTCTGTTGAACTTTTGTTCATGCACCAGAAGAGAACTTTGGAGTGCATCAACTGTCAAGAGTTCTATGTCTTTGGACTCTTCTATAGAACAAACTACATAGTTGAATTTGTCAGTCAAGGTTCTAAGAATTTTTTCAACAACCTTCCCATCAGACATATCCTCTCCACAGTTTCTCATAGTGTTAGCAACAATCATCACCCTAGCAAAGTACTCAGACACTGATTCATCCTCTTTCATTTCAAGCAGTTCAAAGTTCCTTCTGAGTACCTGTAACTGAGCTTTTTGAACCCTTGCACTGCCCTGAAACTTCTCTTTCATGGACTCCCACAGTTCTCTTGCAGTACCCTTCTTGGCAATGGTCTTCAGCAGTGTTCTGTCAATGCTGCTGAACAGGTAGTTCTTTGCTTTTAGATCTTTCAGCCTCAACTCCTCCAGACTCTTTGTTTGGGCTGCTGTTAACACCTCTCCTGCTGCAGGCTCCCTGAAACCAGGACTGATCACAGTCCAGTACTCTTTGGACCTGAGCAAGTTCTCCATTACCAAGGTCCAGTGCTCATAATCCCCATCAAACTTTGGGATACAAACTTGAGCACTGCTGCCATTATCACTCATGATGCCTTTTTTTCACTCACCCTGATCTGTCTTTCCTCACAAGCAACTCTCGTGTTTCCCTAACCCAGATCACAACATGTTTTTCACTCAACACTCCTCTCTTCTCCTGGTTACAGTTTGCTGTAAGTGCTCTGATACCACAATGTAGAACACAAATCTATTGCAAACTGACAGTTTCTTATTAATGACGATGCAAAGCTTAAATACTTGAGGTTTAAGCCACAGAGATCGGCCAAACCACCTCCCACTACTAATAGTTTCCTACTAATCAGCTAACATGATCAATACTAACTGCTAAGACTCTTAACAAACCAAACAGACTGTTCGACCCAGACTCAAAACAATAAGTACTAAATGGACACTTAGCCAAAAACGCACAGCTTGGCTTTATTCACAGACTTGACTCCAAACCGACGTCGCAGCAACTAACAGCAGCAGCAGTCTTCTAGTCCAGAACCAAAACGACATCACAGCAACTAATCCAAATCCGAGAAGGACAAGGATTCCAGTCTTCAGTTCACAATCCAACAGCAATAACTGAATTGATCACAATTCAGTTGGAAAAATCCACACAGGTATTCAATCCCCTTAGTCTCCGGTCGGATTAATGATTATTGGCTTCCTAGTTCATTTCACTCCGTGTTTATATTGCAGATAATTTTTATTGAGTCTTGAATCTCGCTTTAGTCAATCAATACTCTATTGAATAATGTGCTTAGAGGGATTTTATTCTTAGTTAAGACAATCTACAAATCCAATGCACTTTGGATTCCATCTAAAGGATCAAAATATGATACAAAGCAGTGAATCAATTCACTCTCGTGTAATCGATTTCCCACTTCCAAATGATGTTGCTCTAACAAACCTATTCAAATTTCATCTCTCGTAAGTTAAAGCGTAAATCGTAAGAACGTGATCGAGGTTCAAATATTCACTGAATAGTGCATCAATATGATATAAACTATGAGTTCAAACTCACTATAGTATCAAATAATCACCAGGTCAATATTCAATACTAGGTTCCTTATCCTCAAGTGATATTTAGAGATAAGGGGAAGACATATGAGAATATGAAAATGTCATTGTGGTGATGGAACTCGTCTCCTGATCATCTATTTCTACTCCAAAACTTGATTCCCGAGTTTCAATTGTGAAAAATCGCCAAAATAGCTCCAGGAACTTTCCCAGGTCCCGCACTCTCTTTAACGTCTCCCTCTTTTAGTTATAGTCTGAAAAACTGGAACCCCTTTTGGAAAATTTGCAGCCTCCCATTTATACCCGACGATGGCATTTTCATGATCGAACGCCACGACTGTGACTTTCATTTTTCAGGTCGTGACTTCTTAAAATGCCCCGTTCATTTAGCCATCTCTCGAGATTCAAGGTCGTGGATTGAGGAAAGTCGCAGTCGTGACATTGAGTGAGCAAATCGTGACTTTCATTTTGAGCTCTTGTGATTTTCTCACGCCCTTTTTGGCATGTCTCATGGCAATGAGTTTTGGAGTCACAACCCGTGAATTATGGCTTAGTATTCATTGGTCTTATTTTGCTCTCCAAATGTCTCAAACTCGCTCCTAACTCTTCTCCACGTTCTATGACCTAAAATATGGCAACACAACATAACCTAGCATAAAGTGGACAAAGGAAAGGGTGTTCTCGAAATAAATTGTCAAGAATAAGAGTAGAAATATGTATATTTAAGCAATTATCAACCCACTCATGCCCATGGTTCTAACTTCTATGTCACCTTGACTCCCAATATAATGTAGTTCTTCATGTTCACATGTTTGTCTTTACACTTTTTCTAACACATAAATTCCATTGTATCTTATTTATATACATGCTTTTTCCCCCCACTGGATCACCCACAAATATGTAATAGTTAAAGTACAACGCTATATTTGAACGTAATCAATTAACAAAGTCGAACCTCTGTAAAATACGAGGCGTCAAAGATAAGGCATGACAGGCCACAAAACGGACCCCCTATAATTGATATTCCTAACAACGAAAACAACCCTATAATTCGGATTAGTAGCCAAAATGTCACCAATATCTTGCATAATAGCTCCAGAGTGATCGACTTCACAATCATTGGAATTGTATCGATCAATAATTGATTTATTATCACCACAAATCGTCACCGAAGCCAAGCATCGACGACATGATGTAATCTCATTTATATGAAATACAGATTGGTCGGATTAACCAAATGGGCATTATGTAAATTCACGCCTATCTATCATGTACACAGAGTTGACCCAAATATGTCATTCCAAATTCATTAATTTCCCATTGATGGTATGCTGGGTATTAGCCTGCAGATCGCACGAATAAGCCTCGACTTGAGTCTTGATGGGAGCTTAGGAACCTAAAGTTGTGCAAGTTTCTTTAGCAGTAGTTGAAGAGTTGGAGAATATCATCTTTATGTTCCACATTATTACCATGAGATATTAACAAGGATGACGTGGGTTAGAATGACCTAATCAACCTCATCTTTGACATTATTACCACGAGGTGTAAACAAGTAAGAGATGCCGAATTTGGGTTCATTTGAGAGCAAATCATCACCACTTTAAATGAGTCATTTTGATTATTCAACGTTGACTACTCGTATGATTAACAATGAGGTACATATTTTTGGGTTCATGCAAGATGAATCATCACCATTTCATGGACATATAAATAGGAGGCTGAAGTGAGTGACCATGAAATATTCAATTTAAGTTTGTTTGGGGACAATTCATCTCCATTTTATGACTCATATGTTTAAAAATGAAGTGCATATGTTTGGTTTCATTCAAGACCAATCATCAGCCTTTCATGAACATATAATAGGGGATGAAGTGAGTGACGAAAATCAACTCTTCACTTGCCATCTCCAGCTCTTAGTCTTCTCTAAAACGATAACTCGGCAATGCTCCAAATTTTATGGTTAGCACAATAGAGGTGGAAGTCATCCATTAAAAGAGAAAAACTTGGGTGGGACGGGTGCACCAGCAAGGATTGGTGATATGGTGCACCCGGCCAATCCCGTCCGGCCACGTGTCATATCATTTTTATGCAAATGAAATTAAAACTTTAATTCCCCTTTTTCTGCGTTGCTGAGCTGCCATTGCGGTTGCGGGAGACTAGGCGATTAGTTTCCTCCTTTCGTCGGCGAGCTCGTACTTTATGCGGCGAGATAGGGACGACCAATTCGTTCAGACGACAAGGTCTACGCGGGAAACAAATTTGCTTTGTTTTCTACGGCGAGATGGTGAGATTGGGATGGCAGGGAATCGTTTAGGCCTCTGGGCTTTCCGTTGCCGTTGCGTCTTGTCGGGGACGCGAATCAGAGGAGCGATAACTCCACACCTCTCGTCTTCATCCACCGTTGAGCTTAGATTGACCAGAGTCTGCGCTGCTCGCCATCACCGATTTTAAATCCGATGTGTTAATAATACTGGTTAAGATGAAAAGAACCTAAACCCTGACCCGTTAGCTGTGCACCGGAAGCGAAAACTTTAATGGGGATTGAGACGACCGATAGATTTGTGTTGAAGACTTGAAGTGGAAACTGTAATCTCGTCGGCGACAATGGTTCTACAACGGTGAAGCTTATCGGCTTTTACAGGGGTGTGCTTATTTAATTAATTATTAATTAATAGGAAGGGAACAAACTACGAAGACAAATCAATCCATTCAAAAAGGGGAAATAAATAATCACCTAGTCTGCAGCTCCGCAACGCGAAGAAAGAGGGATTTTTAAATTTTAATTTCGGATACATAATAATGTGTGACACGTGGCGGGATATAATTGGTCGGGTGCACCACATCACCAATCCTTGCTGGTGCACCCGTCCCACCCAAGTTTTTCTCCCATTAAAAATCCGTGTGAATACTAAAAGGAGAAGTTGATCACAACCTACAACTCCTCCTTTTTGATCATGAAGGATTTTAATTTTTCTTTTGCGATGTCTTTAGACCCGAAAACCCAATACCGGTAACAAAATCATAGTTGGGCTACTCATGTCATGGAAACCATTTTTTTGCTTTGCCATGAAATGAGCAATTTAGCAAATATGCAGGGATCAAACTGTAAAATGCTAAAAGCTCGATGCTCTCGTATTCCAAAAAGGCTTTATAACCGACAGCCGGGGACAGACCAGCGAATATCTCGATCTCCGCAGTCTCCACCACCTCCGGTTGTAAATTCACGAATCCACCGTACCCTTAATCGTAATTTTGTGCCTCCATCAGAATATCTTCTCTGCCTCCTGGGCACGTCGTTAGGGTTTATTAGTTTCCGCCGCCCGATTCATAACCCCCACAAAATCAATTGATCGTCCGTCGCACGTAAAAATCGATCGTTCCTTCTTCGCGGAGGGGGAGGTAGAATCGCGGCCGATGGGGTCCAGAGAAAAGGAACATGGTGCGTCGCACCACCAGCCACTCTTAAGCAGCCTTGTCGTACGGCCATCGTCTAGCGACGGCGGCGGTGAAGGTGGCGGTAGCGGCAGCGGCGGCGGCGATGTTGGAGGCGGAGGTGGACGTGGTGGCGGGTTTGAAACTGGCGAGGCGCGTCGTGAGATGCCGCCATATTCTCGATCCGAGCGATTCTCTGACGCTCCAGGTTTGTGTCTCTTTGCACCTCTGTATCATTTTCCGATCTGTGCTGACGGCTTGCGGAGTTTCTTTACTGTTTCGTGCATGTTCTGTAAAGAGAAGTCAGCTTTGTTATTGTTTTCGTTCTCGTAGTCCCTTGTGTTTCACTCGCTTTTGATGTATCTCAGCAATACGCGCTTGTACTGAATGGTATTGTTTGCGAAATTTGCCTTCCACTGCTTCGGCTTTGCTTCTGATATTGAATTTGATGGTGTGCAACTATCTAGATAGTGCCTAAAGCAGTGAAAGAATTAACTGATATCGATGCTCTGGTCAAGTTGCCTGGTGAAGACTTGAGTAATGGAGGATGCTTTGACATATGTCCCATAGTGAATTCATAGGTTCTTGAGAGGTTCTTGGGTTTGTCAGATAAAATTAAGCTTAGTCAGGAAATCTAATCATACTCCTTTTGCAATCTGCTATGCTACTGATGCTCGATTGGCTGTGGCGTTAAGTATGCAGTTTCCCCAGAATTTCAGAGACTCCTCAGTCTTTAGTCTGGCAGAAAACTTCAAGGTTATACTTTTATAAGAAATACTTGACCCTCTAGGTCTTATTAGGAAAAGAAAGTTCGACTGTTAAGTGTAACCGTCGAGGTACCTCGATTGGTGGGATATGCTGTACCTGCTCATGGGGTTCCATAATTGCATAGTATTATTGGAATATATATCTAAAAACTGCAAAAAACTGTTAAATAGAGAAGTTCCGTCATCATTTTGCATCTTTTTTTTGGGATCGACAAGCACGTGTAGGGCTTTGAGATCAATTGATATTTATTATTTAGTTACTGTTATCATCGCTTACAGAAATGTGGATGAACTAACATTTTGGGAGTTTTGAATTGGAAATAAAATTCTGCCATTATGTGTTACAGCTTTGAATATTGCCTGCAAGAACTTTGGTCTTGACGAAGCCATCTTGGTGTGAGTTCAGTTCTGGGATCATTGTTGGATGGAATGTGGGGTTTAATATTAGGGACTGCATATATGGGGCTGATATCATCTGTCACGGGTGTGAATGGTAGACAATTTTGGGTTGTGTGTGCATCTTTTTATTGGGAATACGGTTATGGTTCACATCTTAGGAACATGAAGCCGTTAACTCGACATCAGCTTGAACCGTGTGGAAACTGTTCCACGAAGTGCCCAAGTCACTGACCAATCTGTGATGCCAGATGATTACCCCACCTGGTTAAATATATTGGATAATTTTTTCTCCAATAGGCGTGATAACATATTCCAGTGTGAGCTTTTAGTGGTTTGCTGCCCAGGCTGGGACGCTGGGTAATGACTTCGGACTCGACTATTTTAGAGGCTTTCTCTAATGGGACATGTCTCTTGCTCGTGGATATGGGCCAACTCTGGTATCTTTTCATTTGGGTGAAAAAATGCAATGCTGAAGTTCCTCGATGTTGCTGATACTTTGTGGATTAGTATGTGGCCGATTGCACACAACCTGGTGCTGTGTTTTTTGTTCCCTTGTGGTTTCTCTCTTTCTTTTTGGATGGTAAACTTTGTTCAGCCGAGTGGGTCCACATGAGGTGGTATAGAATAAACAAGTAGGGCAGTGATGCTATATATTGTCTTAAGTGTGTAAATCTGGGGATTGGCTTTTGATAATGCTGATGATTGGTTTCTTGAATACTGGGCTGGCGAGCACTTCACCTCCGTCCATGGTTGTTAACTCTTGGGCAAAGAGCAGAACTAGTGACAGAGAAGAGTTGATAACTACTCTTTGGGATCAGGGTTGCTGCAGCCCAGTGTGTTTCTGTGACATTGGAACTTTTGGTTGGGTTGACTGTTTGGAAGTTTTTGGATTTATAAGCGCTATTGGTTGGTGTAAGTCCGTTGTTCTTAACAAGATTTTCCGATTGTTCTGTAAGGGTTTGCTTATCTGTGGGCTATGCTGGCTGTTTTCCAGGGTATAGAATGAATGCAGGTTCTGGTTCACCTGCACGTCGTAGGGATGGAGATCACCGGTATGCTTCTGATTTTGATCATTCAGGGGGTCCACCAAGGGGGCGTGAGTTTATGGTCGGCAGGGATGCTGGTAGATTTCGAGATTCTTCTCCACCTTTCAGTCGAGGTAGAAGTAGTGGTGGTGGCAGGCCACTAGCTAGAGAGTTTGACCGTCCTGGGTTAGGTCCAGGACCATTCAGAGGAGAGGCCATCAATAGGAACAATCCAAATGTGCGTCCCAGGGATGGAGACTGGGTCTGTTCAGATCCTATGTAAGTTCCATATCTTTATCTCTATATCATGTTTGGCCTCGTATTTTGTTGAGTTTTTTTTTTTGTTGGTATTATTACACCCTCAGTAGGAGCATATGGGCTATTGGCTATTCTTGGCTATGTTACTCGTGATTTTAATAGTTCTATCCCTTTAGCTCTGAAACTAACTTTTCTTTCTTGGGTGTAACTTCGAAACTAACTTGGCTCTTCACCATTTCTGTCAAGTACAAGCCTTGAGAGTTGGAATCGCGTGTTCACCATTCGTGTTTAACATACTCATGCTTTGTTTGGATTTTCAGGTGCACGAATCTGAACTTTGCTAGGAGAGATGTGTGCAATAACTGCAAGAAGCCTCGCTACGCCCAACCATGGGGAAGCCGAAGTCCTCCTAGGAGGGGCTATCCGGGTCCCCCGCCTCCACATGCTGTTGGTGGTCCGAGACGCCCACACGGTCCTCCATTGGATCTTTCTCCTCCTGGGAGAGCCATGAACATATACAGGTCTCCACCTCCTCCTCGTGGCGGTTGGGGCAGGGGCAGCCCTAGGGATTTCGGGCCTGGTGGCCCTCCACATCTCAGGCATGGAGGACGGTTCTCTGACCCTAGAGAACGCCCCGACTACCCAGACGACGACTACAGGGGAAGGAGCAAATTCGATCACCGGCCGATGCCACCAGTGGAATGGGGTCACCGAGAACGCGGCAGGGATGGGTTCTTCAACGAAAGGAGAGGAGGGTTCGACAGACGGATGCCGCTTTCTCCTCCTCCTCCCGCTGCTGCACCCCTGCCTATACCTCCTCAGCGAGGCGGACGATGGGGACGCGATGTGAGGGAGAGGAGCAGGTCCCCGATGAGGGGCGGCCCTCCACCATCGAGAGATTTCCGACGAGACATGTTCATGGGACGAGGAGGAAGGGACGATCGACGCCCTCTTGGAAGAGATCGAGTTGGAGACGTGTATTGACGCGGGAGACGAGGGGGTGGTATTTGCTCGACTGAGGAGGAAACATGATGGGTGCTGCTCTTCATTAGTGTGAACAAGTTTGCCGCGGCGGGAGAGATTTCAGAGAACTTGGTTTTAGTCGGGTAGATGTTGTGAGTATAATGTGGTAAATACCCGGGAATTTTTGACAGGGTTGGTGTTTGTTGAACTATCCGGGATGGCTGCTGGTGACTTGGTATTGTCTGGTTTGAATTCTGTTGAGTTTGATGAAATGCCTGGGTGATGAAGACGCTGCAGCCCGGGCGTAGTGGCTTCTTCAGACTTGTAAGTGAAGCTCGTGGCGGTAGAATATCGAACGATAGAATGATCGGGTAGTTAATTAAGCTTTGTTAAGTAAAACGCAAGAATTCAAATGGTTTGTTTGTTCCAAACCGGCAGGCATCAGGTGGGTAGCGCGCTGTGGGGATTGGCAGGGTTGCTTTGCTTGTTAGGGATCCACTCAAGAGCCATTCGAAGTTTTCAATTGGCTTGGTAGTTTGGACATTGGAGGATGGTCTTCTAGATGGATACGACAACTACACTATTCATTCTGCTTAGGGACGAAGAGCTGGAATTTTCCAGAAAAACTACTAAAAAGAACATAAAAATTTCAAAAATATGAATATCATTCATTTTCGAAAAATTCAAAAATACTATCGTTTTTCAAAAACCTTCACCCCACCGAGCGGTTTAATGGATCGCATGGGGTCTGGGTGGTTTGGACCAAAACCGCTGTCCCCTGCGGTTTGGTATAATTTTTTTCCGATCAATCCTATCCTAGGTGGAAATTTCAAACGAACGTATCTTTGTGCTCGGGTATTCGATCGTAGCGATTTTTTTTTTATTCAGCGACACTATTCGAGATCTTGCAAGCCGCAAGCCTTCGTCCCGAAAAAAAAAAGCGTCGTTTGCTACCCGGAACGAGTTGCTCCAATATTCGAACGTCACAATTTTTGTCATTTCACAGAACTTTTGAAGGACTACAACTTTTGTTAGGAAATGAATTTTCAAAATAAGAATTATTTTTGGATATACTGGATTTTGGGAATAACTTTACCTTCACTTTTCGCAAATCCACGTACATTCCGAAATTATGGTTATGATAAAAATTGTAGTCCTTCAAAAGTTATGTGAAATGAAAAAAAAATTGCGACGTTAGGATTTTTAAGCACAAAATTATGGTCGTCCAAAGTTTGGCAAAATCGGAAAAAAGCTCATTCGAGGCAGCAACGACGTTCTCTCGGAACGAAGGCTGGTTGCGGCTTGCAAGATTTCAAAAAGTTATGCGGAATAAAAAAAAATATTTGCTATGATCGTATACCCGAGCACAAAGATACGTTCGTTAGAAGTTTCCACCTAGGTTAGGATTGATCGGGAAAAGAAAATTGGACCAAATCGCAGGGGCATCGGTTTTGGACCAAATCGCCTCGATCCCATGTGGTCAATAAAACCACCCCAACCCATGCGGTTTACATCGAAAATCGCGCCCCACAAGTGAGTTTTTAGAAAGGGTGGTATTTCTTGAAAATTTTGGAAATGAGTGGTAGTTTTTATTTTTTCTTTATTTTTAGTGGTATTTTTGGAAATTTTGGAAATGGGTGATATTTTTGAATTTTTTTCTTTATAGTGATATTTCTGGAAAAAATCTCGAAGAGACGACACATTAGCGTGTGAGCTTATTGCTACAGTTTCGTAGTCTCTACTACGAGACTGGATCGTTTGACCCACAGGTGTATAGAGATGAAAATTTCATAGCTGTTTGTTTGTCTAATAGAGGGTAGTCTATTCCATTTGGCGCTCGTTCTGGTTCTGAGTATGATCCGCGTCACTGGATTCAGGGGCGTACTCAGGATTTCGTTTAAAGTGGGTCCATTTTTATTAAATTTTTAAATATCTATGATAGAATTTTATATTTAAAATTTTTTTAAATAAAAATACATTAGTAGTCGAAACTATCAACAATATCTCTCTTGCGTACCAAACACTTATTCATGGTTTAGTTAGTCGTTCGCCTTTGAATGGTGTTATTTGTGAAGAACCGTTTAATATAAAAAATTCGAGTTGTTGAGAGGGATTCAATGATGTAACTTATATCAAACTATTAGTCATGATTTAAATCGAGCGGAATAGCACGAATACGGTTGTTCATCAGCTAAAAATCGGCTGGCACAGTTTCTTGTCTCTTTTGATCACACCGTTATGAGTCAGATTTCGATATTGATTTTTAACAGTCGAATCGCCGATACCGTATGAATTTTAATCCTTGGTTAAATTGGAGAGCAAAAAATAATAGCTAATAAAATCCTTGGTAGGGGCTCTGTTTTTCCCTCTCAATCGAACGGCGAGACGGTGGGGGAACGCAAGCTCTGGTCCTTTTACCTATGAATTCAGGCGGTTGGATCAAAACCCAAACCCAGGGCCGTCTTATGGACCGTCCGATAAGCAAAAAAAAAAAACCCACGATAGCAAATCAATCGGATCGATATTAAGCCCAAAATTCAAAATGCAGTGAGAGAGAGGGAGGAAAGCAAAGGCGAAGAAACAACAGACTCAGAAGAACGAAAGGCAAAAAACCAAATCAAAACCCAAAAAAAGCCCTCTCTTCTTCCTTCTCAGTCCCTTTTTTGTACTCTCCCTGCGTCCCTCCCTTCCTTCCTGCGTCTCTACTCCAATCTCTCCCTCTCTCTCGCGCCGCGGGGCGGGACCGCGGCTTCTTCTCTTTCCGCGCCGGCGGCCGCCACTCTTTGTTTGTGGATCAATTCCCGTGCTCTGCGCTTTCTTTCTCTGGAATTTGGCATTCCGGCGGAAGGGAAAGCCAGCCGTTGTTGAGCTGATTGGCGATTTTCCGGGGGGGCGGGGAGCTTGGGGATCTGGGAGTTGCGGAATTCGGGTCGGGTTTTGTTAGAAATTTTAGGGGCGGAGAGAAGCGCGCGCGGGATTTCGCGTTCTTATTTTTGCTTCCCTGAGTGTTGGTGTGAATTCGAGGGGTAATTTTTGAATTTTTTTTTTTTAGGTGTTTGGGAGGATGGGGGAGGGTGAGGGGAGCGAATTCCCTCCAAAAAAGGCTCCGCCGCTTGCTAGGCAGCTCGATTTCACTCAGGGCAGCGGCGGCGGGGTGGTTCTTCCTGACCATCCGCAATCGGCAACGCCGCAGCAACAGCAGAAGCCGCCGGTTGCTGCGGCTGCTGGTGCTGCTGTTGCTGGTCCGCCTCCGCCTCAGAAGCCGACGACGGTGGCGGCGGCTGTGCAGCCGATTGCGAAACCGCCGGTTCCTATGGCTGTTACTCAGAGCCAGCAGCCGCATCTCGTTGCTGCGGCGGCGACCACCCCTGCTGTGCCTCAGCCGCCAACTCAGCAGCAGCAGCAGCAACAGGGTGTTCCAGCTGCGAAGGCTGTGTAAGTTTTCCTTCTCTTCTTGACTGGAATTTGTTTCAAGTTTTTGATTTTTGCTCGCGGAAGAATCTGACTGCCGTGGGGTGTGGATTCTTCATCTTGTCTATTGTTTCTGGGGCAATGTTTCTGTTATTTGTTTCTCTCAAAGTTCGTTTCTTTAATGGCTTTATTATTTTCTGATCGATCTCGTTAACCTATTCGATAATGAAGTTTTGTCAATGGCTGAAGGTATCGAATTGCTTCACATCAGATTGTAGTTACCTATGGCTTCTGGACTTTATTTTCTATTTGGCATTCCTAATTGATCATGTGAAACCTGGCTGTCTACTGTAGTGATTTTGTGTTGGGTTTTCAGAATGAAGAACTGGTTTATTGGTGTTCTGGATTTTTTTTCTCAAGACTTCACTATAATAAATGTGCATCCTTGATGCATTACAATTTCCTTTTCTGTCGTGGACATTAACATTTACCTGCAATAGGTTCAACTTTTTGCCATGTGTATGTAATTGCGAACTTCAACCCCGAAATAAAGGGAACATTGGCGGGGAGGCAACATAACATAGTTTATCCGCTCTCACTTTTTGAAAAGTTTGTCTAAACGTGCTCGTAGTAATTGCTGCGACAACTATGCTCAAGGACATTTCGTCATTCTAATTCTTTTGTTGACGAAACTATTTCCTTTTGCAGAAAACCTGATTCCCCAAAATCAAGAGCAAGACCAGCTGCAGAGAAAGATGGTACACCAAAGAAGCAGAAACAGTGTAACTGTAAGCACTCACGGTGCTTGAAGCTGTGAGTACCTTAATTTATTGTCTGAATTTCACTGTATTTGAATTTTCTGTTCGAAAAATTTCCATGGTGAAATCTATATAAAAAGGTTTCCGCGATTGGAGATGGTGCAGAGCCCTTGGTACTGGTAGTGCAGTTCCATTTTCTATTGCTTATTCATGATGCTAGTTTCAACTTTTCATACAATGACCAAAAAGCTATTATCTTAGGAACAGCCTTTACCCTCTTCCCTTATCCAGGAAGCTGGTTCTGCTGTGCAGTAGTGGATGTTGGTTATCTTTGCTAGGCCTCTTTGTTTTCCAGGTTTAGCTGGGGCATGCATTATAAGCTATTCCTCCTCATTGTAGGAAGCCATATTTTTGGGAAAATTGATATGGATCCAAATGTATATGAGCCATATGATAGGTTAAGTTCACAATTTCCTCTATTCTTTTCTACTGGTCATAACTAAGCTGTAAGTTTTTTTTAGTAAAGACATCAACTTTAAGTTTATATGCTTTTCCAAATGAAAATGCAGATACTTGTGTGTGCAAAGTCTTTCGAAGTGAATTAAACAGTTTGTATACGTATACAATGTAGTAATGGAGGTTTCATCTGATGGCGGCCACAGACCTGTAGAGTTGGTTATTGGTATGATCAATAAATGATTGTAGTTGCAATTAGGAGTTGAGCTGGGTGTTTGCCGACATGTGGTTCTCCGCTGAGCCGCATCAACTGCTTTGTCTAGCATTTCTTTATTTCGATCTGTTTGTTAAAATTTCCTTCTGTTAGGTTCAATTTATATCCATTTTGCTTTAAGTTACGGGATCAACAAATGTCTGTCACTTTTGTGCTAATTGTTCTCGAGTTTTTTTTATCAGGTACTGTGAGTGCTTTGCTTCTGGAACATATTGTGATGGGTGCAATTGTGTAAACTGCTGTAACAATGTCGAAAATGAAGCTGCCAGGCGAGAAGCAGTTGAAACAACTTTGGAGCGTAACCCAAATGCATTTAGGCCAAAAATTGCTAGCAGCCCACGTACAGCACAAGATATCCGGGTAAATCTTCAATTTTTTTCTTCTTCCTACCTCTAATTTTAGTTCCTACTTCCAAACAGTGGCTTGAATGTTTTCATCTTTCAATACCACTAGGCCTATCCCTGAGGGATTAATAAATATTGCACTTTTAATAGCTCAGGTTTGCACTCATTCACAGTTGTTCCGCGCTCTTGGAGCTGAAGAGAGAATTCCTACTTCACTTATCAAAAGATAGATTACTCATTGTTCTTTTTTCCTGAAAATATTTAAACCTTTAACCAATCAATTGCCAGGAGTTCTCCCTGTTCATTTTGGTGAAGCCAAATAGTGGTACTACTTAGGCTTTGTTTTTCCCCCTATTCAAATTGTGGTATTCTTGATAAATAAATAAACGAATAACACACTGGAAGTTTGGGACACTGTCGAGCCTTGTGGATATTTGGTAGGTATGTAGCATGATTTTGGCTAATTTTGGTCATTGGGATATTTAGCTGGTGGTTAATTTGGTCTTTGGTTTATTTCAGTATGTTTTTGTGATTTTCTTTTTTCTTTAATTATATTTATCAAGATCACCTTGAAGGATTGGCTGGAACAGGATCTGGAACTTTGGTCTAATTCACCTTGATTTTTTAAGGGAGCTGTCATTTTCTTGTTTTGCTTAGCAAGTCAATCAGTTCATATATGTGCAGGAGGAAAACGGAGAATTAGTAGTGTTGGGAAAGCACAACAAGGGATGCCATTGCAAAAAGTCGGGATGCCTCAAGAAGTACTGTGAATGCTTCCAGGCAAACATCCTCTGTTCTGAAAATTGCAAGTGCATGGACTGCAAGAATTTCGAAGGAAGTGAGGAACGTCAGGCTCTCTTTCACAGCGACAATGCCAACAACATTAACATGCAGCAGGCAAATGCTGCTATAACAGGAGCAATTGGTGCATCTGGATTCGGATCTGGGTTTACATCTCTTCCATTGTCTAAAAAGAGAAAAGGTCAGGAATTATTTTTTGGCCAAACAGGCAGGGAGCCGTCCTTTCACAGGCCAGGACATACTCAGCAGGTGGAATTCCTTTTTTTATATCAATTGTGCATCTTTTTATGATTTCAGTATACTCAACATTTAGGAATTTTGAAGATGGCCTTAATTAATACAATGGCTGCATGTTGCCTGCTTTTAGAATTTTCAATTGAACTTGGATTCATCGAATGAGATGTGATTGTTTAATACTATTTCATGTGTCATGAAAAATGTGAACGACGTGTATTCCTCTTTAATCAGGGTAACCAGATCCGGGCTCCTGCACCCTCTTCAAACCATGTAGTTCGTGGTGGCATCACAGCTGCGCATACCCCTTCCAAAGTCACATACAGGTATGAAGTTTCCTTTTAGATGATGTCAAATCTTCTTTGTAAAATGTGACTGATATATCCCCCACTTGTGATTGAAGGTCCCTGTTAGCCGACATTATCCAACCCCAGGATATTAAAGCACTTTGTTCTGTATTGGTGGTTTTATCTGGAGAAGCTGCTAAAAGCATTGCAGGTATGATGTTGAACTTTGTATAGTTATTAAGGATTTCAAGGATAAAGAGTTACTTTTCATTATATGCTTGACTACCACTGATCATCTTTGCCAAAAGGAATGAGAACCCCAGCGATGTTTGGTATCATTCACATTGCTTTTGTTTGTCCTTCTTATATGAAGGAAAATATCTACATCCAAACTGTCTATCCGTTCATGTTAGACCCTTGTAATAGTTTTCTTAGTTCTATTGGTGCCATAAGTTCACACCACAGTTGCGAAACACACATGCGTTTCTGGACATTCTGATTTCTCTGCCATTCTTCAATATCTGTTTCTCTGGATGATGAATCCTGGCTAATTTATCTCCACTTGTCCACAACTTCATTGCACGTATTTTCCAACTACATTTTAAGTCTTCCAAGAATTTTTCCTTGTTCTATTGTACATAAAGGGTTTGGTTTATACACGTTCGTATAAAGTAAACTTGGATATAAGAATGAGCTTCTAGAAGTTTTTCACATTGTCTCTCTGCCCTTTGGATGGTCAGCTTTTCCCTTTGTCCATAGGTCTATTATATAATTTCCCTTTTTAACCTTGTGCTCTCCTAAGACTCGCTGATCATAGAACAGGTTAGCCTGCTAAATTTGGATTTATTTGTCAATGACCACCTGGCTGTTTGGCCAAGGATTGGTCGGTGCCATGATTATTAGAGAAGCAAATCGACCTACAATTTTGCTTAATGTTTCGGAACTTTTGTAATTACCAGATTTCAAGTGTCATCAATAGATTACAGATGCCTAAGTTTGATTTCGTTTGTAGTTTGTGGGAGTATTATATGCTATGTTGGCTAGCTTCCCTCATCTGGTGCCCCCTAACAGTCCATTTATATCATGCGTGAGTGGATTTGCTTCTCCCAATCATAAGAATGTGGAATTTTGCTATGCAGAGCAAATAAGCGAGCAAGAAAAGCAGGTGCAAGGCCAGGTTGAAGCTTCTCTTGCAGCATCAAGTCAAGAAAAGCAGAACCCGAGAGAAACAGATGCCGAGAAAAGCGTTGCTGATGATGGTTACCCCAGTGCTCATCCGGTTGATAATTCAGGTCCTGATAATGGTTCCATGTCAGACGGCGGGGATGCTTCGAAGTCGAGGCCAATGTCACCCGGAACTTTAGCTCTAATGTGTGATGAGCAAGACACTATGTTCATGGCAGCTTCATCACCCAATGGCTTGACTGGCCATGGTGGGATCACAGCATTGCAGTTGCCTGACAATGGACAAGGTGCGACAACAGAAACTTATGTGGAGCAGGAAAGAGTCATACTGACAAAGTTCCGAGATTGTCTACAAAACCTCATCATGTTAGGAGAGGAGAAAGGTGAACCTCTTATCTATATCTTCTCTTTGTTTCGCTGTCATTATGTTATGCTGGCATTTCGCTGATCCTCCTTCCAAATCCGAACAGAAATAGTGTGTTCATCAATAGCTAGATCGGAGTCCATGGATCCGAGATACATGCTCAGCAATGGCACAACGACGATGGCGACTAATCAAGCTGTGGCAGGAGGTATTCAACACAGCGGTACTGGTGGGCCCTTCAGCAATGGGGTAGCGCAAAATGTCATCGCCCCACAGACAGCAGCCAGAGCACCTCAATCGGTTACTTCTACGATCGCCACATCAGTCGATCTTCCGAAGAGTACTACACCTCTACAAAACACTGATGGAAAGCCAAAGTCATGACGAAGATCCTGAAAAGAATGTCCTCTGCACAAAAGTTATGTCTACACAGCACAGCTAATTTCGAACGACAGCATCCCGGTGGCAGTCCCCCGACGAGGTCTGTGTATTGGGTGATGATCAGCTTGATGGGGCTGGCAATTTGGAGGGGCAAAGCAAGAGAGAACCGGAAGACTCTCAGCAGGGAGCTGATTAAAGAATAATTGTTCATCACTTAGTAAATGAGCTTTGTTATGTTCAAAGAGTCTGTAAATTTTAGAATGAAAGAGAGAGCCTTTGCAATTGCAGAGGGGAGGGAGTCATGTTTTTACATGGGCTGATTCTTCCTTCTTTGTTTTTATATAACTTAGATCTGTAGCGATTTTCAGCCCGCCTAATCTTATTCACCATTGTTAGAAGAGAACACAGAGCTAAGAAGGAATTAATCAACTAATTGTCTTGGAACATGAATTGAACATGTTGAATTCCTTAAAGCTCCTGAATCCCAAGCCTCCTTAAACTTGTGGAAGGCACAAAAGATCTTCCATTTGTGCCGGTGGGTTGTTTTCGTTCAGAAACATCTTTTCAGAATAAAATTCATTCTCTCTTCGTAAGGTCATATGGGAGAAGAAAATAACTAACGACGAAAGTCGAAATTGCCTGGATAACACAACTTCCTTGCCTCCAAAAGACAAGGAACAAATTTTTCTAGGCTTCCCCTTTGTTTTCCATTCTCTCAATCAGATAAGAGAAAGTCTCCTTCTTGGAGTTACCCCCATTTTGTGGGCATCCAAGGTATTTTGAATGGCAATTTGAAGGATTTGTTTTCATAAATAGACGTTTTTTAAAAGAAAATTCTCAAAATAGCGGTATTTGAATGGCAATTTGAAGGATTTGTTTTCATAAATAGACGTTTTCAAAAGAAAATTCTCAAAATAGCGGTACTTCACAAATATTTTCCAATACAGTAGTGTTTTTGCTCTGGTTCCGTTCGGGTTCGAATTAACCGACCGAATGCCACCCCTCGTTCCAATCCGTCCCAGGCCAGGAGGATAACTTTTTGGCCCAACGGATCGATTGCAATACGGTACCGTATCCATGGGCAGAAGAACTGATACAAACTGCAGAAGATAGACTCTCTCTCCTTTGCAAAAGTGAAAAGTCTCTCAAAGCGTCGCAGTCACACGCAAACCAAAGGCAGCTTTCATACTCCACAAACCCCTCCGCTACGACAAACCCCGAAAGAAACGTTTGACAAATCCCTAACTATCTTCTCCTTCCTTTCACAACTTTCCCCTCTTCAAGATCTGTGCTTTGCAGAAAACTTCCCGTCGTCCAGCAGAAGCAGCAGCAGCCACAGTACCGGCCAGCGGCGGAGCAAAGAAGTGAAGCGGAAAAAATGGCGTACGTCGACCACGCGTTCTCGATCACCGACGACGATCTAATGATGGACGGATCGTACACCGCCACCAACCGTCCTCCCATCAAGGAGATCGGACTCGCCGTCTCCCTCCTCGTCTTCGGCGTCATCGGTATCGTCGTCGGCTTCTTCATGACCTCCAACAGAGTCGGCGGCGACAGAGCTCATGGTAAGATCCTTCCTTCCTTTCGTATCCCCAATCACTTCATCATCGTTTTTGGGGGGTTTTAATTAGGGTTTGGATTTCTACGGCTTGGGTTTTAGTAATTTTGATTGAACCCAGTTGATGAATGATGGTGATGATGATGAATCAGGGTTGTTCTTCGTGATACTGGGGGTGGTTCTGTTCATACCGGGATTCTATTACACCAGGATTGCTTATTACGCGTACAAAGGGTATAAAGGCTTCTCCTTTTCCAACATCCCTCCTGTTTGAGTTGACAGCAGCTGGAGCTTGAGCTGAGGTCAGAGCTGGATTTGCCTTTTGCTCTTCTCTGTTGATGTTGTTGATGTACATATCTCACAGAAGATTTCCCCCCTCTTTCTTCACCCACTCCTCTTTTGAACTCTTTCTTGTTCCTCGTTTGGTGCAAAATTTAGTAGCCTGGATCCACCCTGCTAAAGACCACAGATGTGTTGCAGTTGAGCTTAAGATGGGTTTCTTCTACTTGTTGCAATATATATAGTTGTTGATCATGGATCGGTAGCACATAACTTGGGATTTGGTTGCTGCATTTGGGTCACCTACGATCATCGTCTCCTTCAGTCTTCCTCTTTTTGTTTGGGGCAGTTTCTTTCTTTGATTGCTGTGATGTGGGGCAAGTCTTCCGTTATAGAGTTTGAGTACGTTTTCATGTGTCTGAATTGTTAGTATGTAAAGAAACAATTTCCATTCCATCCAGCCTGTACTTTCGACGGTTCAGTGATGATGCAAGCAGCGAGCTTCTACGAAGGAGATTACGCAACTTGGTCTCACGTGGTACGCGAATTGGGGGCGACGGTGCTATAGCTGTCTGTCGACGGCCAGCATCCTCGAATCCACCATTGCCAACCGAGGTGGGATGATGCGGTTCTCCATCTCCGCTAAATCTTTTCCCACCCGAATGGTGTTCTGAATCACTCGTGGACAAGTTTCGGTCAAGATCCTGGTTGTTCCCTGTTCTCCATCTCCATCTTGTGATTAGGATGATCTTGGTATCCATTGTAAACTCCATATTCGTTGATGTCAATGGCATCCACCCTCATTCCAAGTATTTCCTACCAAGGTAAAATCGAACCATTTTCCCATGGGGTGTGATCGGATCTTGCGTGCCTGCGCTTTATGGATTGGGTTCTTTAGAACACCGATGTCGTCGAGATTCAAGTCATATCCTCTGCCGCCCCAAACCCTCTGTTTCGCAGCAGTAGCACTAGCAACAGATCCTTCATGGGGTTTTACTCCGTTCGCACAGCTATTCTGGATTGTTAGTTTTGCTGTGTTGCATCAGTCGACACAAACTTATTCTATTTACGTGCATCGCGCAATTTCTGGTCCAACCGCGTTGATCCACTACAATACCAAATTCCATGGGCAGAACTAATACCAAGAGCAGATGATAGAATGAGCGATCTAAAATATCGGATCAAATAAGTTTTGCAGAGAGGAGGAAGGCAACAAAATCCGTTGCATTAGTTCCAGAAATTGATACTCAAACTAGTTCAATCCGGCTATACTTGCACTTATTTCTTTGGGGTTAGGACAGCCTGGCAACTAGCCTGGTTCCGCCAAATCTATCTTCTACAATGACCAAGACATCGATCGATAAAATGATGATAGCACCTCAAGTCATTGCCCATTTTTAGCTATCAAAGTCCAAAGGTTTCTAAACCGTATCTATCCTTCCTTGTTGGGTACGAGGATCTCAAATACATTTCCCAACATTTTATTGCATTTGATTTGATGATGGCTGCAACGTGTGGAGTTGTTGTTGTTGTCTACAGGCGAGACTTCGGCGAGGAAGTGAGAGATGATGCAGGAGCGCTCTGCAGAACAAAAGGATAGAACCAAGAAGAAAGACAGAGTGCGGTTAATACGCATTATCTCTTCAAGCACAATCAAGCATTATGTAAAAGCCGGAACACAACAGCACATTGTTCCAAGCTTTGGAAGTTTTGCTACTTACCAATGGAATTCCCCTTGCCGCTCGCACTTCCAAGTAGCTCGATGGCTTGAAGAACCCACCGTACAACTCCGACCACCTCGATAGCCTTTCATATACATGCTTCGCCCCAACCAGGTCCGCCCAAAAGACGATCCCACCACTGCCACACGCAACAAACGATTCAATGAGGGACTTCCAATTGACCAAAAACAGGATGAAGCGTGTGTTTGGTTCAGCTTTTGATTAACTGATTTAAATAATTTTGCGAGATCTATAGTAAATAGTTGGATTGAAAGAATGTGTTTATTGTAGCTTTTAGTCCAACTTGATTATTAGTTACTTCTGTTTTTGCCAAAACAATCACCCTAAAGCTCGGAGGAACCAGAGAGACTCACCGATAAGATGGGAAGCTCATCCCAAGCACAGATGCTATATCGAGGTCTGATGCTCGAACCACCACGTCCTCGTCGAGTACTCGGCATGCCTCGTTCACCACTGGGAAGAGGATCATCTCCAAGATGTCTTGATCAGTAACATTGATTGGCTGCCACAGGCAATAATTATGCCAAAGCCAAATGCATATCAGGTTTTTAGTCTATTAAGCCACGGAGAAAACTATTTGGTTCTCACATCTTTTTATCTGAAAGAAGTTCTAAAAGAAATGAACCTTTCCATTGGGCATCATATTGGCAACGCGTCTAGACTCCTCAATGATGGGTAGAACTGAAAAATCAGGTTTTGGCTTACTTCCCTTCTCGTAGACGTAGTATCCTCTTCCGTTGTTCTTGCCTAGCAAAGCAAAAGATGGTACAAAGTAAGATGAGTGCAGTCCTCAAATAGATGCAACCAGTAACTACATTGCCAACATGTAACTGTTAGTAGTACCATTTCGTCCATTCTTAATCAGCAGATCAATCAGGGGTGTCTTAAATGTGCGATCAGGGAATGCACTATTAAATTCTTTGCTCACTGCCACAGCAACTCCATATCCAGCTAAATCCTGGAGCCTTCAAATCATGCAGATAATAGATAAAAAGATTATATTGAAAGTCAGCCATGGAAACCATGCGAAGCAGATTTGAGAAGGAAAGGACAATGGAATTACTGGAAAGGGCCCATAGGGAGGCCGAAGCTGCTGATGACCCTGTCGATTCTGAAGACGTCAACACCTAGATGGATTAATATATGTGCACTCTGTGAGTAGGGGAAAAAAGTCCGATTGACTGCGAAACCAGTGCAGTTGCCCACGACGACAGGAGCTTTCTTGATAGCTTTCCCAACTATCATGAGATCAAGAATTGCTTGTGCAGAGGTTTTGTTCGTCCTCACTATCTCCAGGAGAGGCATTATATGAGCAGGGCTGTCCATAAAAAGAAGAGCATGTCGGGAAACAACCTTTTAAGGATTGTGCAAAAGAACTGATCAAAACAGTCTTCAATAAATCAAGAAAGGTTGAAGTAAAAAATTAAACCTGAAAAAGTGTGCTCCAATGATTCGGTCCTGTGAGTTAGTCTTTTCTCCGATCACATTTAGGTCGATGGTGGATGTGTTTGTTGCCAAAATGCAATGACCAGGACAAACCTTTTCAAGTTCTCCAAATATCTTTTGTTTCAAGGGAATATTCTCAATAACTGCCTGCAAGTTTTATAAATTGAATCAAACAACTACTTACCAGAAGCTAAAAGACATCTGATGATCCAAATCATCTCCAAAGAAAATATACACAGACAAGACTAGAACAATGGTACAACAACTTCACAAGTCCCCACTCTATAACGTCGTGAACCAGTCTGAACTCCAGATATCCATAATAACTCCAAGATGACAGAATGAGCCTAAGCACTATTTTACCTCGATGACCATGTCCACATCATTGAAGTCTGAATAGTCTAAAGCACCTTTGAGCATTGAGAGAGCTTTGTTGGCCTTATCCTTTGTCAACTTTCCTCTTGTTTCCAAGTTCCGAATATTTCCTGAAATTTCAAATACGTAACTGCCTGTTACTGACTATGGCCATACACTTAACACCACATGGGCTCTATCGGAAATTCGGAATCATCATATTGCAGGGAGAGCTTTCAGACCAGGCTTAAAAATGAGATACCTTCTATAGTTTTTGTCCCTTTTAGAAGATAATCAGAGTTGACTTCTTTAAGAACAACATATATGTTGCTTGTAATGAGAGCAGTAGCTATTCCAGAACCCATTAGCCCGCCACCAATAACAGCCACTTTCTTTATCTGCCTAGGTTTAAGGCCAACATCAGTGACACCAGGCACCTGTCAAGGTCAAAATGGCAAGATAAGATTTAGTTCTCCCACTTTTACTGTGTCATAAAAATAAATCTCTTATAGTTCAGCACAATAGTTTGGTGTCTGATTATTAGAGACAAAAAAGAAGTGTAACAGAGGACATCTCTGCTAAAACCAACTACATATGGGATTTACAAAACACACCTTTGATATAGCGCGCTGGCCAAAGAATACATGAACTAGACCCCTCGAAGTCTCTGATAATACCAACTCCTTGAACACTCTTGCCTCCTGTCCAAACCTTTCATCCATTAACAGTGCTACATATAGGAACATCATAGATTTTTCACAGAAACAACCACACCGGTCCATCACCCACACACATAACAAAGGTCAAACACTGCACTGCTTTGAGCTCATAATTCATAACAGAGGAACACTTAATTTAGGCACATAGGATGTCAAGAACAAGCCAAACTAATACCACAGGCATAATTTTAATGGGAAAAAATGATGATATTGCACAGAACCAGAGTGTTGCATATCATAAAGCCTTTTAATACCTTCAGAACCCCGTTGTAGCCTCCATGAATAATGCCATCCTCAATAACATCAAGGCATCCCAGATGCTGAGGCATATTTGGGGCGGTCTTCTTGGCTTGTAGCCTAGCAGCTTTCAGTACTTGACGGGCCTCAGAGAGGGAACCAATCTTGTCAGTCTTATGAAGGGAACGAACCCATGGTTTGCGCCTTTCAGCAATATCTACAGCCCATTGTCGTGATACATTCAGCAACTCTTCAGAGGAGACAAGAGCATCAATAAGACCAAGCTTCTGTCCTTCTTCAGATAGGATTGGCTTGGACAGCTGTAAAGAATAAAATTCAAGTGTTAACGTTTCAGCAGAGTAACGTGGAAGTAGCACCCAAAATCGGACATTTAAATTTTTGTTTGAGCTTTTTGAACTTTTGAATGTACCACAAAATTCTGCACATAACTCAGGGGAGTATAGACACAGCATATTTTAGTACCAGATATGACGATTTATTAGGGAAATAAAAATGACGAAGTTTGCCACGCTACTTCCGGAGTTGACTACCACCAGTGATTCTGAAGTAGGAGTACATTTACACATTTCTTTTCAGCAATGAATAGAAGAACTTACTAGCATCATTTCAATGGCCTTTGGCAGCCCTACAAGCCTTGGAAGTCGTTGTGTACCTTCAGAAAAAGAACTAAATTCTCAATGCCTCATAGAACCAAACATTAGAAATGTGTAATCAACTACAGGTCTGATTCTATGAGTGTTCATATAGAGTATTTTGGACCTCCAAAACCAGGAATCACGCCAAGTGTCAATTCTGGCAAGCCAAGTTGAGTTCTCGGTGCAGCAACACGTGCATGAGATCCCTGAAATGATTTACAAGGATGAGAACTCTAAAAAAAAGTTAGAAAGATCAAAATAAACGACCAGACTAGTAGATATTAACACAAACCAGTGCTAGTTCTAAGCCTCCTCCCAACGCCAATCCTTCCACAGCAGCAACAACAGGTTTCTTGCAATCTGTGCTCGACATAAAATGGAAACATAAAACAAGCTGTCACGTAAGCTATGCAGCGGGCCACCCTATTCCATTTCTAGAAATCGGCTCAAGAACTCTTATCAATCATGAAAAAGGAATCACAAATTGAGAACACAGAACACGAACCTTCGATGGTGTTTACCACGAGATCAACAGAAACATCAGGCATGACTGAAACATCCCCTGCGGTACCAAATAACAGAACAGTGGACCCATTGATCAACTATCAATTCGACCAATCGACCTCCACAAAATAGCACAAAAGTTCATATGCATATTAGACAATACCAGTAGCATGAACCTTCTGGAACACATTGATGTCAAAACCGCCAGAAAACCTGCCACCCTTGCCTATATAACCACAGAGGAAAATTCAATAACGATCAAACTATATGTACAAGTCCCTCCTAAAACACCATAAATTTTCTTCTTCAAAGAGTAGCCGTACACTTTAGAACTTCAATCATGCTTATGAAACAGTACAAGTTCGCACAGGATCGGAAGCAATTCACCATTTCTCAGACCTACCACCCCAGAAACTTCTAGATTCGAAGAAAACTAGCTACAACAGAAAAAAGGCGCAGAGAAGGAAGATACTCACCAGTTAGAACGATAGCCTTGACGTCGTTTCTCCGGGTAGCCTCGCCGAACTTCTCCTTCAATCCGTTGATTACTGAGCGGCCGATCCCAAAGGAAAAATTCAAGTAGCAATCAGTAGCCAAACAGAAAATTCAAAATCGTCACCGCGAATCTCGAATTGCAAGAGATCAACCCGGAGAATCACTGGTGGGGAAACGGAGGATGAAACGTAACGGACAGAGAGAGCGAGGCGTTACTTGGAATAGCTAGAGCGTTAACTGGAGGATTGAAGATGGCGATCACCGCCACGCCGTCGCTCCCGACCTCCATAGACACGTGAGGCTTCGCCATGGCCGGGGCTGGTAGCTGCAGGAAAAAAAATTGGACTCTGTATATCTGAGAGTTTGAAGAAGGAGGTGCAGGAGGAAGACGGGACGGTGGTTGTACGGAGCGCGTTAAGTGTTAAACGCCGGGATCTTGTGATTCGTTTTTATAGAAGTGCGGGGTCGGCTGGATCTCTATCCCCCGACGACAGTGGACGTGGGAAATGAAATGCAAAGACTGTATTACCCCCCGATTACGCCCTTCCCCACGAGTCAACTGTTCTTAGCGACTCGTTTGAACTCAATTCGTGGAACTTCTCATTTTGAGCTAATAAGATGTCTCAATATTGTGACACGTGAGTAAATACGATTATCGACTCATGAGCAAATCGATCGAAATATTATGAGTTGAGTGCTTCTTGATAATTCATAAATTTATTAAATTGTATATCTCACCCCCCATATGATGTTTAAGACTTCGAATAGCAGAGCATATAATTTAGAGGATAAGTTATGCATAATAAATTGTTCAGATACTAATTACTACGAAATTACGCGACATGAACTACTTAAAAGTTATGAGCTAATTGTTGTGATACTAGCGTAGTATATAATCAAGAGATTTATTAATCACATGTATCAAACATGCTCATGTATTATAACGAACCAAAAGTGAATAGGGCAAAACTCGGCTCATTGGCAGCCCTTGCATGATTCATGAATCATGACTATCGCATGTTGCATAATAAAGTTAAAAATGAATAAAATATCTCATTGACTCGATCAATTTAACAAACAAATCATAATCAAAATTCGATTGGTTTGATCAGTATAACATATAATTTGAATAGAACAAACCATGATTGTTCATCACCATACTGATCATCCATACTATTTATCAAACACTAAGATGAACTCACTCTGAGTTCCATTTTGCACGTATACACGTGTTACAAAAAAGCTTCTCAATCTCAAGGAAAATTCTCTTACTAATCGACTCGCATATCAGCTCGTTGATTTGATGAGAATGTACGATTCCAGTCAATGCAATCAACAACAACAAATCTTGTCATCCTCGAGAGCCGCATGATATTCATAATTCACCTCAATAAAATTCAATTTTCGACTTGATGGTAAATATATTGAATTCATTGATCAATAGTAGGGACCAATTTCCGGCCAAGTTCGGTTTGTAGAACGGGGGAGGGTTCGTTGACTTCACATCTGGTGTAAAGTTTGGTTAAGTGGGAAAATGGCTCTTTCAAGGATACTCGAGGGAAAGTGAGAAAGAACTTTCTGAGCAAAACTGGCATCTGTTATTCGTCATTTTCTCTTCACTATTTCTTAACAACCCTGGCCCCTGTGTCTTTTCTTCTTCCTCGAACCATCGTCTGCATTTCCACCACTCCAAATATGAAAGAGAGAAAGAGGTTGATAAAAAAAGGAGCACGTGAGTTTGGACTTTGGAGTGTCAAATATGACGAGCAGGTGCAAGAAGTAAACTGCCTTGATACGAATGACAGAACGAGCAATGTAGAATGAATAACACAGGGTTTCTAAACCATATCTACTGTTTTATTGCTGCTGGTGTAAATGAAATTCAGATACATGTTCCAACCGTTTTGTTGCACTGATTGGCTTGACAATGCCAGAAACTTCTGTGCTGCTGCTGCTGTCGTCGTCTGTCTACAGGCGCGAGACCTTGTCGACTGCGACGATCAAGAAGAGGGAGACGGAGCAGGAGCACTCTGTAGAAGAGCAGAAAGAAGCAAGTAAGAAAGACTGTTAATATTTATCTGTTAACTATGATGCGCACATTTTCAATTCATGCACAATGTAGCATCATCATTATGTAAACAAAAAAGAGCCAAAACTTGAACTGCTTACCAATGGAATTCCCCTTGCTGCTCGCTCTTCCAGGTAGCTCGACGGCTTGAAGAACCCACCGTACAACTCCGACCACCTCGTCAGCCTTTCACATATGTGTTTCGCTCCTATCGAATCCGCCCAAAACATGATCCCACCCCTGCCTCAGCGCAACAAACAAGCTCGATCAGGGCGGGTTAAGATGGCTCGGTTGTTTCGGTTTACCAGAATCGAACCATTGGAGTCGTATTATTCGTTATTCTTAAACGGTTTATGAACCGGTAACTGCTAACATTTGGTTTGGTAACAACAGATGATTGAACTATGAAGCATATTCATAGAGGCGGGGTGCTTACCGATAAGACGGGAAACCCATCCCAAGCACGGAGGCTACATCGAGGTCCGATGCTCGAACCACCACGTTCTCGTCGAGCACGCGACAAGCCTCGTTCACCACTGGGAACAGGATCATTTCCAGAATATCTTGATCGCTAACATCGATCGACTGTCACAGGCAATATAAATTAGTCATGTCAGAATCCTATATCAAATCTGTTACTTGATCATTAAGTAAGCTACTGGGAATGCTAAAAAGTTCTGTAAGACATGAATCAACCTTTCCATTGGGCATAATGTTGGCGATTTTCCTAGACTCCTCGATGATGGGTAGCACCGAAGGATCGGGTTTCGGCTTGCTCCCCTTCTCGTAAATGTAGTATCCTCTCCCATTGTTCTTGCCTAGCAAAGCAAAAGAGGGTACAAAAGGTAACATTTGAGTACTGTAACTAGTCTACAATGTCAAGGTGACACCAAGCTGCTGTAATTGTTTACTACCATCTCGTCCGCTCGCAATCAAGAGATCGATCAGAGGCGTCTTGAACGATCGATCCTCAGGGAACGCGACCTCGAATTGCTTGCTGACAGCCACAGCAACTCCATACCCAGCTAGATCCTGGAGCCTTTCAGTTCACATACAGTCAACAGACAAAAAGATTAGTGTACAGACTACAGAACATCAAAGAAATCCAAGCCTTGAGGAAGAAGGTAATTACTGGAAAGGTCCCATGGGGAGGCCGAAGCTGCTGACGACCCTGTCGATTCGAAAAATGTCCACGCCTAGATGGGCTAGTATATGTGCACTCAGAGAGTAGGGGAAGAAGGTCCGATTGACAGCGAAACCGGTGCAGTTGCCCACGACGACGGGGACTTTCTTCATAGCCTTCCCAACTGTCATCAGATCAAGAATGGCCTGTGCAGAGGTCTTGTCCGTCCTCACTATCTCCAGCAGTGGCATTATGTGAGCAGGGCTGTCCATCAAAAAATTGAGATCAGTCTCGGCAGAGCAGCCTCTTCCAACAACTCGAGTTATTAGGACGAAAAACACAATTTGAAAAATCAAACCTGAAGAAATGTGCTCCTACGATACGCTCCTGCGACGTAGTATTCTCTCCAATCACATTCAGATCGACGGTGGATGTGTTTGTTGCCAGAATGCAATGTGCAGGACAGACCTTTTCAAGTTCATTGAATATCTTCTGTTTCAAAGGTATGTTTTCAGTAACTGCCTGCAGAATGTTAGAGAAACCCTTGTATCAAAACAACTACTCTATGATAATGGACTGCAGATTTGCCATCATAAACTTCAAGATGACAGAATGATCAGACCGAGCACTTTACCTCGATGACCATGTCCACATCGTCGAACTGCGAATAGTCCAATGCACCTCTGAGCATTGAGAGAGCTCTGTCAGCCTGACCCTTTGTCAACTTCCCTCTTTTCTCCGAGTTTCGAATGTTGCCTTCGATTGTTTTGATCCCTCTGTGAAGATACTCAGAGCTGGCTTCTTTCAGAACAACATGAATGTTGCTTGTAATGAGGGCAGTAGCTATCCCAGAACCCATTAGTCCTCCACCTATGACAGCCACTTTCTCGATCTGCCTCGGTTCGAGGCCAACATCGGTCACACCAGGCACCTTCGATGTAGCACGTTGGCCGAAGAACACATGAACTAGGCCCCTCGAAGTTTCGGATAACACCAAATCCTTGAACACCTCTGCCTCCTGTCAAATCCCTTTCATCCATCAGCAATTCCAGAACACACATGTGCAACATAGATTTTTCTCAACAGAAACAACTACATCAGAGGATCTTAAAAGTTCTTTTCAGTAACCTTGAGAACCCCACTGTACCCTCCATGAACAATGCCATCCTCGATCGCGTCGAGACATCCCAGATGCTGAGGCAGATTCGGGGCGGTTTTCTTGGCCTGCAGCCTAGCAGCTTTCAGCACCTGGGTGGCCTCAGAGAGGGAACCCATCTTGTCACTCTTGTGAAGGGAACGAACCCACGGCCTGCGCCTGCCAGCAATGTCCAGAGCCCATTCTCGAGATACTTTCAGCAGTTCTTGAGAAGACACAATAGCATCGATGAGACCAAGCTCTTTTCCTTCTTCAGAGAAGATCAGATTGGATAGCTGTAAAACGAATACAATTAAGCTCATGAGTTGGATTTTTATCTGAAGGGGCGTGTAAGGAAGTGATTAAGATTCATATATAGACTTGTTCCAACAACTCGAGTTATTAGAACCAGAAGAAGAACGTACTAGCATCATCTCAATGGCCTTTGGCAGCCCTACAAGCCTTGGCAGCCTCTGTGTACCTTCAGGAAAACAAAGTTCAAAAGACAAATTTCAGTGCCTAATAGAACAACATACCAACATCATTACAAAATCCATGAATCATCATGTTCAGGTCTGGATTCTGCAGTAAAGTGTTTTTGGACCTCCAAAGCCAGGAATCACGCCAAGTGACAGTTCTGGCAAGCCGAGTTGAGTTCCTGGTGCAGCAATACGAGCATGAGATCCCTGAAAATGATCAACGAGGGTGAGATATTGTATTGGAAGAAGAAGAGTTAGAAGGATCAAAATAAAAGGTCGACAGAGGCCACAAACCAGGGCTAGTTCTAAGCCTCCTCCCAATGCCAATCCTTGCAGAGCAGCAACAACAGGTTTCTTGCATTCTGCAAAACAGTATTTAACAAAATGTTACAAAATGTCACCGGCGGGAAAAACCAGAAATTGTTCACTGGAGACTAGAGCACAAACCTTCAATTGTGTTGACAACGAGATCAACAGAAACACCATCCATAAACGAAACATCCCCTGCATCACCAAACAGTAGGAATTGGTGAACACTGAACACTGATACACACACTGGTCATCACTCATCGATCGATTCTACACGGTCGAACATTATGAGTTTAGCACAAAATACTTGGTATGCATGTTAGTGAATACCGGTTCGATGAACATTCTGTATCACGTTGATGTCAAACCCGCCGGAAAATTTTCCGTCCTTGCCTATAATCAGAAAGGAAGAGTTTGTCAAACAAAATGAGCACTAAGGTCTAAGTACAACCACGAGCTAGTTAAATTCTGTTAAAATTTTTTTAATGACGAAATGAATCATGTCAGATGGTCAAACGTTCAATTTAGGTAACGGAAGGAAAATATAACACAAGGATGAGTTTGAGAATCATTGCCTTTTAGTTACGTGAAATACAAATACGTATTATGTAAGAGTCAGGAGACCTCAAATTTGTTCATGTAGGTAATATTTAAACTATTAATGTTATATACGCAAGACTTCCATAATAGCTTAACACTTTAAGTAACAACAGGAATACATGAAAAATCAGACTATCAAGAAAGCTTATTAATCAAGATAGACATATATATATAATCACCAGTTAGAACGATAGCCTTGACATCGTTACGTTGGGTGGCCTCATCGAACTTCTCCCGCAATCCATTGATTACTGCGCCGTAAGAAAGTCCAAGTAAGAAAGCAGTAGACAACAAATAAAATATGTTTTAACATCCAGACCAGATGTTGAACTCGAAAAGTTAGTGAATTGTAGTTCAACTGTTATAGAACTTTTGATAGAAGTAGAACCAATGTCTAAACACTAATATTAATTAATATCCAAGACACGGACAAGCAACAGCTACTAGATCGAAAACTGGATTCTTGAACTAAATTCATTATTATACTCATAATCAATTAATTATACGCTACAAATACAATCTACAATATACGATCGGGTTAACTATCAGATTCAGGTAGAGACCCCTAATAATCGGAGGCCCTGTGCCAGAGGGCCACCTGGCACCATAGGCGGAGCTAGGGGGTATGGGATGTGTCCCAGGACACAGGTAATTTTTGGGTAAGATAAAATACTCCACGTATATGTATCAATTAAGGATTGCACTCAAACTTTAGGTAATATAAAAGTGTTTTATCACTATACTACAAGTTATTTCAAGTTTAAGAGCTAACATAAATCAATGTATCACACTATAAACAAAATTCACGGTACCTAAAGTTTGATCTCTTTGTCTTCTAAAGTTAGTTTTGACTATACTCGTTGCAATTGCAAGTGTAGAAAGAAAAATTTCAGCTTTGAGCTATATTAAAAACAAGTTTCAAAATCGAATTGCGACCAATTTGTTAATGATTGCTTAGTCGGATACATTGAGAATTTGAAAATGCGTTGTGATTGCTTATGAAAATAATAATTGTTTTAGTCTATGATTTCTTTAATATATATGAATACATGATTTAGATATTATTAGTTTTAATTATATTTATTAAATAATTATTTATTTATTTTATATTATGGAAAGAGGACACAGGTACTTTCAGATTCTGCCTCCGCCACTGCCTGGCACACCCTCTTGGCCAGACCTGGTAGTGAAGCATATGAGACCGACAAGCAGGAAGCCGAGAAACGAAGAAAAAAAAAGCATAGATCAAATTAGTAATTCAAGTTGGACGGAATTTGTTTATGCCAAATTTTTGTTTCATAATTTTTTTCATCTGGTTTCATGTCAAACCGTCAAAAAAATGTTCGATTCATCCCTAACCGCCCAAACAAAACAAACGAATCGAACCACTATTAAAAACCGATTTTCCTGAGTTTTACCGATCCATCCGATTATCCAGTTTCGGTTCTTATAACAATCATAAAACCCGCCATCACCCATGCATCCACGAAACCTCAAATGCATGTAACAAGGAGGAGAGAGAGCTATATTTAATTAGTTACGTACTTTGAACAGCTAAAGCGTTAACCGGAGGGTTAGAGATTTTGACCACCGCCACGCCGTCGTCCCCAACCTCCATAGAGACGTGAGGCGGCGGCTTCCCCATTGCCGCCGCCGGCCTGCTGCTGCCGGCAGCTGAAGCTACAACAATTCTGACTCTCAGACGACGTCCCCGAGACGTCGTCCGAGGAGGACGAGGAGAAAGGAGGACGGTGGACGTCGGAGGGAGCCCGTGAAGTGTAAACGCCGAGATACTCGCCGCCGGCAACATGGTCGGTCTCTACGTTGAGAAAGAAAATGATTAATATTCTAAGGCAGATTAAATTTCCGGTAGAAGGGTTTTTCTCAAGTGGCCGTAGAGCCCCTACTTTACAGTAATCATTTATATAGAGAACCTAACAGCCGGCTAATCTAGTAGTTAGTGGCGTGATTATTGCTAATCGATTTTCTCTGAATTTTTCACATACCATGCGCCTGTTATATATATTTTTTCGTACGTCGAACAACCCCCTGCAATTTTGGCGTTGGAAAATATATGTATCGTGACCGAATTGTTGGTTCGGTTTGGGCTTTGAGACCGACCGACCAACCTTTTTTTATTAAGTTGCCTTAAGCAAGGTTGTTAGCCCGTTGGGCGGGGATTGCAAGTGGGTTTACGATTGATGGTCCGATTGCTGTGGTTCGGTTTAGTTCGGATATGTGAAAAATGTCGTTATATTGTTCATACATTTATAAATGATATCAAATCTCATCTAAAATATGAGTACAGACATATGATGATATTATACACCAAAATAATAGTTCGTACCTGAATCCAACGCGCGTATAGTGAAAATTCAAACACACTTATATAACATAAATATTGAAATGTTTAATTTTTTATTTAGAATTCCGTTGGGTGAAGAGGAAAACCGAGAAAATAGGTGCATTTTTGCAAATCAAGGGAAAAACCCGACACTGTGTGACTTCCAAACCAATAATGTTGCATTCGTCGATCAGAAAATATATATGCTGCCTGTTTTTCTCACCAGGTCAGGATCAAAACGGATCAAAACGGATCAAAACGGGTCAACTGACGAATCGATCCGCGGGTTGATAACCTTGCCCTTAAGCGTTTTGATAGTGTGGGTAGAGGAATCTCATTATTTATTTATTTTGGGATTGTTGGTTTGTTTTTATAAAACATACCACATATCATTAAAAAATATATATATGCGTTAATTTTTCAAATTTTAGTGGGGGCATAAACCTTTTCTTTTGGTGTAAGTCGGGGCAAAAACCTAGGATGCGTGTTCATTAATGATTAATCAAATCTTGTAAATTACTGGAGTTAGTAAGCTACTAATCCACTCCCTTAATTCTTATTTCTGTCTTTTGTTCTCGAGTTTTTCTCCACGAGTTCGGGATCACTCATTTATGTCTTTAGCTCATGAAACCTATTTTCGTGAGTACCATGGACAAGAAGTATTCCCTCATGTGCACAGGAAGCGCACCAAAGATCGATCCAGAGTGCACATAATTTAAAATGAGATGGATAGAACAAAGAGATCACAACGAGTATGAAGCGATGTTCTGCATGTCGAGTTCAAAGGCATATAGATACAATTGCCCTGGAACAAAAGATGACGGTTGATGTTTTATGTGTTTACGTTGTAATGAATATGTATGTGTACTAATGTATTTTAATTAAGGGGTCGTTTGGAAGTTGCGATTGTTAGTGTTGTATTTGTTAAATACATGCATTGTCCATAATACAACGTTTGGAAGTGTCAAGTTGCAAAACAATGCATGTATTGTTTTGTGTGGGTCCCACAAACAATCAACAAAAATGATGGATTGTACAATCTCAACTAAAAATTGAGATTGTTGTGATTGTTGGTTTAATAATTGAGCACCTTTACTTTTTCCAATTATGTCCATAGTTCTTTTTGTTTTATATTAAAAGTGGAGGACAAATATGACATTTTCTTATAAAGTAACTTTATAATAATCCATTCATAAATTATAATCTCAACAACCAAACAATGTAATTTCAAAATGCATCTATTGTATCAATGCATGCATTTATATCATAGTGATTCATAACAATACAAAGATATAACATACGCAACTTCCAAACGACCCCTAACATTTTGACCCATTGAAATTGATTTTCAAGTTCAGTTGTAATAAGTGTTCGACTTTTAATTTTTTTTATTAGGGTTTAGACAATGATCTCAGCCGGTTGAAGCGATCTACGAAAATTGATTCACAGTCGAGCGAACTAACGTATAGTTCACTCCTCACTGCAGCGACATACTTTGCTCCTCACCGCATCAAACAAGTTTGATAGTGGCTCTCTGTCGCAAACTTATGCATTTCGCTCCTCACGACAACAAACAATCTTGATTACTAATCATTGCCGTGAACCAACTTTTTGTTCGCAGGTCTATTAAGCGAACCAGACAAGAGTATTGTATTTTGGGAAATTTGATGCCATTGTTGTATTATGCAAAAAAAAAAAAAATAGTAACTTTTGGTTTTAAACCAGTTTTCTTTGCATAACTGACCTATCCAATTCGGGTTTAAGAACATAGTTAGAGAATGAAGTACTGGGTACACCTAGAGGTGGGCATTTGGTTGGTTCGATCAAACAGAACCAAAAATCGAACAAAACCGACCTTTTCCCTTTGCTATTCCGATTCGACTGTCAACCTAACTCTATTTTGGTTTGGTATGATCCAATTCATAAATCCACCAATTCATTTGATTCATGGATCTACCAATCCGATCCACCAATCCATGGATCCGATCCATTTGCTCACCTCTATTGTCCGACTTCTTTTGCATATATGAAAATAGAGAAATTAGGTAGGAGTCGGAGTAGGTATGGCCGAATTCTGATAGGAGATTGGGGATCGAAATTTCGATTTAGAGATCGAGAATGTTGTTATGTTCATTTCGAACAGAACAAACAAAGACAGTGAAGGTGTGGCCGAATTCCGACCCGTAGGATGTTGTTTTTTGGGTTGGTTCGGAACAATTTGAGTTTACCGAATCAGATGTCCACCGCTAGGGCATTCATGTACTTTTTTGGGTTGGTTTGGACTAACGGACCAAGCTGGACTCTGGAAGGCAAGTTGAAGGGCATTCATGTACTTTCTCGCCATCGGACGCTGGTTCTGGACTTCTGGTTATCTCTCTCACCTTACCTTACCCGCAGCACCGAGCCAGAGAAGCTTTGGCTAACGGCCACAATGGCCTGCTGCTCAACTGTTAAGTTCAACCCTCTGCAACAAAACCAGCACCTCCTCTTCGCCACTCTTTCTCACTACAAGTTCCCATGCAGCCGTCCCGAAGCCCAATTCCGCTGTTCTCCTCAGATTCACGCTTTCTCCAAAGCCAAGCGCACAGCTTCTTTCAAAGCTAAACCCAGAGCACAAGCAAATTCGCCCGCCAGAAGCTACGAAACCCGGAGGGGAACAGTGAATTCGAGAACTGCAAAGGGGGGAGATTCTGGGTTTTCTACTTCGGAGGATGCTGAGAAAAGGGTAGAGAATCATTCTGTGAAAGGACTCGTCAGTTTGTTGCTGGAAAGAACTGGCAGCAGACATGAAAAGGGTAAGAATGCGAGGAAATACAAACAAGATATCGTTTCAGGGGATGCGGCTGCGAGGTCTGGTGATGAGAATGGAAGTGGGAAGAGGGTAATAGCTGGTGAGGAAAGCCGAGCGTCTGAAAATGGTGGATTGGATAAGAAGAAGACGACGAAGAAAACTGAAGGTGAGAAAACAGGGAAAGCGTCTAATAAGAAGAGCAAGGCCGGTTTCCCTGATATTCAGATGCGCCTCGAGTTCGACATGTGCTCGAAGAGAGGAGACGTAATGCGCGCGATTGAATTGTATGATTGGGCACAGAGGGAAGGAATCTCCATGGGGCAGTATCAGTATTCTGTAATTTTGTATCTCTGTTCTTCTGCTGCAGTTGGAGTTGTTCAGCCAGCCAAGAGCGGGAATTCTGGTAGCCGCTCTTCAAATGCACGCAACTTGTTTGATGAAAGTCCTGACAGAAGTATTGAAGAGCCAAGTGAGGTGAGAGGTAAGGGCAGCAAAAGCACTGGCTCCACCGAGTTGGATGACAGGGAAAAACACTACAATCGGGGAATCCAGGTGAGTGAAGATCTCAGGAAGTATGCACTTAAGAGGGGATTGGAGATCTATGAAAAGATGTGTCTCCGGAAGATACCAATGAACGAATCAACCTTGACTGCTGTGGCTAGAATGGCAATGTCGATGGGCAATGGAGACATGGCCTTTGATATGGTGAAGCAGATGACACAGTTGGGGATAAACCCTAAACTGAGATCCTATGCCCCTGCTCTGTCTTCATTCTGTGAAATTGGAGATGTTGAGAAAGCCTTCTGCGTGGAAAAGCACATGTTGGAGCATGGTGTCTCTCCCGAAGCTCCAGAACTCGAGGCATTGTTGAGAGCAAGTGTGGAAGCTAGCAAAGGTGACAAGGTTTATTACTTGTTGCAGAAACTCAGAACTACTGTAAGGAGGGTCTCACCTTCCGCTGCTGATACAATAGTTAGATGGTTTGATAGCGCTGCAGCATCGAGAGTGGGGAAAAGGAAATGGAATGAAGTGGATATCAAAGAGGCAGTTGAAAATGGAGGTGGAGGTTGGCATGGGCAGGGCTGGTTAGGGAAAGGAAAATGGAGAGTTTCTTTTACATCTATTGGACCAGATGCATCTTGTAGATGTTGTGGGGAGAAGTTGGCCACAATAGACCTTGATCCTGTTGAAACAGAGAATTTTGCTGAGTCAGTTGCTTCAATTGCTGTAAAGAGAGATAAAGACTCAAGCTTTATGAAGTTTAAAGTATGGACCATGGTTAAGGATTTATCTGGGGAGTTATATGATGCTTTTATAATTGTGTTCTTAATCTCTTTATTCTTTTCTTTCGCAGAAATGGCTTGATTACTATGGACCTTTTGAAGCAGTGATCGATGGAGCTAATGTTGGACTTTCTAACCAGACTAGATTCATGCCTTCCAAGGTAAGTTGTAGAGATAGCAACTAAGACCTTAAAAAGGTAATTGATTTCTTTTAGGGTGATAACATGGTAGTTTCCGATCGATGGATTGTAGATAAACGCTGTTTTTAATGGGATACGCCAAAAGCTTCCATCGAAGAAACGGCCACTCATTATATTGCACAATAGGCGCATCTCTGGACCAAAAATGGACCAACCAGTGAATAAGACGCTTGTAGAGAAGTGGAGAAACGCTGATGCACTCTTTGCAACCCCTACAGGATCCAATGACGATTGGTGAGATTATCGCCGCATCTAAGTGGAATCTAAACTGCTTGTTCTCATTTCTTATTTGAAAATTACTGGAAGTAATGAGCAATGAAGTACCAAAATGCAATGGATTATGAAACGTGCTTCAGGTACTGGTTGTATGCAGCTATAAAGTTCAAGTGCTTGTTAGTGACTAACGACGAGATGAGAGACCACACTTTCCAACTTCTAGGAAATGACTTCTTCCCCAAGTGGAAAGAGAGGCATCAAGTGAGGAATTTCTTATCTTCTCAACTTTCTATTTTGGTGTCTCTCCTTTTGGTTGTTCCTAAATCTGTCCTTCCCTATGGAAAAAAGGTGAGGTTTCGCTTCGATGAAACTGGTCCAATCTTCCACATGCCTCCACCTTACTCCGTTGTAATTCAGGTGAGACACCTTCTCTTTATGAAATGCTGCATTACCTAATTCACATGAACAAGAGAAGGATGTGAAGTCGTAAGAATCTGGATAATTAGCGAATGCATCTTCCATGAAAACAGGAATCGGACAAAGGCCACTGGCATGTACCTATTGCAGTGGATCAAGATGAGGAATCAGAAAGAGCATGGCTGTGCATTACCCGTCCTAACTCATCTCCTGCAGGGCTAGCTTCCATTAACCACAAGCATGAAGGTAGTAACTCAGAATTACAAGTCACTTCATCCATTCTTAACATTTCTTTCATTGTGTAGTCTTCTTGCATTCTCTTGATCTTATTTTACATCAACTAGGATCAACTATCCAATCTCGGGATAGGCCAAGACCAACATTAGTCACCAGAAGCAACAGCAAAGATACACAGCACAACAACCATAGAGAAGTCCCCAAGAATCCCAAGAAGATCCTGTCAACATCTGGATTTCAAGACCATTCCACTGTTCTATCACAAATTGAGACTGCAGAGAAGCTAGGAAACTGTATAATCGACTTTCAGATATAGCCGGTAATAGTCACATAAAAAAGGGAAGAAAACCTCAGGTGGGGATCACTTCCTCTGGCCTGTGACCAATCATTGGATGGTTGTCAAATTATCATATCCCTCATAATAAAACCACAATTTTGTATTCACCGATTTCTCATTCATTATTATTTCTTGTCGATCTTCTCTCATTCCACAACAGACCATGTGCTGCAACTACCTGAGTGAGTTTGATGCATTACTTCTGCAGAAAACTGCAGCATTTGGAGCTATCTTCGTCACCTTCTTCCATTTAATATTTCGCCCATCGAATTCAGGGAAAATGAAATCCCAAGTATATAATATTTGCATGATGAATATCAAAAGAATTTACTGAGAAGTGTCTTTGTTGACTGCCCATGTAACTATCACTCTAACTATAATTAAGGAAGAACAGATATTCAGAATAAGTAACATGCTGCTTAATATCCATTCACGAGAATATTTGAAAAGCTTGTCTTTTTTGTCGTACAGGTATCAGTCAGCAAAGGTTACTGACATGACCTTTTTGTTTCAGTTCTGAAGAAAGCAAAAAGGAAAGGAACAAAAGGTCACGGGTTGGCCAGCCCAAAAACAAAACGAAACAGAATTTATTGTTCTCTTGTTAATAATTTCTGCGCTATGAATCCCACTTTAATGGCCTCTTGGTTTCTTGTTTGCTTTTGTTTCTGTTCTGTTACGTAATCTAACGATTCTTTGCTTCAGAAACTCTATTATGGGGGACGTTCACGAGCTTCTGACTATACAGATTTCGCATCGGTCACCTCTGCCTCTGTTCCATCGTTTTCCCAGGAAACAAACAGAAACAGTACCATTACCAGCCCATCCTGTTTCTCTCTCTCTCTCTTTCTCCATTGTTCTTTTGAAACCGCAGATTAGGGAAGTCAGCCAAAGCCTTGGTAGTTGGTACCCTTTCCTTAGCTTTTTCCCAGCTGAAAATGGAGGGTTTAATCTCAAAAGAGTTATCCTTTAAAAAGGATTCACAGCAAGAACCAGATCATCTTCAACCTTCTCAGTTCATCAAGTCACTCCAAGTAATCACCCACATAGCATGAAACTGGCCTCTCTGAATTTGTTCCATCTCTTGTGGGTTTCATTAGTTCTCACATTTCATCTTCTGGGTTTGTGCAGGAACTCAAGGAGTTGCGTTCTCAGCTCCATTATGCAGCAGAGTACTGGGAGAAAAGTTTCCTGAATGCCAAACAGAAGAAAAAGTCTGTCCCTTTTCTCCAAGGTTCCTCTGTTTTCCCCCCTCTGTCAAATTTGAACCAAATGACTGAACTGAACAACTGTTAACGTTGTAGGGTTGTGGACAGCACAAAAGAGTACGTCTGCACTGCTGTGGTAGCTGTTGTGGATCACCTTGGCAGCGTTTCAACCAATCTGAACACCATCGTTTCCAAAAAGGCCAGTAGCTTCTCTGATGCTGAACTCAGAATTGACACCCTGAAGCAAGTCAGTAGGAAGTTCTAGCAGCAACAACCTCAGTTTTTACTTCCTGAAGATCTGTTTTCCCTCTCCTAATCTCCCTTCGGTGGTTTGTGTATTTATGGTGGGTGCAGAGATTCCTTGCCTATGAACTGTATGCTCAGAAGTTTGCTCTGACTCGAACAAGATGGTGCTTTAACATCATCCCCAAATCGCCCCGCCGCTATCTGTCCACACGTAAACTATCTCTATTTCCATCGTTTCACTACTTGTTTCTTCTTGTTCTAAAGAACGAATGCTCAACAAGACTTGAGAGTTATTGACAATTTCCTTTTTTTTTGGCATGGGGAACCTGCAGCTAATCTTGTCAGCGCAGAGAAAGAGAAATCGTCAGATGAGGACATCAGGTAGCAAACAAAGATAAAGCAACAAGTTTCGAGTTTCAAGTTTCAAGTATTGCATCTATCAGAAGTAAGAAGAAGAAAACAAACACATTTTCCACTCTGGTTTTCTTTGACAGGGATGCAAGCTCTGTGTCTGCCTGGGAAAAGAGCGACACCGAGTCGATATTCGAGGCAGAGGACTTGCCCCTATTCCTCTACACCTACACTCACAAGGGCTCTCCAGCCGACGCGAACATCTCCGCGGTGGCAGTCCGGGACGCCGTCACGGTGTGCCGGAAAGGACAGGCACCCACGTTTCATTTCCAGGTATACCGAGAAATTCTCTGTTGGAATAGATGAGAGGGAAAACATTGTTATTCGTTTTCTTGAGTTGCGTAAGGTTTTTGGGTTGCAGCAGAGCGGTGTTCCTGAGCAGAAGAAGCATGGACGGAGGAGAAGATTGTCGGGTCGTAGTAGCGGCGATATAATGGCTCTGGTTCGCCGGAGCAAGCGAGGATTGGAAGGCTTGTGAAGAAGGGCGAGGAGATTTGTTTGTAGTTTTGACACTTGACTAATGTTCTTCTGTATGTTGTAAGATGTAACTCGGTAAACCTTTTATTGAGTTTTCCGTCTGATTTCCAGTAATTCAACAAAGAGGTTCAAAGATTGCATAGACATTAATTAAAGAGCGTGAAAAATTGCTAGTCGATATGGAGAGCTCGCTCGAGTGGCTCGGTGGAGAAGTCGGCAGGCTGAGGAACTTGTTGGTGAGGTAGCCCTTTCACTTCTGCTTCACCTTCCTTCTTCCACCTCTGTCTTCTCTTCTCCTTTCGGAATAATTCCCTAAATATAGATAAAACTAAAACAAATTCCTAAACTACCACAGTTTTAAAAAAAAATTCCCAAAATACCTAAGTTTGGAGTGGTTCGAGTTTGAGGAACTCGAACTACTAACCGGTTCGAGTTTAGGTAACTCGATCTAGTCGTAGATCGATGATATAAGCCTCGAACCATGTGGAGCTGAAGTGGTTCGAATTCAGTGAACTCGAACCACTCCTTTTAAATTTCCAACAACCTTAACTTTGTTGGAAATTTCCAAAAATTGCTAGTTTTGACAGAGGAAACTGAAAAGTAGCCACGGGAAAAGTAGGAAAAAAAAAACTTTTCGTTTCGCGCACGCTAGACGACACGTATTCAAAACTGGTTGCCTGCGCATATGGCGCCCCACGGTTTTCTCCCCGCTTTTTCCTTCTGCCGTGCCGGGTCGCCCACTGTAATTTTCACAAAGCTATAACCAAACCAGCCAACCATCTCTTTTACCCTTCGACTTCGAATCCACGCCATCTCCACACTAGAGCAAGTCTCACAGCGACACCGACTTCACTTCCCCTTCGCCACCGTCACTCCGCTGCTTGCTGCTTCTCCTCATGGCTTCCGATTCCGTTTTCGCCGCCGTCGTTCGTGCTCCCGAAGATCCCATCCTCGGGGTAACTCTCTCTCTCCCTCTCTTACTTCCTCATTTTTAGATGGCGGTGGCGATCGCGGCGGTAGCGTTGTTTGATTATAAGAAATGGTTTGATGTCTGTTTTTGATTCGCTCGAGTTCTATATGGCCATCAGCTTGATTACAGTCTTTTCTGAATCGAAGTTTGTAGTAGGGATCAGATCAGAACTTATGTATTTAGTTGTTCTCTTGTGTGTGTTTGGACAAACGATCAGGTTACCGTTGCTTACAACAAGGATACCAGCCCGAACAAGCTGAATCTGGGCGTCGGTGCTTACCGAACCGAGGTAAAGTGGGATTTTATTTTCGCGGTCTAGAATCTAGTGTGGATTCATTTCGTTTCGTGATTGTTTGTGTTCGTGAGCTGAAATACACGATTTGTGGTGGATCGAGTAACAGGAAGGGAAGCCTCTTGTTCTCAATGTCGTGCGGCGAGCAGAGCAGATTCTGGTGAATGACGAGTGAGTAGTTGGCTCCTTATGAGGAATCTGATCCGTTTATTTCTGTGTTTTGCGGAGTGGACTGGTAAGTTTAAGCTGATTCTTGCTTGTGTTTTTGGCAGGTCTCGTGTGAAGGAGTATCTTGGTATTACTGGACTTGCAGACTTCAACAAGCTGAGTGCCAAGCTCATTCTAGGCGCTGACAGGTTTGTTTGTTTTATGCTTTGAACTTTTTGGTGGAGTGTCTAATGTGATGGCTTGTGATTCTGACTAGCTAAATTGTGATTTCTTTGATTGGTTTGCAACAGCCCCGCCATACAAGACAACAGAGTCACAACAGTCCAGTGCTTGTCTGGCACTGGTTCTTTAAGGGTCGGAGCTGAGTTTCTTGCGAGGCATTATCACGAGGTAAATGATGGAAGCTTTTTTAATCTTGATGTTTTCTTTACTTGGAACGTGAAGAATGTGCAAAATCATGCCCTTGACCTGGATCTTGTTATGGTGGCAGAAAACTATCTGCATTCCGAACCCGACATGGGGAAATCATCCGAAAATCTTTAACCTCGCTGGGCTGTCTGTGAAAACTTACCGCTACTATGACCCTGCAACAAAGGGCCTGGACTTCCAAGGTTTGAGCCTTTATCACTGCGCCCTTCCACATTCTTGATGTTATCTTCGCCTTGATGCCGGAAGGCATTTATGAAGCTGTAGTTGATGTTATCTTGCGCTTGAGTTGTTTCTTTGTGGTCTTGTTGTCGCAATACGCAACTTCTAATGACTTGCTGTCTCTATTATGCATAGGATTGCTGGAAGATCTCGGAGCTGCACCATCAGGGGCCATAGTACTCCTTCATGCATGTGCACATAACCCAACGGGTGTTGACCCAACCCTCGAGCAGTGGGAGCAAATCAGACAGTTAATTAGATCGAAGCAGTTATTGCCCTTCTTTGATAGTGCTTACCAGGTATAGGGAGCATGCATTTCGGCTGTCAATGAACTTATTGAGATTTCACTGATATCCTTATAGTTTCATCATTAAGCACAAAGACAAGTGTAGCCTAGATGCAGATGCAGTCGAATTCTAACTACTGACAGTCTTATCTACCCTTTGCCATAGTTTTCTTTGCTCACGCCTGACTGAAAATGACCCCTAATCCAGGGATTTGCAAGTGGTAGCCTTGATGCAGATGCAGAATCAGTTAGAATGTTTGTTGCTGATGGTGGTGAATGTCTTGCGGCACAAAGTTATGCAAAAAACATGGGACTCTACGGGGAACGTGTTGGGGCTCTCAGTATTGTAAGATATCTTTCTTTCATATTTATTTCATCCATTGTAGTTGCTCACCAAGCATGAAACCGGTTACACACAGGAAAAACGAAAAATTAGAAGCAGCTTTCATATGGAAACCTAGTACCCGTACTGAGCGTTAATGTTGGTGACAAACACTTGCAACTTTAAGCTACCTGTAGGAATTTTTTTGGTTCATTCACGTTCCTTTTATGTCAAGAAGGTCTACCTGGGTGCTATCTCTATGAAGAACTGTGTAACCTTCTGTTTCCCATAGGTCTGCAAGGCAGCTGATGTGGCAAGCAGAGTTGAGAGTCAATTGAAACTTGTGATCCGCCCAATGTATTCCAACCCACCAATCCATGGTGCATCTATAGTTGCTGCAATTCTCAAGGACAGGTACAGTGATGTTGAACCTTAAATTGATGATATTTGCAACCAAGATAACGTGATTCTGGAGCTAGACTGTGGCAATATAGTAACAATAATTTGTGTTTATTCGGGTTACTGGTCATTTAATGTCTAAACAAGTGCAAACTCTTGGAGGAATAATCCTTTCAAATCTCGAATTTCCTTTGCAGTGAAATGTATAGAGAATGGACTGTGGAGCTGAAAGCCATGGCTGACAGGATCCTTAGCATGCGCCAGCAGCTTTTCGAAGCCTTATCTGCTAGAGGTTTGTTATCCCACATGTTACCTGGCGTTTGGCATCTTTGTACTGTTGCAGTTGGAATCATCTGTCCATGTCTGTTTTAGCCATCTGTCTATGGGTTGCTGCTCAATTTAGGGGCTGAGATCACTATTTTGATGGGGAAAGGCTTTCTAAATTGAAATATATGGCATTTGTCCAGACAAGATTTCGGTTGCCTCTCTAATTGTGTTGATAATGCTATATCTATAGCTTAGGTTCATGTTGGTTGTCCGCCATAGTCCTTTTGTGCTACAATATTTTGTGTCGTCAGCAAGTAGCAATCCTCAACCTCTGGCTGTTTGTTTTTTCCAGGTACTCCAGGTGACTGGAGTCACATCATCAAGCAAATTGGAATGTTTACATTCACTGGTCTCAACTCTGAACAAGTTGCCTTTATGACCAAAGAGTACCACATTTACATGACATCTGACGGGTAAAAGTCCCTTGTCCTCAAATTTTTCATAATTGAAAGAGAGCCCCTGGGGTGAAAAGATCATTCTGTCTCCTGCCAGTAAACATATTTTTACATCAGTTTCCAAACTTAGTGCCTGGTTGCAGCTCTTTTTGTAGCTTTCAGTTTTGGTAGAAATGTGTTCCAACGCGGCAGATAGCATGAAACAGAAAATTCAGAATATTGCTAGGTCCTAGAAAAATTCTTGAGTGGCTAAATCCTTGGAATCCCATGTACTTCATGCATATTGGTTTGTGTACCTAGAGAAGAGACTTAAATTATAATTTTTCTTTGTCAATCCACAGGAGGATTAGCATGGCTGGCCTCAGTTCACGTACAGTTCCTCATCTTGCTGACGCTATACATGCTGCAGTCACCCGTTCCACCTAGATAGCTAGCTGTACTGTCAGATTGTGGTTTAAGGGTACATTTTTTGCTACTGAAGGCAATGTTTCATGTAATCAAACAGACTTCAGCCAGAAAGACATCTTTAGTCCTGGCTAGTCTTCTTTTCTTCACCGACTGTGCATAGAGTTTAGCTTGCTTATGCAAGCATTGTAAGGATAATACCATGATGAACTTGCATCGTTTTGAATCCCTTATTGAGATAAATTGGCCTAGCTTATGGCTATCTGTTATATCTTATTTTTGATTACTATGCATGCACCCCATTTGGTCCTGACTCTCCCTATGTTCTCTTTTGCATCTTTTGGACAGTAGTAGTGTTCTGCAACAGCTGAAACCCAGAACCATACTGTGTAGAAGAATTTATGAAAAAAGACTAAATACCATTCAATCAAGAACATAATTTTCCTTCTTCATTCCATTTGTTCGACATTCCATTTTCTCGTCTCATATATCGGACCATTACACTATGCAGATCAACGGGGGATTGGCTACCATAGTTGTGAGGACAACTAAGTCAGTCTTTTGTTCATAGCATTTGGTTTTTGATATTTACATTTGACGAATCCCCTCTCCCTGTGAACTAAGTTTTTTTCCTGCTTTGGGTTCTGTGGACCTCTGGATAATGTGTGGTTTCGGATTTTCTTTCCCTTTCCTTCTTGTATCATCATTTCTGGATATCTCAGTGTCGAGCTGTCGGACTTCTCATTCCACTTAGGTTCTCGAGCCTCTCCAGGTACGACGATTTCCTTGGAGTGGCAACAGGTTTTGCATTGACCTTTTCTTGCTCCAAGCTGTCTGTGATTCCTGATGCTGCTATCTTCTTCAGGTCATCCTCTCCTTTCTCCACACTCCATCCCATGAAGTCTGACAGTGTCATTGATGATGGTGTCTCGGCAGATGATAGCCTGTCTGCTTCTTCCTCAGGCTTTTCACTTCCTTCTGGTGGTGTTGGATTCAGTGCTTGCGAGTCAGCATAAAGAACATCTTCAATCCTCGACAAGACCGTGAAGGCCAAACTCTCTATAATTCTTGAGTAGCTCTCCAAAATAGCTTGTCCCACATCCTGTGTGATATTCATATGCAGGGGAAGGTCAGTTTGATTGTTTCTCTACTTGCTTCAAACTTGATTAAGTTGATTACTGAATAGAGTTTAGGATCAGATTGAAAATAAAGAAACAGATTTGGTCAGAGTCAGATTATAAAAACTGCATTCAGGCTGCCCAGATCAGCTCGAATGGGGATAGGATCAAAGTGAAAATAAATAAAAAAATATGAGAGCTAGAATTGCTCGGAAGGACAATTGAGCTTAATCTATCCTGTCCGATTTTTGTTTGGTGCACTAAGACTGTCCATGGAATTGAAATTGAATTGAATTTGTTTGGCCAGATTCGACTCGATCCAAATGGTTTGGACCTAATCATTGCCCACTGCTGGATGCAGAAATGATGCTTAGTTGCTTACCTTGTTGTTCTCAATCTTGCTCATATCGAGTGCTGATTGGGGAAGTCCAGGGAAGTGCTGCTTGATGATGAGTAAGATAGTTTCTGCTCTCTCTTCAAAAATTTCTCTCTTCTCTATACTCACTGCCGAACCCCATGCTGCCTTACCATCTTTGTGAATCATTTTCCTTTTCCATATAACGATGGAGGCCTCAATCCTGTTCTTCAGCTCCAGCACATTGTGCTCGTTTGAAAAGTCCATGGTTGACAGAAACTGAGTGGGATCGAAGTACTCGTCGGTGATGGATTTGTATATCGAGTCTCCAAGGCTTGATCTTCCGTTCTATTACCAAGAAAATAACAACAAAGAGAGGTACAAGGTAAATTTTTATGGATGGTAAGTTTCAGACCGAGGAAAAAGGACTTGGAGGGAGTTTATACCTTGGGAAGGGATTCAATGTAATTATCAGGTACGTCCATTTCTGATAGAACTTGAGCGTTTATGGCCATTGCTGCTTTGAGAACTTGGTTGACTGCATCCTTCTGGGATTGCAACCATCTTCTTGTTGGTTCTGATAACCCACCCTTTGGAACTTTTGCCGTGGGAATCCACCACTTGTCCTCGTTTCTCTGTGGTCCTCCTTCCTCGTCATTTTTCGACACATACCAGAATTCGTTCTGTTTTCCAAATTGGTCTAATAATTCCTGTTGATTCCCATTCATTTGTAAAACAGTTAGACTTAGAGCAACTCATACTAATAATGTGTAGTGAATTTTTTTGTAAGATACTCACAACAAGGATGGTATCAAGCTTCCGCAAAGCTGGGATGTTCATCAGCAGATCGCTTCTTTGCCGCGTTACCATGATCTATAAAAAAGGGGACAAAGCATTTGTAAGGTAAAAAATCAATTCAGTTTATATATTTGCTCATGCAATTCTTAATTACCTCCATATTGACACCATTATTCAATTGCTGGGAAGGAACAAACTCGACAATATGATCAGTTACAGAGAGAAGCCAATCGATTTCCTTTTTCCACCTTCCTCTTGCATCTGCAGACATTGGTTCTAACCTCTTTTGCTCCCCGAAAACAGATGCTGTCATCAGTCAAACAAAACGAGAAATCAGCCAGAGGCCTATCTAAAAAATATCGAAAACAAAAAAGAAGCTTCTTGGCGAAGGTAAATCCTTTGGCTTTCTGGAGATCTAAGGATTGTACCAGCAAGGTTTGTGATTGCATTCGACAATGCCAGAGCGGAAGAAACACCCTTCCCACCACCAGACATGTCTTCACCTAACAACAGCTTCCCGAACTTCTCCTTCATCAAATCCAAATCTGCACCAATTTTTTCCAGTCGTCATTACACAGACTTGTAAGTATTCTAATCCCTTTCTGATCTAAACGCAGTTGATGAACACATTTTTACCAGAGGGACCCTTTTCTCTAGGGGTAGGGGTAGGCGTCTTAGGAGGTGGTCCGCAATCTGCACGCTTTGGTTCGCGTTCAGGAGGAGACCCTTCCACAGCTTGCACCGTCTCATTGAGCACACCTGCATTATTGCTCTTGCTTTTAGGAAGATTCGGAGGAGTGCTCTTCGTCGATTGTTGATGTTGTAGTTGTTGCTGTGGCTGTGGTGGTTTCTCCTGCTGATCAACAATGCTCTTGGGAATAATCGGAGAAGTGATCTTCATCGATTGTTGATGTTGTAGTTGCTGCTGTGATGGTTTCTCCTGATCAACAACGTTGTTGGCGGACCCATCGTTATCGTTGATGGTGGTGGTCGTCGTTGGCGTGTTGTTGTTGTTGTTGTTGTTATTCCCATGGTCGAAGAACATGCTGGTAATCTGCCTCCCAGGTATCTCAAGCATTCTCCTTAACGTGGTGGAGGATTTCGTCCTCGGAACATTGAGTGACTGCTGCTGTTGATCTTTTTCCAGTGCTCGAACCATGTCATCCGCCGGTTTTCGGTCTCCCTTCCCTCCGCCCCTGATGCTTCTTCTTCTCCTTTCCCTCCCTGTTAGAGATAACAGAAAGGAAGAGACAGGCGCCGCCCCCTTATTATAGCCCTTCAGGCTCCTTATATGATCTATTTTCGATTGCCTTTGCTTCTCAGGGAAGGCGGAAAGGAGGGGAGAGTCCCGCGGCGAGGATGACCGGCTGGTGCCGAAATGGAAGACAAAGAAGAAGAAGAAGAATGGATTTTTTTTCTTTTCAAATGGAGATGAAGAAGGTAAAAAGTTCTATGTTCTTGAATTTAATCTAAAGGAGAAAAAGCTCCTAAGCATATTTGAATGGGTTTTTTTTTTTCTCGAACGCTTTCTTTGCTTTCTAGGCGTATTTATATGTGTGGAAATGCAATGTTGGGTGGTGCATGTTCAGCGTGGAGGGAAAAAAAATTATCGAAAAAAAGAAACTGTTAAGAGTAACGAACTTTGACAAGCAGGAAAAACCAATAAAGAAACAGAATGGAAACCGGGAAACGGCAGGTCGTTTTGGGTTGGGTGTTTGTTGTTGGGAGGAAGGAACGAATGGTTTTGAGAGGTGGAAATGAGTTGGGAGGAATTTACGCGGGAAGTAACTAACTGCCTACAGGAATGTTTTTTTTGTTTTGCTGTTTTTTGTTTTTCAGTTGGTGGCTGCCTTGCTGGATGGCTCCTGCGGTTAGTTCACTTAACCGTTAATTTATTGTTCCTATTTTTAGCATATAATTGAGATAGTTGGATCTTCCAAGCCAACAGCTTCTCGTTTTTTTTTAATGAGAATCGATGTTTTGGCATATGATATGACTTATGAGGTCGTCTATCATAGTTTTGGCTATGGTGTATATAGGGTCTACCTGGCATAAGCACTGTGGTTTTTTTTTTTTTTGGGATTGCGTGGCCAACAAACTACAGTTGTTGGGTATTGTGCGATGCACGATCCAACGATGTGAGCATGTGGTTACGCTCATATCAGTATATGCACTAACAAAATTGTTAGTTCGGCTGTGGTGTTCACAATTCAGAGCGTAAAAAACGTGATCATATAGAGATAGGGAGTCGTCGGATCAGGCATCGAGCGTTCCGCGGTCGATGGACGAACGGACGCGTAGATAATTTTATAAATAATAATAAAATGTCACCACTTCCATCCAATCCGAAGATGTTCGACCCGGTGACCAGGTTGTCACAAATGGGTCGTTAACACCATAGTAAGGTTGTTGCATTGTTATATTATAGCAAGTATATGATATTATTTGTTGTTGCTGTGACGGTAGCTTTCATTAATGCAGCGGTTGGTAATATGGGAATTTGTGAAGACGACAAAAACAAGGGGGGAAAAAGTAAGAATATTAACAACGCTGATTTGGTGTTGGATTTTAAAGATAAAATAGAGAGTGTTCTCAGTGCAGAACTAGTTTATTCATATGATAAGAATAGAAGGAAAGTAGAGTGGATTAGCGATTAGAAAAAGAGGAGCAAGGAAGAACAGTGGAGCGAGTAGGTAGAGAGTGTATCGACGGGGGTTTAACACGCTGGTGGGTTTTTTTAGGGTTTGACCAATGACTGCGATTGTTTATTAGCAATAAGGAAGAACCTTGTGTTTTGTTCCTTTGTATTAGCATCGTTGTGGGGGAATTTGGGAGAATTTATAGAATATGGGGAAATGATTGGGTGATTGTTCTCGCCTTTGATTCAACACTTTGTGTTCTTTGAAATTCAGGCAACTTGGCGTTAATTAAGAGGAATGCATTGGTTCGGGGTGGATTAGTGTTACTCGTCTGAGGGGTGAGGGTGATATATGTTTGTCTTTTTTTGTGATTAGGAATACTAATGATTAATGAAGGGATTCGAATTTTGAATCTCTAGGTTTTAAACTAGTGGTATTACCACTACACCAAGTTCTTGTTCGTTCCGTTCCTGTTATTTTCATATCATTGACGGATAGTTCTTACCCTTGCATGATATCAATATTTGATCTAAATGCAATGGCGTTTGATTGTAGAGCTCGAACGTTTAATGAACATTGTAGATTATAAATTGGCTATAAATAGTGCGGGAAATGTTTAAAAAAAAAGTTGTTTGCAATTTTTTTTACACCGATGTGCAAGGATCAGGTCCAAAGAAGGTTAGAAGCAAGCTATATAGATATGACAACCACAAAGACAACCCACAACCAAATCCACAATCATAAAATAGAGTACAAAACTAAACCCAGGCAATCAAATTCTAGCTGAATTTTATTATCATCATCAAGTGGCAGCTGCTTCTAGCAACCGGAGAAGATAACATTCCCATCATCAGACATCGGCAAGGAAGAAGCTGTCCTTCCGAGATCGGTAAAGCAAAATCAATGAGTTTAGAGTTACATTCTTTTCAAATTTTGATAGAGTACAGCGGACAGGGGATAAGATGACGTGTAATTGATTGTATGTAGCATATAAATTGAGTGTGGATCGAGAATGGCGGTAAGAGAATACATCGGAGGAGCCTAAACCAATTCACGTCACTTTTGTGTACGGTCATACCCAATCTCATACTCGGTCAATGTGAGAATTCCTCTTGTGAATGGGTTGGGAAAGGTCGTATATCTACAATTGCGGGTAGAATTGCCATCCCAACCTATTTGATGAGCAAATTCTGTTTAACGACACGAGAAAAGGGAAGGGTTGTGAATTCTGGGATTCTTTTTTAGATACGGCCATGTTTCTGTTATTGGTGTTTAATTATTAATAATCCACTTGGAAGAGAATTGATTAGTTCAAATGCCTTGACCTATGGTTTTTTTTTTAAACCAGCTTGACAGTCTCATGTATACAATCAAATATGTCTTCGAAACATGTTTTTTTGTTTGTTTGTTTGAACAGTGCCTTCTTCCCGAAAAGCTACTTGCAATTCATAAAATAAAATAAAAAAGTATAAGTACCAAACGGTATAGGTACAAACTGAATTTGTAGCATAATTCTAAAGGTGTGAATTCAGTTTGTATAATAATAGTTTTTTTAGACAAAGCACCAATACTTATTAGCACAATAGTGAAGATCGCTTACAGTATCCTTTATAAGAATGTCCTTATGAGGCTTGCGATTTTGCACTTCAACGATGAGTGCTCCGTGATCGTTGTACGAATGCATGTATTATCTAGTGTGTGTATGGTTTTAATGAAGGTGTAATTTACGTGCCACATTGAAAGCCGATTTGAAACATGCATCGACGGAATTGGAGAAACGAGATGATACACCGGCCTATTAAGTTGCTCTTTTTTTTTTTTTTTTTACAACAATAGTTGATACTACGCAAGTATTTTATGCACCAACTAGTTGATGGCATGGAATACACACATCTTGATCTCACCTTTGCTTGCTCCTCGTGTGGAAACGAGGCCTGGGTCTGAGCATCGGACTGGAGGCCCAAATAATTATCTTAGGGGGCCCAAGTAGATTCTGGATCTTTGTGGCGTCCCCGTAGTTTGTCGGCTCACGTGGCAACCAGCCACCAGCTCAAGTGGTTCTCAAGTCTCGCCCATTAGTAGAACATTAATCCGTTTTATCTAGTGGTACGATTGTATACCATGTGGGTTACAATTTTTATTTCATCCCAAATTATATGTAGGTGAATCGTACATATTTTATTGTCGTTCTTCGTCATTAATATGTTTGTCCGCGATAATTACAACTGTTCGAGAGAACCGATGGCTTCATTTAGCTCTTCAATTCCCACCGTCCTTCAATCTCCGTCTTACTCCTAGTGGGGTTGGGATACGGTCACATCCCCCTAGAGGGGTTGTGAGATTCACAACTAACTTCCTAACCATTGGATATACTCTCTCTCCTGTCTCTCTCTTCTTTTTTCGAAATTGATGGTTAGGATTAAGATAAGGGTATTTTGGGAAGGAAAAATTATTACCACACCCAATCACTCTCCCTCCCATATAAATACATAAAACCCTAACTCCTCCTACCCTCCCTCTCTCCCTCCTCTCTAGCAGACAGACAACACCGCCGCCCTTCAACGTCGCCGCCCTTCACCGTCGTCGCCGTCCTCCAGAGCCCTCGCCGTCGGCCGCCTCCCTCCACCCCTGCGGCGCCCTCCTTCGTCGCCGTCCATCATCCCTCCGCCTCCCTTCACCCTCTGCCGAGCCCTCCACCGTCGCCGCCTCCACAATCCTCCGCCTCCCTCACTCCCTGCCGCCATTGTCATGCCTCCTCTCCTTGCCTCTTTCGGTGTGAGTCCCTCTGCCACTATACTCTTCCTCTCCTCTCCTTCGTTTTCAGATCTGTGAGTTTTGGATTTTCAGATCTGGTTTTTTAACTAGTGGTTTTCTTCTGATAGTGGTACTAGATGTAGTGGTACGCTACCACTACAATTTAGTACCTGGTAGCGGTACGCTACCACTACCAAGTAATGGTACCAAATGATAGGTAATGGTATCAAATGATAGTGGTACGCTACCACTATCAGGTACCAGATGGTAGTGGTACCAAATGATAGTGGTACTCTACCACTACCAGCTACCAGATGGTATTGGTACCGCTGTACTGGTAGTGGTACCAGTGGTAGCGGTAGCGTACCACTAGCGCACTGATGGAACGGTAATTTTTTGCAGGTGGTCGGAGCGAGTATTATTCAAGGATTTCGCCGGAGTAACTTTGTCGGTCAGAAAGTCAGTCAGTCGGTCGGAGTGGTGTGTCTTCTAGGAAAGGAAGAGAGAGATAGGAAAAGAGAGTTATATTTAATGTAGGATTTAAATTTAAAAAAGCATGTATTTAATATGGGTTTTTAATTCCCAATCTGTAATTAATAGAAAAAATAATTAATTAATAAATAAATTCGTTTTTTTGTCATACCCAAAATGCCCTCGGTTGTGAATCTCACAACCCCATAGGGGATGTGACCGTATCCCACCCCCTCCTAGTGCCTTCTTGATTCGAATGTGTGCGGTGGGGAAATCGAAGGGATGGCTTCCGATTCTGGGGACAAGGATATCTCAACGAGCTTAAATGCGAAGCATGGAGTGAGTGTCTCCAAATTTTGCAGTGTTGGAATATTGTTATTGTTTTCTTATGCACAGGTGGCATGAAATGAATTCATCACTTTGACTGGATGCAAAGAAAGATCCTCTTAAATGAAAGAAGAGACAGCAAGCTCCCAAACACCTTGTCCGCATATCGCCAGTGTCGGTACTCGATCCAATTTACATATATATATATATATGCTGTCTGACTCTGAAGTCTGATCCCCACCCATTGGAATTTGTAAATTTGAACATGTTCTCTTAGCTAAGCTAGGGGACAGTAATTATCTATACACGCAGTGGCGGAGCTAGGTTGAAATCATGAGAGGCTACGGCCCTTCTTATCAAATTTAGGAAATAGAGTAGTCGGTAAAGCACTAGCCTCCCCGCTCCATCCAATTAGCACGATTCAAGGCAGCACCCCCCTCATTCAAATTCATGACTCCGCCACTGTCTACACGGGACACCATAGTAATTAAACATTTGTTTGGATATTGGAAGGAGATTAGGAAGGAGTTTATCTTATTTGTTCGTGGAAATGGACAAAGTTACGTGTAGTTCGAAAGGGTTTATCGTTATATCTCGGTACGTATTTGTTATGTGTTATAATGTGTGCATTAATGTATGTTTAAAAAAAAAACATTGCGAAGTGATCGGATATGGGTTGTGAGTCTCTCCTCCTTCAAGGGTTTGGTTCAATCCTACCAAACAACGACAATATCTTATTTCAGGCGTTTTCTTTGCACAGAAAGCTGGTCCTCGCGGTGTTTCCACCGAGCTACTCTTCGACGCGAGTTAGGGA